TCTAAATTAATATAATCTGATCCTGTAAAATTAAAACTTAATTTATCTAAACATTCCATATTTGTTAAATTACCATTATTTAATATAAAATTATTAAATAATTCTAATCCACAATCCATTGTTGAATTTATAATTGGTGTATTAATTAAACTAAAATGTGTTGCATATGGTATTTTAATTAATTTAATAGAATTTCCTTTTAAGGAATTATATAATTCAATAGCATTTTCAATTGGTGTAATTGAATCTAATTCTCCATTTAAAATTAAAATTGGAATGTTTGTTTTAATATTATTATCATTATTATTAAAATTATTTAAATTATTAAAATTATTATTAAAATTATTATTAAAATTATTAAAATTCCAATTATTATTATTTAAATTATTATTTAAATTTTTAAAAGCATTAAAATAATTAATTGGATCATTTGTAGATAAAATAGATTGATTATATTGTTGTAATAAATCATTTTCAGTAATTGAATGATTCCATAATTCATTATAAATAATTTGATAACCCAAAATAGGAGATTGTGAAATTGGATAATTAATAAAATTATTTAAATTTTCATTTCTTCTATTTAATAAAAATTTAAATATTCTTTCCAAAGTAGGTAAATCTAAATCATAATCACATCTATTTAATCTATATAATATTGCAGGTATAAATACTCTTTCATATTGATTATTTAATAATCTTGTTAATAATTGTCTAAAATATTCTTCATTATCTATTATTTTTACTATATTTGGACATTTATCACCATCTCTATAAATAGATTTAATAATATTATCTAAATTATTTAATATATTTTCATTATTTATTAAATAATTATTTAATTTATTATAACATAAAGTTGAATTATTACAATAATTTAAATATTTTTTAATTATATTTGATTGAATTTTAATAGTTTTATCAAATGTAAAATTATTTGACATTATTCCATCTAAAATAATACCTTTTATATTTAAATTATTTAAATTATTAATTTCAATATATTTTAACATTTTATTTATCCATAAAGTACCATATGAATTACCATATATATAATTATTATTATTTAAAATATTTAAAATATTAATTAAATCAATAGCAGCATTAATAGAATTAAAATTATTTTTAAATTTACAATATTTTAATTCATAATTAATATCAATAATACTTGATGTAATTGAACCTTTACTTTCAGATTGAATATTTTCACATCCTAATCTTGAATTTCCATTTCCTCTATGATTTAATATATATATATATTCAATTGGTAATGAATTTTCATTTATTAAATTTAATAATCTATCTATTAATGGTTCATAATATATTAATGAAGATGTTGATGGTGATTGTGAATCTAAAAAATAGGTTTCATTATAAATATTTTTAAAATTAATAGAAAATGTTGGTGATATACCTGGTATTATCCATAATACTGTATTATTTTTTAATATATTATTAGATTGTGTTTTAATTCTTTTAACTAGAATATTTATATTATTATCATTTATATTATTATCATTATTTAAATTATTATTATTATCATTTATATTATTATCATTAAAATTATTAAAATTATTTAAATTATCACTATTTAAATTAATATTAGAATTATTTAAATTATTTAAAGGTAAATTAAATAAAGTACATTCAGCAGTGAGATTATAATTTAATTTAAAATTTGGATGTAAATAATTAAATGATTTATAAATAGTATTATTAATAGATAATGAATATAATGGACATGAATAAAATGTTGGAATTTTTAATGATGATGATTGTGTTGTTGATTGTGAATGAACATTAATAATACTATTAGTAGTAATAATAAATAATAGTAATAATATGTTAAATAAATTGAGAGTATTCTTCTTCCTCCTTCTTGTTATTGTCATTACATATTGTTGTTGTTGTTCATGATGATGATGTAATGACATTTTTTTTTTACTTTTTGTTTAATAAAAACTCCCAAGTCCTAACTACCTAGGAGTTTAATAACATTTCATACAGAATTTATTTGTGAAATGACATTTATTTCACAGAAATACCAAGATAGATGTAAATAAATTGTGGGCACTAAAGTTGAGTACACAACTGAAATTGCTTCAAAATCCTCAAGCATTCACTATATCTTGATAAGAGAGATAATTGGAAATTGGTTAAAAGATGTTCTTTATGCTCTAAGCAAAGAACTTGTAGCCATTATGATGTTTTTTTGATAATTAGAAGTTTTACTTCCTGTTTTGTAGCTCTGAAGTGAGATGTTTAATCATTTTGAAATAATAAACTGACACTGTCATCATACTATTCTATCATTTATTAAAAAAACTGTACAAAGTGTTTTATTATCATGAGGATATATTGTTGTTGTGTTGTTATTATTAATATCTAATAGTATTTTCATTCAATGCCTCACTAACAAGAATTGAATCTTTACATGATAAGAAAATTCTTCTTATTGGAAATTCAACATAATTGATTAAAATGTGTTTCAAATTGTTCTTGAAATGATGATGATGAATAATAATGAAAATCAATCATTAAATATGATAAAACCGATTAAAACTAAAATAGATTATATAGCTCATGATGTTTTTTGGGCAGTGATTTAAGTGATTTAGTGGATAGATTTGATTTTTTTGGATGTGACAGTTCAGAAATACAAATTATTCTATGGAAATTGAGTATTATGAGAACATTTAAATGGTCTGATTTAAATATATTGAAGGAATTTATTGTACCTACTTTTATTAGAACATTTAAAGATAAACCATTCAAATTTTCAAATATAAATAAGGATGATTTTTTAATAATTATTTATTCACAAACTGATTACAATATTATTAATAATAATAATACTAATGTTAAGTATTTCTATAATTATGCAAGGTTAATATATAATGTTACATTAACATACAATGATATAGAAACTAAATTTTAAATTACTATTTATCAGATGGATATGGAAATGAAATTACAAATTTAGACATGATTAGAAATATTTCATATAAATTTTATATTTTTAATGAAGAATTAATTGAATTAAAACAAGTATTTTGTTATTCATCACTTGCTACAACCTATTATAGATGTGAATATAATTCAGAATTATTAGCATTCTCACAAATATTTAATTATATTGTAATGATCATTGGTATTTTAAATTATATATCATTAATAACAGTATTTAAAACTAAATCAATTAAAAGAAGATTATCAACTCCATATATTATTCCTATTTTAATCATTATATGTGGTCTATTATTTTCACCTATTATTGCTGATTTCATTTCCTTTTTAAGAATGATTTTAATGATTTTTATTTGTTCTTATTCAACTTTTACTATTGCATTTACTACTATTATATTATATTAAATATATTTATTTTATTTTACAGAGAATACCAGAAAATCAAATTAAAATTCATAAAATTCAAACTTCTGACAAGTTTAGATTAATAACTTGTCAATTATTATCATTCATTATTCATTCATTTGGTTATGTATTTTAATACCTTATTTGAGATATTCAAAGATTTTATTCAAATCAAGCCATCTATCTCTTTTTAAGTATAATGGTCATACAAATAGGACTTTTAGTTATATCATTTGATTTTATAATGAATTGGAAAACAATTAGGAAGAGTGGAAATTTCTTCAGTTCATTTGAAGATCCATTTCATATTAGACAAGATATCATTTCTTATATTATTGAAATAAGTTTGATTATTGTTTTGATATGTGCAATAATTAATACTTATTATGATATTTTAATTGTTTCTTCATGTTTTAGAATAATGATGTACTTTCTCAGGATTTACTGCCATAATATTTGAATAGTGTGAACGAATTCGTTAGAAAATGCAATCATGGTTTTTAGAACTGATAACATCTAGAAATGGGAGATGTCATAGTATATGAAGTTTCACAGTTTGAACAATTCGAGCACATGCATTACATGAAGATCTAATCTTGGAACTGGTAATATTATTAATATGAATGAAATAGTGAATTTAAAAATTAAATATTAATATATAATACAATTGTAATTTTTTATATATTTATTTAAATAATAATTCTTCTAATTTCTTTTTCATTTCTTGTAAACGTGTTTCTAAATATTCATTCAATGCAACAGCTTTACCTTCAACAAATAATCTTCTCTGTCTCAAACCTTCTTCTAAAATGAAAATTTGATTTTGTAGAGCAATTTTAAATCTCTTCAATAATAAATCATGTTCTGGATGTGTTGAAACATATTGTTCTGTGAAGAATGCAGAAATATACTTCTCCTGACCACCATTAACAGCTGCATCAATAGTACCATTCAATGACATTGATAATGCATTAGTATCTGGTTGTTGATCTAAATGGTGATTAATAACCAATTCTTCCAATTCATTAACTTTATCTTCAATATCTTTAGTAGCATTCTCTAATGGACATAAATGTAATAATTTATCATTGGCAATATAACTAATATTTGATAAATCAATACATTGTGAATAGTCTCTATATTTCAATTTCTCATTCAATGATAATTTATCTTGATAGATTTTCAATGAATCACCACATAAAATTCTCTGACGTCTACAAATGGTTGGGAATTTCTTTGGAGTGATAAAGAATGTAATTTCTCTATGCATATCCTTATATTCATTATTGGTTTTTTCTTTTGATTCTCTATAACGTGATTCAGATTTAAAATGATTAATATTATGTAATTTTCTATAACATAGAATTTTAGGTGAAATTCTCTTATCACGATGTTGGAATATATTTTCCCATTCAAATTCTGAACTTTGATCAACGTGATAGGCAACAAAGAATCTACCTTCTTGTTCTCTGTATTGTTCTGGATCGGTTGGTGTCTTTTGAAATAATTGTGCTTGATATTTATCTTTTAAGCCATTTAAAAAATCCATAAAATTTTCACCTTCCACCGATTTATAAATGTATGGTCCCTGTAGACCCATCTTTAAAAATCCTCTTCCCATAAAATTAACATAATAATAGGAGGCAAAGAATCTTCTCTTTGTCATGATTAAATTATAAAATTCACCCTCTCTCTTTAACAAATTTTGTGTTTTGGCATATTTGTAATTGTGTAAATAGTAATTTCTTAATTGTCTTGAAAGTTCAATTGCTCTCTCCCAATCTTTACCTTTATCAAATAAATCAATCATCTTTTCATAGAGTTTAATCTTTCTATCAGCTTCAGATTGTTCTGGATATTCATCTGAATGATAGGGTAATTTTCTTTCATCATTCCATTGTAATCTCTTAGCATGTTTATATAATACTAAGGCTGCTTCAATATAATTACCATATCTTTCATGTACGGCTGATAATTTATCAACATATTGATAATATAAATCATAATTGTGATTAATTTTAAATGATCTCATCACATCAATACATGCTTCACAGAATTTATGTTCATCCTTATCTTCAAAGGTTTGAATTTGTTCAACTTGAGAAATTAATGTTTCCAATCTATTTAATAATAATAATCCTTCTTTACCAAGTTGTTGTTGTTGATTTGTATTTGTATTTGTAGTATTATTATTTGTAGTATTGGTATTATTTGTATTTGTATTATTATTGGTATTATTAATGTCCTTTTCAAACATTGATTTTAAACAATCTGTAAATGATTGTTTAAATAAACGACCAATTTTAGATCGAACCAATCTACTTTGTGTAACAGCTTCACATTGTGCCAATCTCTTATGATTTTCAAATTCAGTTTCTAATAGAGCATAATATAATTTAATAGCAGGTCCATGTAATAATCTATTATCAATATTAAATAATGTCATAATTTGATGTACTAATTTAGGTACAAATATTAATTTAATATCTTTTCTCATATTGGAATGATTATAAATATTATCATAAATGTGTTTTAATAACATGTAACGATAATCTTCATGTTTAGATAACATGATCACTCTTTCAAAGGCCCTATTATTCTCCAAATCCATATAATTTATAAATCCAAAGAAATGTTTAAATAACATATCCCATAATTCTTTATATTCAATTGGTGTTTGTTCTTCTCCACCACCAATTATATTATTATTATTATTATTATTATTATTAGATGTATTATTATTATTATTATTACCATTATTGGATGTATTACTATTATTGTTAGAATTATTAGTAGAAATATTAGTATTACTATTAGTATTACTATTAATAAAATCTACATTATCAATAAAATTAGATTGTACAATACTTGTTAAACTATCCTTTTCAATAGTGAAATGATGAATCATTACATTTGAAATTGAAATTAAACTTCTAAATAAAGTATTTAATTGGAATGATCTAAATCCAATCCATTCTCTAGGTATACTATTAGTTTTAGAAGTAATCAATTCATGTAAATACATTAAATTTCTCAATGATTGTTGTGCTAAACCTGTTGCTACCTTTTCATCATTAATTAAATGTGATAATAATAAAATTGAACTACCACTGTACATTTTAACAAAACTAATAATGGAACACATTAATTCTCTTCTGATATTTTCTAATGGGAGAAGTTTCTTTTCATTTTCATCAATTTCCTTCTGAGTATTGGCTTGATTAATATTGGTAGCACGTTGTGTTGTAACTCCTCCTGATGAATTACCAGCAGAAGATGAATTATTAGATGTTGCATTATTACCACCTCTTCTCAAATTTTGTTTTGATTGATCAACTTCATTTTGAGTTTCAGCTAATAATCTTCTCTTATCATCAATATCTTTACGAAGTGATTGAACATCTGATGTTAATGATTCATAACGATCTTTAACAGTTTGGAATAATTGGAATATTTCATAAATAGTTTTAACAAGTCCATCTGAATAATTTTCACCTTCTTGTGGTTCTTGTTGTGAAATCCATGTAAAGTGTTGTCTTCTCTTCTTTTGGAATGAATAATCTTGTGAATTGGTATTCTCAGAGAAACTAGCTAATAATTGTGAATTATTCTTTGTATTACCAATTCCATTATTATTATTACCACCACTATTATTATTATTATTATTTGAATTATTTGAATTATTTGAATTATTGGTATGTAATGATTGATATAAAAGTGATTGTTTTCTATTTGATTGTACCATTAATTTTTGAGTGGCATGAAGTAAATCATTCAATAAAATTACACCTGATTCAATATCACCACCATTATTTTCAATAATACCATCTCTGATAACATCAATAATGAATGGAAGTAAAACTTTTCTACATCCATCTCTCTTGAAAACATTTGACTTTAAAACACAACTCATTGCAAGTATTCTGTTTGAATAGGATTTTTGTTCCTTTGTTTTCTTTGTATCAGTTTTGCCTGTATCAACAGCAGCTGAACAATTATTCATTGCTAGAATGAAATCAACAACTGCTCTACCAAGTTTCTTATCATCCTTGAATACTCTATTCATTTCATCAAAGAAGGATGAACTCAGGAATTTTAAACAATTAGCCTTAACACCTAACATTTCTTTTTGTGGATGTTGAAGGAGAATTGTAATTTGTTTCATTAAAACTGAAACTTGTTTTTCAAATTCACTTTCATCCTTATCATTTAAACCAAATCTTTCTGTATAATTTTCTCTAGATTTTACAATAAATTTGGCCCAATAATCAATACACTTGATAGATTGTGAAAGAACTGGTACAATTTTAGCAAGTGATGCTGATGGTACTAATTGTTGTTGTTGTTGTTGTTGAGAATCGTCAACTTTTCTAGGTGGAACTGGAGGTGGTGTATTACCAGTGGTAGTAGTATTACCAGTAGTATTATTATTATTAGTATTATTACCAGTATTACCAGTAGTATTATTAGTAGTATTATCATTAAAATCATCAAATTGTTGATTTTCCAATTCGAATGGCATAATCTTATCATATGGATCTTCTCTTAATAATTCATCTTCTGATTTAATGGCTTGAATTTTAGCTAAATCTCTAATTAAAAATTTCAATAACCATTTGTATGCATTGACAGATTGGAAATAATTTGTAATATATTCATCAATAACTCTCAAGAATGGCCAAAATTGTTTTTGTGATAAAATATTGTTAATAGCCTTATAGGTAACTTCAAATATCTTTTCAGGTACACCTGCTTGATCTTCATTAGCACTCAAAATATCAAACAATGCACCAAATATTTCTCTAATAAAAATAGCAATACCCATAACATCACCCATATTGAATGTAAATTGATTAACAACATCTGAAACACTTCTTTGTAATTTCCAATCAAGTAAATTTTTCATTTCAGGATTTTGTGTAATTCTTGTTGAAACTACATTGAATGAAATGTTCAATTTTTGACCCTTTGTTCTATGAGTTTCTCTTTCTTCTGGATTTTTATGGAAATCAAAAATACCTGCAAAATCACCTCCCTTGAATTTCTTTGTTACCTTGTAGACTGAAATTTCAACAGCCGATTGTTTATCAGATGATGAAGAGGATGAAGAATCTTGTTCACTTTTACATGTAACATCTAATAAACCACTTGAATTGGTCATTTTCCAATAGGCAAAACCAACAAGTTCCTTCGTTGCATGACGTGATCTACAATTAAATAATTTAAATACAACAATAGATCTATCAATTAAATCAGGTTCAACACTAACTCTAAATGTTTCTTTCCATTTTGGATTTTTGATGTGATATAAAACAGTGGAGGTGAATAATTTTCTCTTTTCTTGTGGAAGTGAAGAAGGTAAATTACCACTATTAAATTCATTTGGATTTGTAGAGAGAGGTATCATTGGACGTGTTTCAGAATGAATTGGTGGATTTTTGATTGAAATTGATTGTGGTACTTGATACAATTCAGCTTCAACTAGAACATTTTTCAATTCTTTAACAGATGAAGCTAAACCTTCTAATGTAATATAAATATCATTACGTCTATCACCAGGTGAAACAGCACTTGGAAATCTTAACATTTGAATGACTGGTCTTGATTTTAAATTTTCCTTTGAAAAAACTTGTTGTTCATAATCACCAATTAACATTCCAAGTGAAATTGTTAAATCCTTAATTTCCTGAATTTTTGAAACATCTTTTGGTAAATCTGAAGGAATTTGACCACCATGTTCATTTGTTAATTTGATTAATAATTGATGGAGTGAATAGAAATTTTCTTCCTTTGTTGTTGCAAATGCACTAATTTTAGGAAGATTAACATTTTCACCTGTTACAATATTATTAATTACATTTGGATTAATATCTGCAATGGCAACACCGAATGGTCTTTTAACATCACCTACATCAGCTGATGCAGTTGCCTTCTTATTTTTTTCATCGATTAAAACAGGTCCAACTCTGTACAATCTGAAAACAAAGTACAAATCTTCCTTAATATCACTACTTGTTATATCCTTAATGATACATCTTCTTTCTAGATTGGTTTTAGATGATGGATTTAAATTCTTTTCAGAGGCAGATGACATTTGTAAAATAAAATTTTCACTAATAATTTGTTCTGCCTTCTTACTGTAGAGTGAAATTTCCAATTCAAATCGATGTTCTGAATCAATGACACAATTTTCAAGTGCAACCATTAATTGTGTATTACCATCTGGTAAATGATAAAATTGTTTACTATCATCACCACTGGCTGTATGTGTTGTATCATCGAGAACATCATTCAAATGAAATGGAAATCCCAATCTTCCCAATGCACCACCCATTTTACCACTAACTGTTGTTTCCTTCTTGGCATGATTTTTAACTCTCTTTTGTCTTCTCTCTTGAAGTGCTTCAAGTTCTCTCTCACAAGTTTGAACATAATTTCTAAATACCTTAACAATGGTTGTTACTGTTGATGAGGTTGATAATAATGTAGAGGAAAATCCACCTGTTTTGGCATCAACTACCTTTCTAACTTGTTCAACAAGTGTAAAACTCAATCTGGATTTGAGTGTTTTTGTTGAGGATACTTCTTGTGAATTGTTTGTTGAATTTACATTTGTTAAAGTAGTAGTTGAAGTAGCAGATTTAGTTTGTGTAGTAGTACTTGTAGTTTGTTGTTTGGATTGTTGAGAAGAATCTAAATTATTATTGGTAACAAATTGATCCATTTGCATTAAATCATCTAAAATTTTACCCTTCTTTCTAATAATAATATCATATAAAAGTACATTACAACCTTCTTCTACAAGTTTGATATCATTATTTTGAAATTTAAGTAATTTTGATTCAATCTTTGCAATACCATCACTTCCACCCTTCTCTTTCATTACCTTTAATAAATCACAATGTCTTGCATATTCTTTAATATCAAAGAATATTCTTGTTAAAATTTCATAAATTCTATCAAATTGATCTCTATCAACAATTTCCATTCTCTCTCTAGATCCATCAAAGAATGCTAACCATTCCTCTGTTACTTGTATTAAATCAAAACAATGTTCAACTTCAAAATCCTTCTCTTCAAAGAATCCATATTTAGATTCTTCAAATTCTCTTGAATCAATTTCATCGATAAATGTTAAATTATTTGCTTTACCTGCCCTAGAAATAATACCTGCCAATGGTGTTGAATCAACAAGTGTTTTATCACCACCTCTATTCTTATCATTGGTTAAACCTTGAAGATAATTATTTTGTGAATTACCAGAATTACCAGAAGTTAATGAACCACCACCACCTCCAATACCACCTCCAATACCAATACCACCACCACCAATACCACTACCAATACCACCTCCAACACCAATCAATGAACTACCACCAACCAATGAACCAGAACTCAGACCTGATGATGTTGTACCTGTACTTGAGCCACCTGGTAGAATAGATTGTTTATCACTCTTCTCTTCTATCCTCTTAATACAACCAGATGGAAAGAAACCCTTAGCTATTGGAAATGTATTCATTCCACTCACATTAAAATCCAATGCTGTTTTAATACCTTCAGTTGATCCTGCATTGAGTTGAGCATTATTTGATGTTCTTGATTGTTGATCATCTTGATCATTGTTTAAATTAGCACCATCATTCTCTGTTGATGTTGTTGATGCGGATGTGTTGGATGATGATGATGAATTATTATCTAATGTAGAATATCCAAGTAGTGAATTCTTATATTTGAGAATGTAACGATTTCTAAATACACTTCCTTTACACCATCCATCTCTCTCTGCTTTAATATACACAAGATCACCAACATTTAAATCTAATAAATGTTGATGTTGTTGATATTGTTTGCTATTGAATGAATCAACAACTAGATTTTGATAATTATTATTATTATTGTTGTTAATAATAATAACAGAGCATTAATATAGAGTGTTTGATTGATGGTATAATGTTGATGTTGATGAAGTTATATAGTGATGATTTTGTAGTTTATAAATTGTTGTTGTTGTTGTTGTTATTAGAATTGTAAAGGCGCAAATTAAAGATGAGAAATAGATAATAATAATAAACATACCAATACCATACTTGTTAACAGAAACCCACTGAGACATGATAGGTTTAATGTTACTTGTGTGTTGTTGAAATTTTTTTGATTTGTGTAATGACAGTTGAAAGCAGAAATGGTTTGTCGTCGTTCTCCCACACAATTTGATCTGCGATACTCACAATGAATAATAACATTTGATTGTTTCATAATAAACTTTCAAGGCTTTTTACTTTCATTATAAAAATTATTATTAGTAGGTTGTAATAGTACAAAGACAGGTTGTAATGAGATGAAAATTCTCCAGTCTATGGAGGCTTTGACACACTTCATCAATAAAATTGCACAAAAAGCCTTGTGCGTTATTATTGTTTCCTCAAAATCATAAAGAATTTTTAAAAAAAATGTCATCATCACCAATTTCTCTCGTAAAAACAACAACACAACATGTTATTGAAAATGCTACTCATGTATCATTAAATAGGAAGGCTTTAATTAAAACATGTTCAGTTATTGCGGAAACTATTAAACAAAAATGTAAAACATCCAATTCAACATCATTAATTGAATCATTATTTATTGAATGGGACAATGATACACTTCATTATAGAAATTTAAATGAACCTGAATTAACTTGTCAATATATACTTGTACTTTCAAGTATTAATTTTTGTTTTTGGCCATTAAATGATTCTGTTAAAGATGAAAAGGATGAATTTGAATATGGTCATTTAGCATCTGGTCTTAGAAGTGTTTTACAAAATAATCCAAATGCATTTTCATCAGAAGAATTAAAACAATTAACAAGTGAAAAATTAACAGAATGGTTTAATGGTGCCAAAGTTCCATTATTAAGTGAACGTGTTAGATTAATTAGAGAAGTTGGTTTTGCACTTGAAGAACATTTTGATGGAAAAGCTTTTAATTTAATTAAATCAGCAAATAAGAGTGTTAACAAATTAGTTTCACTTGTTACTCAACATTTTCCTGGATTTAGAGATCATTGTATTTATTCTAAAACAGGTCATCAAATTCATTTCTATAAGAGAGCTCAAATTTTCTGTGCTGATATTTATGGTTGTTTTAAAGGCCAAGGAATTGGTCAATTTGATGATATTAATGATTTAACAATGTTTGCTGATTATAGAGTTCCACAATTATTGAATAGTTCAACTAATTTTATTAATGCAAATACAATTAGTGTTACAGAAGGTGGTATTATTGGTGGTAGTGATAATGTTATTGCTAATAATGATGATATTAATAGTAATGAAAATTTAGTATTGGTTTATTCTGATGAATTGAAAGAAAAAATTTCAAATTTAACAGTTTTAGAATATAGTTCACAAATGGAAGTTGAAATTAGAGCTTTTACAATTCAAGCTGTTGAAGAAATGAGAAAAGTACTTTTAGAAGAACATTCTATTAAATGTTTAAGTATTGAGATTGATTGGATGTTATGGCAAATTGGTGAAGCTAATAGAAAGACAATTAGACCTCATCATAGAACTCTTTCAGTTTATTATTAAATATTATTGTTTTAATTTGTTTATAAATATATGTTATTTTAATGTTTATTATAATATTTCAATTTTAGAGTTCTTTATCAATTAATAATGTTATATTTCAATTAAAAAGAGTTCTTTATCAATTTTAAATTATCAATTTTATAATAATATTATTCAAAGATCCTCAATTGAATTGAAGGCTTTAAAATCCAAAGTGAGGGCGGAATAACATGCACTCTAAAATTACTTCCGAAGAAAAACTTATTTAAAAAAATACATCAACAACAACAGGAAACACATTCTCTGTACCCTACCATAGTAGTATTATATTATTGTTATTATTATTAGGGTTATTTTTCAATAGTTTTACTAGTTAGGATTTTGATGTTGTTAAACCAATTTAGTCCATTCTAGAAAATCTAATAGTAATAGTTTTTGATGTCTACCTTCGCCATATCATCATCAAAGAAAAGAAAACAACCTCAAGCTAATCTTGACTTACAATCCGATCAAACTAAAAAAACCAAAGCCTATCATCATACCATTATAATTGAGGACGAAGAAGAAGTTGTCGAAATTCCAAAGCCTAAAATGACTACAACAATACCATCAACAAGTGGATTTACTAAAAACAATACAACAGCATCAACAGGAGGAGGTTTAACAAATCCATCACCTTCAGTTACACCAACAAAGAAAAAGATAACTTGTCTTAAAATCAAACCTCTGTCTTTAAAACCGACAGTATCTAACTTTGAAGAAGAAACATGGAACAAGTTAAATAACGCTGTTGTTGCCATTCAAAAAAAGGAGAAAATTTGTACTGGACAAGAAGAACTTTATCAACTTTGTTCCGATTTGGCAAGACATAAAAAATCAGAAAGTACCTATTCCAAATTGAAATTACTTTGTTCTAAACATATTGAAAATGTAATTTATGATTTAGGACATAAAGCAACAACAGATCACACAACATTTTTAAATATTGTAGTTAAAAGTTGGGAAGAATTCACTGATCAAATTAATATGATAAGATCTATTTTCTTATATTTAGATAGGTCTTATGTAATGACAATACCAGATAAATCTATTTGGGATATGAATTTACAAATATTTAAACAAAATTTAAAGATTAATGAACATTTACTTAAAAAAATAATATCTGGGATTTTAATTTTAATTAAACATGAAAGAAGTGGAGAAAGTATTGATAAATCAGTTGTTCAACGTTTAATTAGAATGTTAACATCTTTACATTTATATGAAGATGAATTTGAAAAATCATTTTTAGAAGAAACTAGATCATTTTATTCTAATGATGGTTTAAATAATATTGATAAATTAAATGTACCAGAATATTTACAATATGTTGAATCTAGATTAAGACAAGAAGTTGATAGAGTTACAAATTATTTAAGTAAATTAACAAAGAAACCTCTTATACAAATAGTAGAAAATGAATTGATAAAGAAACATGTTAAAACAATTTTAGATAAAGGATTTGAAGAATTAATGGATCTTAATCGTATTATGGATCTTAATAGAATGTATGGATTATTTAAATTAGTCAATGAACTTGATGCAATTAAAGAAGCATTTACAGTCTATTTAAAGATTAGAGGTAAAAGAATTGTTGATGATGATCAAAATGATAAAAATATGGTTCAAGATACTCTTCAATTTAAGAGTAAAATTGATCAATTACATGAACAATCTTTCCATAAGAATGAAGAATTTAAACATGCTATAAGAAAAGCCTTTGAATATTTCTTAAATATTGTTCCTAACAAACCAAGTGAACTTATTGCAAAATATATTGATGGAAAATTAAAGAATAGTAAGGGTTTAACAGATGATGAATTAGAAAGATGTATGGATAATGCTCTAACAATTTTCAAATATATTAATGGTAAAGATATATTTGAAGCATTTTATAAGAAGGATTTGGGTAAAAGATTATTATTTGGAAAGACTTCATCATATGATGCAGAAAAGACAATGATTTCTAAATTGAGAGCAGAATGTGGTACACAATTCTCAAACAAATTAGAAGGAATGTTTAAAGATATTGATATTTCAGCGGAATTAATGAAAGGATATGAAACTAGTGCAGAATTTAAGAAATTTATCAATGAAGTAGGTGAAGAAAAGGATAGAGCACTTCAAATTGCATCCTCCCTCGGTGTTAAAGTATTAACATTGAGTTATTGGCCAAATTATACACCTGATACTTTAAATTTACCAATGGAACTTTCATTATTACAAGATTCATTTAGAGATTTTTATACACACAAATATTCTGGACGTATTTTGAAATGGGTTTCAAACTTGGGACAATGTTCAATGAAAGCCTTATTCCCATGTGGTAAAAAGGAATTGATAATATCATTCTATCAAGCAGTTGTATTATTACAATTCAATTCTAAAGAAAAGATTTCTGTACGAGAACTTAAACAATCAACAGGAATTCAAGATGAAAAACAATTAATTTTAACTTTACAATCATTAGCATTCCATAAGGAAAAAATTCTTAAGAAAGAAACTAAAGGAACTCAAGTTGAAGAGAATGATATTTTCTTTGTTAATGAAGATTATTCACAATCAAAAACAAAGATTAAAATTGATTCATTCCAATTGAAAGAAACAAAGAAAGAAAGAGAAGAAACAACTGAAAAAGTTTTATTGGATCGTTCCTATGTTATTGATGCAGCAATTGTTAGAATTATGAAAACAAGAAAACAATTAACACATCAACAATTATTAACTGAAGTTTTATCTCAAGTTCGTTTTTCAATTCAAGGTCAAGATGTAAAGAAGAGAATTGAAAGTTTAATTGACAGAGAATATTTAGAAAGAGATAATAATTCACAAGCAGGTAGTGCAAATTGTATTTACCATTACGTTGCTTAATTGTACAAATACACACAACTTCCAAAGAAGATGAAATACACTCATTACATTCAATGGATTTGAATGTACTAACCACACATAACTTTCTCTCTATTAAAATAATTTATTTTCAAGTAATTTGGTGAACAGTGAGATATTTTTCACACACCAGCCACTTCTTCATCTCTTGTCTCTTCATTGTTCAACATGGGTAATTAATACCATGTTACCACATCATCATCTTGTGTTAGTCAGCTAATAACCTCCTCACTGTTTCTTTTTTAAATGTCTTTTCATAGTGTAGATTCTTTTGAGAAGTGCCATGCTCTTTTTATATCATATCATCAGTCCACACCTCTCAAATCCGCCTTCTTTTGCTGGTGTAGAAATATTTTGAACAAAAAAAACCTCAGCTAAACCCTCTTGGATTTCTTGATTAAAAATGAAGAGAACCTACGAAGATCATCTAAAGGATCAGCAACAAACATCATCATCGTCAACCAATTCATCACATCAAACCGATGAACCTCCTATAGGAACAGTAAATAATACTAGTAATAATACTATAAATTCAACATCAACTCAAATTTTGACCCAACAACATGCCTTCCATCAACCTTCTCATCAAGCAACTGTCAACAGTAATCCAATGATGATACCAATCAATAATAACAACAATACTAATAGTACGATACCATCTAATAGTCATCATAACCGAATTCAATCAAATGCTGGGATTACTTCATCATTAATTAATAATCAAGCACAACCCTCACAATCTATAAATAACTCCTCTATCAGACTTCAGCAACAAAATTTTGAACAAGCATTAAAAAAGCCTAAAATTAATCCTCAACAACAACAACAATCAACAAGTCAAATTCCAAATCATATCAATGCTAATGGTACTACTTCAACAAATATTCCAATTAATACTATTAATCCAACAATTCCAAATCTTCTTCACATGACCAATCCAATAACTTCTACCTCAATAATACCTAATAATAATTCAACTCAATTACCAACAACTAGTCAACCAACTTTAAATCCACAACCAAACTTGAATCATCCAAATCTTCCACTTATTCCAACAATTAATGGAATTCCAAATATTTCAAATTTACCACCTCTATCAATGAATAATTTCTTATTTACAACTCCACCTTTTTTACAAGCAGCAGCTGCAGCTCAAAGAAATCGATCAAATTCAAATACTTCTAATAGTGGAAATATTCCTTATCCTAATCCAACTATAACTCCTAATTTATTTATTCCAACACCTAGTAATTTAATTCCAAATCAAAGATTGAGATCAAATTCTTCTTCTAATAATTTACCAATACCACCTATTCCTATTACAAATCCAAATTTACAAAATACTTTACAAAATAGATTAAGATCAAATTCTTCATCAAATTTACCTCCTTTCTTTTTACAACAACCACCAACTAATCTAGGAAATCAATCAATTAATTCAAATCCTTCTACTCCTCAAAAGAAACCACCCATTCAACCAAATTCTTCAACTCCAAATAGTCATCTTCATCATACTCCAACCAATTCTCATCAAATTAATCATAATTCTAATAATAATTCTAATAATAATAATAATACTATCACTGCTACTAGTAGTAGTAGTGGTGGAACAAGTTCAACAACTCCATCCACTATTAATAATGGTAATAATACTAATAATACTACAACTAATAATACAAATGATCAAACAAGAAGTCAAAAATTACGTGAAACTTGGTATGAAATTTATAAAAGTTTAAAAAAATTAGAAACATTTGTAAATGGTAAAAGAGAAAGTCAAAATTTGAATGAATTAAAACCATGGGAGAATGATGAACATGTATTATTATTTACAACTATATATAATTTATGTATTTTACCTGATTCAGTTTATTATGAAGAACAATTATATAATTTATATTCAATTTATATTAAAAAATATTTACAAACAACAATATTACCAAAATTAAAAGATAAATATGGAGAAGATTTATTAAATGAAATTGTTTTTATTTGGATTAATTTTAGAGACATTTTTGTAAAATTTTGTTCCTATATATTTAAATATTTAGATCAATTTTATGTTGCTTCAAATACTAAAAGAACTTTAAAATATGAAGCTTATTATTTATTTAAAACAAGTATATTTGATCATTGTAAAGTTCAATTAAGACAAATTTTACTTGATAAAATTACACAAGATCGTAAATTTTATAATTCCGATAATTCTTATTACATTTCACAAAGACAATTATTAAAACAAACTTTACAATTATTTTCTGAAATGGATGATCCAAATATTACTTTAAATACAGGTGGTCTTCATCATGCTAATAATAATAATAATAATACTACTAATACTAATACTACACAAAGTAATAATATTGGTACAAGCAGTGGTGGTACAAGCAGTAATAATGATAATATGATTATTGATTCAACATCAAATCAATTATCATCATCATCTACACAACAACAACAACAACAACATTCAACAAGTGAGGTCTATGTTGATGAATTTGAAAAATATGCAGAGAAGGAAACAAGTGAATTTTATCATAAAATTGCTAATGAATGGATTGAAAAGTATAATTTAACAGAATATTTATTATTTGCTGAAGAATGTATTCAACAAGAACAAACTAGAATTCAAGCAATATTTCCAACTAGTTTTTCACAAAACAAGTTAATGAAATTATGTGATTTGGAATTATTGAAAAATATGCAAAAACGTTTATTAGAAATGAGTGGAAGTGGTGTTAAAATTTTAATTAGAGATGAAAAATTTGATGATTTGAAAAGATTATATCGTTTAATGAATAGATTAGAAGGTGGTTTAGATCCAATTGCTGATTTATTTAAACAATATTTAATTTTTGTTGGAAATGAATTATTTGTCAAGTATGAAAATGCTTCATCTGAAATGATTAAATCTAATGATAATAATTTAAATAATAATAATAATAATGGTAATAATAATGGTAGTACATCTAATACATCAAATAATAATAATACATCTAATAATACATCTAATAATAATATTCATATAATATCTAATGAAGTATATAGTAAAGTAGTTAGATTTTTAATTGATTCCTATGTTCAAGATTTATTAGAACTTCATCAAAAGATGAAAAATATAACAAATGGATCATTTTCAAGAAATGTAATATTTCATAAGGCCATGTCAGAAGGATTTAAACAATTTGTTAATAAGAATATAACACTTGGTCAATTTGAAATTAGAATTGTACAATTATTTGCCTATTATACAGATGATGTATTAAGAAAGAAGAGTGATGAAAAGAAATTAGATTGTATTGTTGATTTTATTCAATTCTTTTCAGATAGAGATATGTTTATTGAAGAACATCGTAAATTATTTGCTATAAGATTATTAGTAACTGATTATCAAGAATTAGAAGAAAGAATGATGATTTCTAAATTAAAATATCATTATAGAGGTGTTGCTGATACTTATAAATTAGAGAAAATGTTAACAGATAAAACAATGGCCAATGATATGAAATTAGAATTTCAAAATTATATTACAACAAATCAATTACAACTTTCATATGATGTTAATGTTACAGTTTTAACTATGGGAATGTGGCCTTTAAAAGCAAAAGAACACATGTTACTTCCAAAGGAATTTTTAGAATCACAACATTTATTTAAACAATTTTATGATTCTAGAAATGGTAAAAGAGTTTTAAAATGGGTTTATTCAAAGAGTATGGCTCAAATTCATGCTCATTATATTAATGGTAATCATTTATTTGAACTTTCTACTTTACAAGCTTCAATTTTATTACTTTTTAATGATCAATTACAATTATCTGTTAAACAAATTGAAGATTTAACTGGTTTAAATTTTGATGGTACAATTAATCAGAATAATAGTAGTAATAGTAGCAATAATAATAATAGTACCAATAATGGAATGAATCAAAGATCAAGTTCATTTGGAAGTAATACTACAGTTGATTTGAATAATAATTCAGATATTGATTTGAAACAATCAATAATTTCATTATCATCAACAAAATTTCCAATTTTAATATTTAATCAGAAGGAAATGACACTTTCATTGAATGAAAATTTTACATCTCGATCATTTAAACTTAAAATTCCATTACCAAGAATAACACAAAAAGATACACAAGGTACACAAACAAGTGTTAGTACAGATAGAGTTCATATTTTAGATGCATGTGTTGTTAGAATTATGAAAACAAGAAAGACAATGAATATTCAATCATTATTTAATGAAGTTAGTTCACAATTAATTCCAATATTTACTCCTGATGTTAAACAAATTAAGAAGAGAATTGAATCTTTACTTGAAAGAGATTTTTTGAAAAGAGATGAACAAAATAATTCAATATTACATTATGTTGCATAAATTATTACAACATTATATTCAATTTATTTTAAAAGTTGTAAAAATTTTGTTGGATGACCTCTCATTTCTGCAACTTCAAGTGGTGTTTGTCCTTTACTATTCTTTAATGTTTTATCAGCTCCTAATTTAATTAATTCTTCAATACTATTACTTCTACCAAAATATGCTGCAATATGAAGTGGTGTATCATTAAACTATTGAAATTTCATTATTATTATTCATTGGTTGATGATCTTTTGGTGATACTTACATACTATTAATATGAGTAGTAAATAATTTAATTATTAATAAACATACACTTGTACTATTAACATTAATTCCTGCTTTCACTAATATTGGAATGATTTCTGAATTACCCTTTGATGAAGCTCCATGAAGTGGATTCCACTGTGAGAATGAAAATTATCAAACTCTTTCAATTACTACATACTTCAACATGCTAGTGTCATGTCACATATATTTGTTTCTTCCAATGAAATGTTATAATACATACTTTCTTAATATTGTTGTAAGCATTAGATCATCATTTGAATAGACTTACATCTCCTATATCTAAATTAATAGAAGTCCTAGTTATTAAATAATTTACAATATCCTTATTTCCTTTAAAAGCTGCTGAAAATAGAGGTGTCTATTATTGATGATGATCATCATTACAACTATTTTAAAACATACCCACTAAAAACATCTTATTAATCATGATCGGAATGTTAAACTTACCTCAGTTTCTATTAATCCTACTTGTGAGTAAGCATTAACATCAGCAATACTACCCTCCACTAATCTTTTCACTGCAAAAAAATCTCCCTTAGTAGCGGCTTCATATAATTCTCTCGTTGGATTATTTTGTGCCATTTTTTTTAAAGAAATAACGGTAATTTAAGCTTGATAACACTACGAATTATACTACTGTTGAGGAAGACCAAGAACATGCTTTGCTTGACATCATATGCTTGGATCATATAGCTATGGAGTTATGAGATTCTCAAGATGGTCTATTTTTTGGTAATTGTCATTGTAAAAATAGTCAATTAGTATTTAAATATTCGTATTTAAGAGCAAATAGTTTGAAAATACGAAAAAAATGACAACTCTTTATCTGATTGATTTTCATACTAATGATGATAAGAGTGAAAATCAATCACCATCACAATATTTATTTAATTATTTAAAAAATAAAATCGGAATGAATTTAAAATCATTTTCAAAACAATATCATAAAATTCAAACACTTTTACATTCATCACTAAAGCTCTACACATGTTATGATATTGTAATTTATAAAGATTTAATAATTTTAGGAGGAAATAGAAAATTACATTTATTTAATAGATTTACTAGTAAATATAAAAAATCAATTAATACTTTAATATCGACACATGGTATGCATATATATGAATCATTTCTATTAATGACAGGTGTTGATACAGATGGTCATTCAAAGTGTTTTAAATTTGATTTAAATATTTTATTAACGAATGAGGAAGATGATGGATTAATTTGGAAAACTCAAGTTGGTATTTTACAAAGTTCTTGGGGCGTATCAGTTTTGGATAATTTGGTTTATGTTGTTGATTTATCTATTTTTGCATTTGATATTGAAAATGGTGAAAGAGTAAGCGATCCAATATTTGTACCTGAAATGGATATTGGAAGTGGTTTTGGAATTGTTTTCACACCAGAAAGAGAAATGGTATTATCTAGAACATCATTCTTTGCATTAGAAGCATCGAGTCCACTAGAAATGTATAAAATTAATGAACAAGATGGAAAGTGGTACCTTATTAATAAGCCAGACACAACTTTAATGGATAGAGGTTCTTATGGAATTTTCTATGAAAAATCAACAGATTTAATTTATCAAGTTGACAGAAAAGCAAAGAGAGTTAACATGTTTCAAAAACAATTTGAAAAATTAATTCGTGTAGATTTATCATTTCCACTCGATACTATTTATCATTATGCAATTGCTATTGATGAAAAAACAGGTCAATTAATTCTACCAATAGTTGATGGATCAGCTCAAATCTTTAATTAATCAGTTAGTTTATTTTTTATAATGTTTGAAATTAAACACATAATTTCTACTTAAACATTAGTTTGTGGTGTTTCAACATTAATGTTTTCAGCAGTGATATTTTCTTTCAATTCAACATCCTTTTCGGTAGCGACATCCTTATCTTCAGTAGCAACAGGAGTTTCTTGGGTAGTAGCGTTATTGGTGGTTTCAACTGGAGTGGCAGTAGCAACAGTTTGTGCTTCAATTGGCTTATTTTCCTTCAATTCAACATCATTCTTATCTTGGGTTGATTCAGACTTCTTTGGTGTAGCACCCTTCAATTCTTCAGCAATCTTTTGCTTTTTCTTTTCCTTTTGGAATTCAACAAATTCAACCCAATTCTTGAAACTTTCATCCAAATCTTCTTGATTAATATTAGCATAACCATCAACATCATGCAAAGCAACATCTATTCCAGCCTTTTCTTGTTTTTCAGAAATTCTGAAACCAAAACCTCTTGGAATGAATCTCATAATAATGAACAATGGAATACACCAAGCAGCACCCCAAGCAATAACAACAACAGCACCCAAGAATTGCATACCAAATTGTTCACCGTTACCCCAGAACAATGAACCAGTTGAAACAACATTATAAGCAGCAGAAACACCACGTGGTGATGAGAAGATACCAGCAGCAATTAAACCCCACAAACCACAACCACCATGGACTGGAACAGCATCCAAAGGATCATCAATCTTTAATTTTCTCAAAAGGAATGAAAGTCCAATATAAATAGGAGCAGCAATAATACCAATACAAACAGCTCCCCAAGGTTCAACAGTAGCACAACCAGCTGTAACAGCAACGAGACCAGCCAAAACACAATTTTGAAGATTACCAGCATCCCATACTAGGAATTTTGGAATACACAATCTAATGAAAGCACCAGTAAGACCAGCAGATGCAGCAGCTAAAACAGTATTTACTGTAGCCTTAGCAGCAACAATAGACATTCCATTAGAAATGGCAGTAGTAGAACCTCTGTGAATGAATTATTATTATAAAATTAATATTATTATCATTAATTGGTTAAATGAATTAAGGTAATTAAGGGAAATACTTACGGATTGAAACCAAACCAACCCAAGAACAATAACAAGGTACCCAAGAATTGGAAAGGAATATTGTGAGGCTTGAAGTAATTTTCATTCTTCTTAACCCATCTTCCCTTTCTTGGACCCATAATAACAGCACCACAGAGAGAGGCAACACCTCCCAAAAGGTGAACAACAGCACAACCAGCAAAATCAATAACTCCCAATGATCCAGGTCCTTCAATATCCTTCTTTAATGGAGACAACCAACCAGAAGTAGACCAGAACCAGTGAGCAACAACTGGATAAATCCAACCAGCAAAGATGGCAGCATAAATCAAATAACCATGAGTAGTGGTTCTTTCAGAAATAGCACCTGATAAAATTGTTGTAGTATCAGCAACGAAGGCCCATTCAAAGACCCAAATATGCCATGATTTATATGAACTCCTAAATAATAATTAATATCACAAGCCTTGTGGTTTGAAAAACACTTACCAAGCAGTAACGAAATCACATATTATTAATATTAATGAAAATATTATATCAAATAGGAGTAATTATTTCAGAATTTTGATGAGGACTTTTAAAAACTTACGCATTGCCTATAAAACCGTTTCTTGTTCCTGATGTGGTATCGTCACCAAAACTGTTATAGTGGATGGCATCAATCATCAGCAAGTGGATTACAATTTCTTCATCAAATAATTATTATTACTTACGCCAAACCATATCCTAGAATCCACCAAGCAATAGTGACCATACAAGTTCCTAATAAATTCTGAATTGGTTAGTATGCCATTATTTCATTGTTATTTACTAACCTTTGTTAAAATATTAACCACAGAGGTGCTTCTAACAGACCCGGCTTCCAAAAAAGAAAAACCAGTCTGCATAAGGAAGACCATCATGGTACATACCAACACCCACAAGGTATCCATGTCTGTGTGTGTTTGTGCAATCGCTGCTTCCAACGAAGCAATAGTAGTATTAGACGAGCTCATCGTGCCCTGTTTATTTCAAAGTAGTCTTCACTTGGGATGAAAAAGAGAACGTGAACGACGCTTAGTTCAATTTTTTTGTTTCAAACTTTGCGGCATTTTCAAGGATGATACGATGCTACGGCTGTTTTAGGTGATTGGCGCCAAAAGGCAAGAAAAACGGTCTGATCATTACAAAAAGGCTTTAGAGTGTAAGGGGAACTAGAAGAACAAGCACCATTAAAGGCGCACAACCATGTTTAATTTTCTAAATCAAGTGGTGAGGAGTTCAGTAGGTGTTAAGGACGGCATCATATTTGGCTATTTAATTTGTAAAGCTAAATCAATTGAATATTAACATTAATAAGGGAGTTTAATCAAGCTCAATACCAACATACCAACCACCAAGCACAGCATCTATTTCTGTTTTGGCTGCTAAAGGAGTTGTCCAACCACAATAACCACCACCTGTCAATTTAATTTTCTTATTATGTTTCTCAAATTTCCATGATCCGTTGCTTGCACAGCCATCATGATGGAATTTAGCATTGAATTTAAATCTTGTGCCAGTTAGATCACAACAAGCTTTAGCATCATCACATCCAGGTGATTCGCATCCAAAACAACTTGCATAAGGTATTTGAGTCTCACTTTCAGGGTGGTGGGAACATCTTCCTGTTGATCTAGTGAAACGATAATCAGATGTATGGATAAGCATTGTCTTTGGATCAACCCTCAATTTAAACCATCTAGTAATCACGTCTGTATTCCCAGGATGAGGCCAATCCATCCTATGTGGTATTTTGTATGTTGAATAGTTTGTATCAAATTGGACAAGGCTTATGTAGTATTGATTTGGTTTTCCTTGATATAATTTAATAGTAGCTTTCGGAAAGTTGACCATTTGATATCTGTAGTCATAACAAATTGTTTTCAGAGATTTACAGGTTAGCATCAATGATCTCCATGTCTTGTCATCATCTTCAATCATTAAAAAGATGGTGAGAAGAATTTCATCAGGCAATTCAAGCATTTTATTTTATGTAATTTCTTAAACCAATTTTTATGAACTTTTGAAATCTCTCTGATGAACCATTTTTTAAGAAACATTTGGGGTTTTTAAGAACTGCATGAGATTATCCAACAATTTTCTGGGCTGGATTTTGATTAATAGCCACATTCTAATAAGCCAAGTTGACAATGCAACGAATTTCCATATAAAAGTGGAAACTAAAAATCAAAAAAATGACAAGACACCAAAGCAAAGAATCGTTGGTGGCAGAGTTATACTATGCAGCAAATTCCTTCCCGAGTGCACATAAATTTGAAGTATTAGTATTAGATGAGAGACATCTTTATTCTAGTGAATGTCTTGTTAGTCGTCCATTATCAAATCATCCTTCCTATAATTTAAAAAATTATGATAGATATTCTAATGATGAAATTAGATATTATAGTCCTATTCAGATATTTTTATTTGATCAATGTGCAAAAGGAAGTGTTTTAGAGATTAGTCAAATTGATTTTGTTGATATTAACAGTAAGAATCAGATTCGAGCTTGGCAGTCAACTAATATTCGAAGTGATTGTTTAGGATTAGAGAGGATTAATAGAATGTTGAATAATGTAACCACCCATTGGATAACTATGGATATAAAAACACTTTCAAATCAGAAATATGATCAACTTGAGATTACAAAGAGTGAAATGTTGGTAGATTTACCAATTGAAATCAAATATGAAATAATCACATTCATTCCAACTTATTCAAAACCAGAAAGAATCAAAATGATGGAAAGAAATGTGAAAATAACTTGTGAGCAAATGGGCATTAGCCAAGATGAATTTTATGAAAAACATTGTGATGATGATTGTAATACTAGACTATGGGAAAAGAAATTAAATCCAGCCTGTATGAAAAGAGTGGATAATGAATTTATGACTTGTGTCAAGATGAGATTGATTAATAGAGAATATGCTTTAATGATGAAAAAACGAATTTTACAATTGGATACTCTATATATTTATGATGATGATTTTGGAGAAAGAAAATATGTTAGAGCTAGTTTAGAATTATCAAAAAGAGAATTTATGAAAAATCCCTTAACTGATTCATTGTACATTATGCATCCTAAAATTAATAGAAAAGATCTTTGCCTTACTAATTATAACAAACTTAGATACATTCGATGTGCTCCAATTTTGAATGAAATAAGCGAGGTATATTCTCTCAACCATTTCTCAGCTTTTGGATTGAAAGAAGTACGAATTCCATTGATGAATAGAATTGATTTTTGTGACAATAGAAAAGAATTGAAAATTTATAGACCAACAGTAATGATACAAGATTTAGTAGACTTAAGAGGATTATTCGAACAAAAATTGGATATCTACTGTTTATTTGTTGATGCAAGAATTACTCTTAGATTTGTTGAGTATTTCAACAATTCAGAGAGCTACCAAATTACTCTTCACAAAAGAGATTTTTGTAAGAGAATTAGCTATGAGGAAGAGGGCAAACCCGTTATTGAAGTGAATTTGTTTGAATTGACTGAATATCATCCACTAATGTTCTCACAAATGACCAGTGAACATTCGTTTTACCGTTTAGATCTTTCAAATATGAAAAAAATGTTGGACTCTATTTTCAAACATGGACATTCCTTATTTGAATGTTATATACCTGAATTGCATTATTTTTATACTGCTTTTGAAGCTCCAACATTCTTACAACCTTACACTAATTATCTTCGAAGTACTTTTCAAAAATATACTCTTGATTTTAAACCATGTTTGGATTTTAATTTCGACCCAATTACTAAAATGGAAAAATATAGAGCTATTGATGTACTTAGAAACTCTCTCTCCTTCAACAAAAACAATGCTGAAGATTATTGTATCATAATATTGGATAAGGCTTGGATAATTTTTAAGGATAACAATAACTTGAGAAGTTATTTCTTTAGACCCTATTTGTCCTTTTTGAATACTTATCAACTTTTTTCTCATATCACAGGGGATGATTTTGGAATAGATTGCATGGAAGAAGAAGAGCTTGCCTATCAAGATGAACATGGTTCAACACTTCTTCATCAGTTTGCAAGTGATAAATTTGATTTGGATTATGAGGTTGTAGAAGAAATATTGGAATGCTATCCAAATTTATTGAGTATTTGCAATAATGAAGGACAAATGCCGAGTGAAGTATCAGGAGCAGGACAAAAATTTATTTCACATATTATGGAGAGGAACGAAATTGTTGTAAACGAAAAGTGGTATAGAATCAACCCCTACGAAAAACCAAATAAGAAACAAAAACGAATTGACTATTTTCTAAATGTAAAGTAAATTATGTTATTGTTAAAGTATTTGCTTTAATGTTTGTGTTCCCACTCATTTTTGAAAGTGAGTAAATCTCTTTCATTTGGTTCCCACCAATTTAATTCTGAATGAGGAGCTGCACAAGATTCATCACCACAATGATAATGATGGTGGTGATCCCCTAATTGATCGTACTCTTGGTAATATCCAAGACCAGAACGAGGATCATCTTCATGAGATGCTACATTTCTTCCCAACAATCCTGTTGTGAACTTATCACGACTTAAAACGTCGTTTAATAATTTTTGGTCTTCTGATAATCTTGGAATCATTTGATTAAGAATTGCAGTTGAAATCATGTAGTTTTGAGCCTTCTTGTCATTTTCAGAAAGAATTTCTTTCATTGACAAATATAAAGGTAAGTAAAGTTGATAATTTGGTCTTAATCCATGTTTATCCTCCAAGTCAACAATAAAATTGAAACATTCATCAAATTTCTCATTTTCAATAAAACAATTCACAATATCTCTATATGTTTTGTAATCTAATGTAAATTTAAATTGACTATGAACACTGTTAACCAAATGTAAAGCAAATGGTAAATAGCCAAAATAACATGAAATATTAATTAATTCCAAATAAACTCCTAAATTATTCTTCTCTTCTCCTTTCTTTAAAGTTTCCGATAGTTTAGCAAGTGAATTAATAAGAGTGACATCATGAATTGTATTCTTTGTTGATCCTCTTCTAGTCTTGGATACATATTGATAGATTAGTCTATCTAATTCTTTCAAGTATTTACTTGATCCTTTTGGAAGATGAGATGGCACTTTATTTCTAATAATTTCCCAAGATTTAATTTCCATATCATTAATTTCGGAATTATCCGATGCAAATAATTTACTATTATGAGTAGCAAAATGTTGTTGTTGTACAACTACTCTTGTAATTAACAAGTTATTATTCATCATGTAATTATTTAAAATATTGGAAGGCTTCTTATTGAGGCATGATGATTGCCTAGCCATGAATTGAAATAACTGTGCAGTGGATCTTCTCATTTTTTTTCTTTTAAATTTTTCATTTCCATCCAATCAATTAACAGATAAAATCCTAACGAAAATTTATTAAACACATCAAGTCAAAAGTAAATATATTAAAATATTAAAATATTTAATTGTGTGTTTCAATACAATGTAATCTTTAAGGAACAATGAAATTAGCAGTATTTGAAAAACAATAAAATTTCGGAAGTTGAGCTCGAAGGAATCTTTCGGAAGTATAGGAAACCAATTTCCTATTCTAATAATAAATATTCTGTTCAAAAAGTGAATTCGTTCAAATTCAACCAACAACTCAAAAAAACAAATGCCCAAAAGCACATCACGTGGTGGTAGCACAAATACACTGCAGCAACAACAACAATCAGATGATTCAGAGCAATCAACAACAACAACTTCACCTCCCGATAATGATACCAACAATACAAAAAACAAACGTGTCGTTAAAACACCCTATACTAAAAGAGCCTGTATAAGTTGCCACAAGGCTAAAGTTAAATGTTCTCATGAGAGACCATGTCAGAGATGTATTACCAAACATATTGAATGTGTTGATTATGTTCCTGTTCAACAGCAACAGCAACAGCAGCAACAACAACATCAACAACACAACAACAATTAGCCTTGATTCCTAATCACCAATTTTGTCCCATGATTTTACTTCCAACAACAGCTGGAGGAGTTGGTGCTTTTAATGCAGCAGCCATGTTTCATCATCATAATTTAGTAATGCCAACAACAACAGGAGCTGGTTCTAATCCAGCTGCACTTGCACTTCAACCAACAACAACCACTAGTACTAGTACAGGCTCATCTACAAATTTTGTGAATGGTTATCCTGCCTCTTCTTTGGCAGCAGCAAGTTTCAATCAAATTGTTGATGTAACCGATTCAATAAATAACAACCATCATACTACAACATCATTGGTCACTACACCTTCTTCATCATCATCAAATTTATTAAATAATTATCATCATTATCATCAAAATAATAGTGGTGGTGCTGATTTAATGATGATGGATGGAAATGTTGGAGATGATTCACCATTCCTTTCTAAACATTCACCTGGATTGTTTTTCAATGAACATAGCATGAATGATGACCTTTTTTCAACTTCTCCACTTCCTCATCATAATTCTGGTCATAACTCAACTGGATTTAATCATCGTTCAATTATTAATGATGAAGGTATTGACGAATCCATTGTTGCTTCTGAATTGGTTAAAGATGATGAGGAAATTAATCAAGCTGATAGTACAAGTTTAGTTGACAATTCCACAGCTATGGAGCTTCAACCATACAAGTCAAATCCTTCAATTCATCATAATAATAATAATGATATTACTCATTTGGGTAATTTAATATGTATGGTACTTCAAAGACAGGACAAACAAGCTAGAGATTTGAAAGAATTGAAAGATGACATTATTGAGATTAAGAAATATCTCATGCCAAAAGGTTCAAATAATAATAATGGAAGAAAATCATCTGCCTTAAGACCAATTGATTGAATGAAGAGATTAGAATAAGTTATTGGCTTGGAATAATTTTGAAACAGTTGGTACTGATGATGTAGAATATAGCCTCAATGAAAAGGTTGAATTCAAAACATCTATCTAGAGAATGGAGAACATAAATTTTATTTTTTGACAATTTTTCTTCGCGTTCAATTACAATGAAGAATACTGATAAGTGAAGAAACAATAATTAGAATATTCTTCTTAAGAAAATCAATGGAGAAAAAATTTGAAATCTTGGAAATAGTTTTTCATTTTGTAATTTTAGACGGGAAGCCTGCCAGGAATATGGCGACAATCCCGCTACAGTCTTTGACTGTATGAACGGTGAAGGCAACGAATCTATTGATTGTTGGTTCAGTAAGTTTGTTGTTTTGAAAAGCTTGCTACGTGACCATTTATTTATCATCTTTGAATTTTATCTATTTAGAAAGAGAAACTTGTGGTTGATAAATAAACGATCAAATTTATCCAAAACAAAAAAACAATTTTAACAATAATCAAAATACCAACTCCACCTCCACCAGCTAACATTGTTCCAATCAAGAAGTGTAGAAGAGCAACAATTCTCTGCCTATGAACTAGCACAACTTTCGGCAGTTTCTGCTATGGTTCAAGGTGAAATTAAAGGAATTCCATTGGGTGCCAAGGTTACCGCCAAGAAACCAACCAAGGAATGCATTGATGTAAGAGAAGCCGTAGGACAACAAATTTCTCAAGTTGTCTTAAATTCGAGTCAAAGTGCTGATGATTTTTGACCAATTCTACATTTGCATTGTGGGAATTGTTGTGCAATAATGGATTCGAATTGAAGGAGGCTAATATGATGACAATCCTATTTGACAAGTTTGAATTATGAGATATCAATGTTTTCATTTATAATTTACTGGATAACCAATCCAAACCTTCGAATAATCCAGTGCCAGACAGGGCACTACATGGTTGTATAAACCATTCTTGCTTAATCTCGTGTAATTTCAAAGTATTGACCATATCTTTAACATTGGCAGCTCTTGGCAAATCTTGCTTATTAGCCCACACCAATAACTTGGCATCTTTCAACAGATCATCCTGCATAACTTCCCGTAAGGTTTCGGCAGCTTCTTTAAATCTCTCATTATCATTGGAATCGACAATGAAAATGATAGCATTCGTCGATTGATAATAGTGTCTCCATAACTTTCTAATCTTATCCTGACCACCAATATCAAACACTCTAAAAGTTACCTTCTTATATTGTAACACTTCAGCATTGAAACCAATGGTTGGAATGGTGCTGACATTTTCATCTAATTGAATCTTATATAGAGCTGAAGTTTTACCAGCTGCATCCAAACCAAGGAATAGAATCTTGGCTTCCTTATTTTCGAATAAACCTCTGAGCCATCCAGAGAAGAATTGACCAATCTTTTTGAAAAAGTCCATTTTGTTTGAGTTGTTAGAATTGTTATAAGTTGTTAGTTGAATTGCTTGTTTGCAAATTGTCTTTTTTTTCCAAGAATATCATTCAATGTGCATTATTTGAATGAAAATGTGTCTTCATTATCAGCATTTTAATTTCGGAGATGTTGACATCATACTTTTTGTAATGATGATGAAAATTTCGTCATCATGCTTAAAAATAGATAGAAGAATTGTAAAATGAACCATGAAAACATTATGTGAACTTTAAAAACACTTTCTACGTATGATCCAACCTCTTCATATGGCAAACATTGCTCTTAAGAATATTAGGAAGTGAAGTGCAAATTAAAATTTTTACAGAGGTAAAAAGGCATGGGTTTCACCAACACTTCAGATAAATGAGCTGATAGTGATGTTAGAATTACACTACACGCTCAAATTTAGTAAGTGTTCACAATCTCTCTAACCTTCAGATTGTTTAAACACAGGTAATGTTCACTGCCTTATGGTTAATTCTTTTTTTTAAAACAGACTTGAAATCATTTCCACTTATTCAGAAAGGACATTGGTCTAAGGTGAATTAAGGAATTTTTTCAATATGAATGTAATGTAATGTTACAGTCATCATTCACTGGTGGTTTTTCAATCACAGGCAAAACTCTCGTTCATACCTTGGGTACACTTTTACAAACAAATTGATCCCCGGTCACTAAACCAACAAACAAAAATATTGGAACTATGAACACTTCTTAAAAAGGATTGAATCCCAACACTCTCATTTTTTTTCTCAAACCACATCTCTTCCAATACTCAATCAAGTCAACAAAAGAAATTAGAAATATTTATCATCAACTTCCTCTTAAATCTAAAAGACTACAGCACCACAGGTTCCCAAGTTGTCTCCAACCTCAGTACTGATATGGCTAGACGATGCTTAACTTCTCAAATCGGACGGGATGAGGTGTATTCATCGTGATATGGCCGTAGCCATTCATCTTAATACAATCAATAAAAAGAAGGAGTTTGTGACCTTGAGTAGTGCTGGGAGTGGTCCAGGTTCTTCATCTTCTTTGGAAATTAATCCATACCATCACAAACCTTCACAAGATGGCACATCTTAATATTTACAAAATACACCACTTCTTCAATTCGGATTCACTTTCAATTTGATACTCGAGTTTTTTATTTTTCTTCTACATCCAAAACTTCGTGTATATCTGTGACTGTGTCTGAAGTCGACTTGACGTAAATTGAAGAATCAGAAGTTCTGAATACTCTATAACGACGCCATCCACTGCCTGAAGGTACCTGCATTGTATCGAAATTAATGATTTTACCATTATTTAACACATATTCTTCCTGACCTCCCTTATTATAGAGTCTGTAAGCAGTTTCGACTTTTTTGGATTCTTCTGCATTCAGAGTTGTTCTATATCCTCTTCCTGATATATGCCAAATATATTTACTCATCTTTTTCTTTCCTTGTGCTTTGCACTCAGTTTCAGCATGAGTATATGCATCTTTGAAAAAGTTCAGTTTGTGTGGATGGAAACTTCCTACAACATATTGACGACCTGGGTCATAGGTTATCCATTCCAAGTGTAGTGGCAGGTCACTTTTTGGTTGTGTTGTTGAAATTATTTCATTAATGTTATTTAACGAATATTCAAAGAATAATTTCTTTTTGGCTTCTTCAATAAGATATTCTGTCCTGCTGTTAATATGTTCGAAATATTGACTAGCTGTAACAAACTGTTGTTCATTTGAACCAAAGAAGTAACGACGTGAAACATTGACTTGCACATAGTCATGGTATTTGGACTTGGAGATCATTTTTTCAGCAGAGTCAACATCCTTTCCTCCTCCAATACTTTTAAGGCCAGCTCTAAATTTTGAATGCTTATAAGAGTGTCTGAGAAGGAGAATTTTTGCAAGACCAGTCACATTGCTAAGCTTTGCCACCGTTTTTGGTTGAACATATCTTCTTCTATTTGGTTTATAAAAGCAATCCGTAATTAAAAGATCGTTCTGGATACGTTTTTCATCAAACCCAGCCACACCTATTCTAAAACCTCTTAGTGCATATTTTGCGAGTCTTAGTTCGTATCTAAATTGACAATGTTACATAGTACAATTATAATGATACTTACGTAGTTGATTGACGATCTGGATCCACAATATTACATCTTGTTTTGATTGCTTGAATGGCTCTTGGTAACGCATAGACTTGAGAGCCATCAAAGCCAACACAACAGCAATTCACATCAAAACCCATTAACACTTCAGCCTTTTGTTTACCAAAAGATTTGTAAATTCTCAAAATTATTAAAACTTACTGGAGCTTTGTAAATTCTCAAAATCACTTGCACTGTTCTTACAGAGCTAATAAATTTAAATGTAATAGCATTTTCAGTTCTAAGCAACAAGATATCTTCATGGCTCTCTTCTCCTGTTTTTCTTGCGTAATTTGGAATGTCAGCTAAATTCTTTTTAAATAAATTATAAAGGTAGACTATTTTGTTTTCAGCTTCCTTTTCATTTAATCCATAGAGGAATAAATCAATATCACTATTTTTCCAATATGATTTTTGGAAATATTCGAAAAGTTGTTTGTCTAAATCTTTTTCTTTTTCTTGTGTTACATTGCCGAAGAATGAGTAATGGGAAACTGGCTCACTTTCTTCAGAAGATGAAGATGTAAAATAACCATCTGTATCTACTTGATCTTGATCAGATTCAGAACCATCATCTTCTTCATATAATATCTTTTTTTTTGGCTTTTCTATGCTAATAGGTGTGGAGAATCTGCTTCTAAACCTCCTGTTCCTATTGGATTCTATCAAGTCCTCTCTTTCAAGATCAGCTTTTAACATACAAGCCAAAATACCACCACCTAATTTAAATATTAAGTATTATAGAATTGAAGTGATACATACCAGCAACAAACACATTTGACCAATCCATGTCCTTAAAGATGCCACATGTTAAGGCATTAAATTGCGTGAAAAATTCTGCTCTTGTAGAGCAGAGTTTTGGGACTGGAGGAAGCAATAAATTTGAAAACTCATTGATAAGCTCAGAAGCCTAAAAGGAAAAATACAAAAATTACAATTATGAAAAATACAAAATACTTACCTCAATTGGATTTTCAAAGTCAAAGATCATAGGAACAGTTTGAGGGGGATCACATTGATCGAACAATGTTCTTGTGGCGTGTTCGCTACCGAATACATTAACCAAATGAATGTAAGGATCAGCTAAAATTGGATTTTCTCTTTCTGAGACATAAAGATTTCTCAAAAAGTCTTCGTCCTTCTTGATTTTAAGATTTTCAGCACCAACATCCTCAATAGGATATCGAAGAGGATCTAAAAATTCCAAAAGTCCCTTAAGTTTAAACTCTCTGGCTTCCTTGTAAACAAGTTTTCTCTTTGATATGTCTTTTGGGACAGAGTTAAACGTGGCACTCTCCAAAAATTCAAAGACAACAGAGAATATTTCACTATCTCTGTCAAGGAAAATTTCATTATTGGAGCTTGCAAGAGCAAGTTGTGGAAAGATGCTTTCTGTGTGCACAAGTAACTTTTCAATACCACAGACAAATTTCACACCTCTAACATTGAAAGTAATTGGTTCTTTTTTGAGAGAGGCTTCCCTTTGTCTAAGCTCTTCTCTTTCCTTTTCTATCTCATCCTCAGTCTTTTTCATAAATTCATCCATAACTGTCTTTTCCTGTAGAGTAAGTTGTTTGAACTTTTCCAACCATTTTTCATCACTTGCATCTTGGTCAGAATCGAGATTAGTTTTCTTTGAAACTGGTTTAGGTTTTACTACTTCGTCGACCATTTCATTATTTGATTCATTAGGTTTGTTATTATTTTGGTCAGCATTGAATTCTTTAATTAGATTTGCAATTTTGGCACTCAACTTGCCTGTACCAAAGTAATCAGATTCCACCAATAATTCCTTTAACTTTTCAATATTTTCTTCATTAGAATTTTCCCAAAGACCAACATAATTTGTACTTCCTAAAAAAGATCAAAAAGAACTATTTCTAAAACATACCTGTACGAATGTGTTCTAAAATTATTGGAAAATACTCTGGATTACTATCATTCAACAAAATACATCCATTCTCATCAGTGTCAACCTTAAAATCAGAATTCAACATGGTCTTGATCATGTTATCTCTCTTATTGAGAGTAGACATTGAAGTGATGAACATTTTCCCTCCAACCATCAATTTAATAATATTTTCACCCGATTGCAAAATTTCCTTCACCTTGTTATTATGATACGCACTATTACTACTGCTACTATTATCTTTTCCTGCCTTTTCCAATACTTCAAGTTCCCTTCTCTTTTGTTGATTCTTTCTACGTTCTTCATCAATTTTATAGAGTGCATCAATTCTAACTTTCTCTAATTCTTCTCTATCGATGATATATTGCGGATCATGAGATGATCTACGTGGCAGAGTTTCATCCCCCGCGGCAGATGTGTAATCCTCAGCCTTTCTCTTCTTGGCTTGTTGAAGCATTTTTTTTAACTTGTCATTTTAAAAATTTCTTACAGGTAAAGGATTTTGTAATCAACTAAAAAATTAACTTGATTTTTAAAAAATGGGTTTTGATAGCGAAAGTGAGGAGAGTTATCATTCCTCATCATCGGAATCATACTCCCCCATTGGTAGTAGCTATAATTCCAACAATTTTCGAAAGAAAAGTAAAGCAACTAAACGTATACTTGATGAACAAGAAATTTCACCTGTTCCGAAGAAAACAAAAACTTTTGAATATGTAAATATACTAGATCTAATTCCTGATGATGTACTATTTCATAGTATTCTTTTATTTCTACCACTTGGGAAATTATTAAAAATTAGGCTTGTTTGTAAATATTTGGATAGATTGATTTTGACAAAATGGTTATCCGAATCAAATTGTAAATTTATTCCGATTTTAAAATCACAACAACATAATATTCGCTATTGTTGTGATTTTACAAATGTGATGGTGGAATTCGCACCAGCTCAAGAATTATTGAAATTTTATTCCAAGTTTCAAAATGTGATGAATTTATATGGCAAAGATTTAATTGATTGTTATTTGATGAAAGATGTTCCCTTCACAAGATTGGAATCACTTTATTTAATTAGATGTAATTTGGGTGGAGCTGATGCTTTACTTTTATTTCAATCCAATCATTTATCAAATTTGAAAACAATTTGTATAGATAACAATCGCTTGAGAGGTGATGGAAATTTTAATTTAATTCTCAATAGAAATAATTTCCCAAAACTTGAAACATTATCAGTAACTTCAAATTATCTTTCAGATGATTGTACTGTTCTATTTAGAAATGAAAATGTTTCAAATCTTCCAATTAATTTTCACACTTTAATTATTGATGATAATAAGATAACAAGTGCTGGACAATTCACATTACTTACAAATGAAAAATTAAGAATATTATCCATTGATGGAAAAAATAATAACTATTTCCATTTTACTGAACCTTTAAAATTGAAATATCTGAAAGTGAAATCAACATTTATTCATAATACTGAAATGAGTTGTAACACAATAATTTCAGAGAACGGAGCTGATTTTCCTAAATTAGAGAATGGAATGTATTTGGAATACTTATCTGTTAGGAGATTAGTGTTTTCTTCGAATCTTGAATACTATTTTGATAATCACTTCACGAATGATTCAATGAAGAGTATTCCTGAAAAATATTGTTATATCAACAAACTTCTCAAACAATCATCTACAACAAGAAAAAGGCGAGGGGAGCTTTTTGAATTAAAGAAGGAATGGGAAAACGCTGTTCGTGAGTACAAATCCACAAAGTCACATGATAGAATTGCATTTATATATTATAGCAAAATGAATCCTCCAAATTATGAACATGCACTTTCCAATTTCATACAGTTTAATCTGTTAAATTTGGAAACAAATCAATTCAGTGAAGAAATTGCAATTTGTTACTTTAAAACAGGGAGCTTTGAAATGGCTCACACTTATTTTGAAAAAGTTTTATCCAAGTTATCTCCAAAATCATTGGAATTACTGGGAATTTGCTGCTATCACCTTAAAAAATATTCAAAAGCAATTGAATACCTTTCCAAATACGACCTTACTGAAGAAGAGTCAAAAATTATTTTAGCATACTCGATACTTGAGGGAGATATCACAAAGAAAGACATGGCTTTAGAGCTGTTACTAGATTTAGCAAAGCGAAGAAATAACGAGGCCATCTATTTTCTAGGATCAATTTACGAAAATGGATTATACTCTTTTGAAAAGAATTTAGAAAAAACCATTCAGTTCTATTTATTACTAGAAAATGACGACTTGGCAAACTTGAGTCTTGGTAAAATTTATTCAAATTTAGACAAGGAAAAGTCCATTAAGGTGTTGAGGAAAGTGAATGAGAGTTTTGAACGATACGGAGAAGTTTCATGTATGTTGGCAATATTATTGAAAGATGTCAACCAAGAGGAGTCGTATAAGTTTCTCGTCAAAAGTGCAAGATTAGAGTTTCAAGACTGTCTGCAACCCATTGCTGATCACTTATGCAGTTCAATATCATATGATTGGAGCTTTGTTCTTCCTTCAGAGTACACACTCACAAAAACAAACCTTCCAAAGTGTAAAGACTTGTTCAAAAAGTATTTCTCTCATACTTTTGTCTCACCTGAAAAAAATTACAAATTGATATCAATAGTTAACAGAAATTTTAATGATAATAATTTTGATTTAATCAAAATTACACCAATCCAAATGGCAAGATTCTTATTCTTCTTGGGAAAATTCAACAAATGTAAGAAATATTACGAGAAACTTGTGAATTGTAATGAGGAAGCTGAGAAATTCCTTCTTTTTTTCCTTTGGCTTACTGAACATGACATACCTGAGTATATGGTATCAGTCATTGAAAAACATTTGGAAACTAATATGTATGCCCAATATTTGTACGTGAAACTCAATTTCGATAGCAATAAGGCCAAAGTCATTTTTGAAAGATGCAAGCACTTGTTTGATTTGACAAATTTTGAAATAATTATTTCTATGAATATTATTGACGATGAAAGAGTTGTGAGCCTTTGTAAATCCTGTTTAATGTCCTATCCAGTCCCAGTTATTGAAAGGATTATTAGTTATAGTATTGAAAGAGATTTAATAGATTTTCAACAATTTTTAGTTTCCACTTTGGAAGATCATTATGAATTCGATGAATCAATCATTCCAATAGAATGTATCCGACTTCTTAGGGAAGGGAAAGAAACAGATTTACTAAGATCACTTTTTCTTTCATACCCAAACAAGAAAGTTTTTCATACATGTCTAAAGCAAATAAGCAACAAATCAACAAATGAAATTTATGATCTTTTGCTCAACTTTCAAGAATATACTCAAGATGAAACTGATGTACCAATTAAGTGCTTTTATTCAGAATTAGTATGGGTATTATTTATCAATGGAAGAAATTCAAAAGCATTAGAATATTCTAAATTGGTATTTTCATCAGATCAAGTACTGGAAAAAATATTAACAAACAGTTATGAACCAGTCCAATATTTAATAGGAATGCACCAAAGCAATTACTCACTTATATCAAAGAAAATATATTTACAAAAGCATCCAAACATTTCAACAATTTTCCAATATTCTAACAATATATCTACCCTTATTTCTCACTCAATTGAAGAACAAATAATTCAGAGTCATCAATTTGAGTTAATATTTGATGAGGTAATGAAATACAATTTGTCCAATAGAAATTTTGCAGACATTGCCTTTTCTATGAAAATGGGAAAGAAAGCAATTGAATATTACGAGAAATGTTCAGGTTTCTCAAATATTGGTCTTATCTACAGTCAAGGATTTCCTGGTATCCCTATTGACTATCATTTAGCCATAAAGAACTTTAAGAAGGCAGTTCATTTTGAAAAAGACACACCAAGCTACTTTTACAATTTAGGATGTTGCTATTTGGAATTGAGTCAGTATGCTGCAGCAATCAATTACTTCTCCAAAACAACCTTCTTTAAAAGCTACATCAATATGGCAAAATGTTTCATTGCTACACAGCAGTATGCTTCTGCATTGGAAAATTTGAAAATGGTTAATATTCATCAAGTGGATGCAATCATCAAATTTAATTATGGAAATTGTTATGAAGAATTGTGCTACAAACTCAATAACAAGGAATATGGTACAATAGCCATTGAAATATTTACGATGATTCAAGATGCTCATTCCGAAGCAAAGCAACATTTAGACAAATTACACAATTTCCTTGAAACTATCAAATTTATTACTCCAACTGAAGTTGTACCATCTTGCACTTTAGAGTTTGATGAGGAATGATCACTTATTATAATTTGATAGTTTAAATACGTTAATGCACAAACAGAGGATCCTTAGGATACTCACCTTCCCTAAAAAGCACTCTTGCATCTACAGTTGAAATTTTGTAATCTCAATTCCAGCCGTAGTGGGAGCTCGTCCAATAATGGTCACGCCGGAACATAGCCTTACGAGTGTGGGCCATTGTTTTCACAGCCATTTTCATCATTTTCCGGAAAGGCCAACAAGAAATTTTTGAAGTTGCATCATGTGTTTCAATCAATTTCTTGCGTGTGTATTATAACCAAGCAAACAACAGAAGAGGAGATGCAAAAAACAATTCATTCTCTACCCGGAGGAAAATCCACTTCCTTCTCCTATCCGGAAGTCCATGTTGGGCAAGCTAAAAGATTAATCGTTTGTTGTTGACCGATTAAAAAAATGCTTCATCACCATGAATCACAAACACACATGATTAATCACGACAATCCTGTTGTCAATTCGAGTAGTCTTGACTTGGAGGCTAGTGAGAATGTTGTCAGAGCCTCTACTTCTATTGATAATGGCTTGGGACAACAAGAACAAATTGAACAACAACAACAAGAACAAAAGAATCATCACTCCACTCCATCAGGAGGACATGGAGCAGCACATCATTCCCATTGGGGTGCTGAGAATATTACCTTTCTAGTTGGTATGTTATTCTGTCTTTTATTGTTATAATAACACTATTGGTGGTGTCATGATAATAATAATTTATTAATGATGATATTAATATGTGTGATTGTTTAGTTGTTGGTGTTTTTCAAGTAATTTTCCTTGTTTTATTCTGGGTATTCTTTGATTATGAACATTCTGTTACCAATTCAACAGAGACAACTCTTGCCCATTTGAATGAAGAAGCACACGCTGATGTTGTTCACTATTATAAACCAATGCTTGACGTTGGTATTATGGTGTTCGTTGGTTTCGGATTCTTGATGACTTTCTTGAGAAAGTACGGTTACAGTGCTTTTGGACTAAACTTTTTCATTTCAGGTAAGTAAACTTGAGAATTTCCAATTATTCATCACCAACTAATGCAGCATTTATTTTCCAATGGGGTATTTTGAATCAAGCTTTTTGGAGAGCTGGTGTTAATAAGGGTTTCCCAATTACTGGAGATCAAATTGGTGTTTCTAATCCAAGATGGATGGTTCACTTTGAATTGCAAGATTTAGTTGAAGGACATTTTGCTGCTGCTTCATTCCTTGTTTCTGTAAGTATTCTTAGTTGACATTTAAAATTGATTGTGAATAATTTAATAGTTTGGTGTTATTATCGGAAAGGTTACTCCATTGCAATTGACTATTGCTGGTTTAATTCATACTTTCTTCTATGCTTTGAATTATTATATCGGAACTTGGGTTTTGAAAGCATCAGATATTGGTGGATCTATGTTTATTCACTTGTTCGGAGCTGTTTTCGGATTACTCTGTTCTTTCGTATTATGGAATAAGAAAGCTCTGAAAGGACATCCTTTGCAATCATCACGTTATACTTCTGACTTTTTCTCATTAATTGGTACAATCTTCTTGTTCCTTTGTTGGCCTTCCTTCAATGCTGCTTTAAGGTATGTTTTGTATTTGTTGTAAATTGGTTTAACACATTTTTATAGTCCTGAGGGTACAACTCAATATCGTGCCTTTATTAACACAATCTTGTCATTGATGGGATCAGCTGTTGCCTCTTTCTTCTGCAGTAGATTAGTCAGAGGAGGTTTATTTGCTATGGAAGATATTCAAAATGGTACATTGGCAGGTGGTGTTGCTATTGGAGCTGTTGCTGATTTTGTAATTCTTCCTGGAGGTGCATTGACTGTTGGTGTTGTTTCTGGTTTTATTAGTGTTTTCGGATTCAGATTCTTCACTCCAAACATGAGAAAGTATCTTAAATTACATGACACTTGTGGAGTTTTCAACTTGCATTGTGTTCCTGGTTTTATTGGTGGTGTTGGTGCCATTATTGCTACTGGTGTTGCTGCTGCTCAAAGATCATCTTATGGAGCTGTTTATGATAAGATGTTTGCTAATGGAACTCATCAATGGGGTTATCAATTTGCTACTTTGGCAATCACTATTGGTATTGCCATTATTGGAGGTGTTGTTGCTGGCTTAGTTATTAGATGGTTGTTCCCTGAAAAGAGTGTCTTTAATGATGAAGCATTCTGGGAAGTTCCTGAAGATAGTTTGGAGTACGAAAGCGAGGAAGAAGAACAAGCTCCAAAGAAAGTTTCTACTGATATTGAATTGAAATCTGTCAATGTTTAATTTTGACAACAGTTTTGTAGAGAATTATAGTACGTGTACATATTCGTAATCCAAGTATTCTTGGATTGTGTCTAATTAGCATTAGCACAATTAACTTATTTAACTTATTACAATAAAATTAATTTATTAATAAATTCGTTGTCACCGAGATCCAGATGAAACGTTAATTTCCACATTTCCAAATAATTCCAAGTCAGGTAAATCCTCAAAGTTAAAATCACCATTAAAGGACATTGGTTCAGAAAATGAAATCGAAACCGTATCCAGTTCTGGTAAAGGGTTAGCAGTGATATTCACTGACCCCATTGAAATATTATCAATTGGAGTGAAAGGAATGAAACTAGCATCCAAAACTTGAGCATTTGACAAATTGTGATATCTTTCAAAATCATCATTCACAATGTCAGCACTAATAATTGATGCATTTCCAATAAAATCTGAATTAAAGTGTGGTGGTGTATTTGTAGGAGGGTATTGTTGATTATTATGTACATGTTGATTTTCTTGAATGTTAGAATGTTGAGGAGGTTGTTGAGGATTTGATTTTCTCTTCTTTTTCTTTTGAGAATCAAAATTTGAAGCCGTACTAATTTTTACATTATTATACTCAACTAAACCATTAGATAATGTTTTTACAGGAGGATTAACAGGTTGAGGAACAAAAGTGAATTGATTTCTTGTTGGGGTTGCATTATCAAAACGTAAAATATTTCTCGTATTAATAATTGGAATATTCATATTACTAGTGTTGATGTTCGGAGGTATTTGTTGTGATGGATCATATTGTGTCATTGATGATTGCATTTGTTGTTGATTACTATTATCAACATTGTTATCTTGTTGTTGTTCTTCATCATCTTCTTCATCAGTTGCACCAGAGCCTTTTCTCTTCTTTGGCATACTAATGACAAAGTAATTATCCTGAAAGTTTTCGCATGTTTTTAATTGTTTTCTCAATTGAAAATATTTCTTTTCCTTTCTAATGCCTGACATACATGGTTCCCATTCCGAAGTCATATCCACAAATTTAAAAGATGGATCCTTCTTATTCTTCTTCTTCTTATCAGAAGAGGAAGAAGACGCATTTTGATTATTCTTATTCATGAACAATTTTACTACTATATATCCTTCTTGTTCAAAATTGATGAGTGTCTCTCGTATAGGCTTGAAGCGACACAATTCTCTTTTAAATATGTAATCAAAAACAAGTAACGGCACGATTTAGTGTTGGATTTTGTTTTGCAGTTTTTTTTAGAGAATCTAACAATGGTAAAATTGGATGGTCAAGATTCAACCAGAATTTATTGTCGCAGAAATAACAATACAGTGCGAAATGATAATTGGTATTGAATTGAGTATTGTAATGAATGGAATGTATGAAAATGAAAGACCAATAAAAAGTGCGAGGGTGATAGGGAAACTAAAGATGAGCACAATAAAGAAATGGATAACAAAAACCATTCAATTTTAAAGGACTTATTGGTTTGAAAAATCTTATTGTAAACTTTACAGTATTACAAAGTGGATTAATTACATTGAATTGTGAGTGAAGAAATTACGAGTTCTTATTTTGTCCTTAATTTAGAATTTAAATAATTAAGATTGTTTACAATTTTATTTTTTAAAAAAAATAAGCAAAGCAGCCTTTGGTTAATATTTGACGATACATCTTTCTTGGAGTGGAGATACAACATTTTCAACAATTTTGAAAAAGTCCGATCAATTCCAAACCATTACATTCCTACAAGTTGATCATTGAAGCCTTACCTGTTTATGAAAGATATATTAAAGCTTTAATAATTACAAATTTAATAATTTAATGTATTAATAATGTAGGAATTTATTTTAGAGTGCAAAGGGAAAATTTACTCAATTCTACCAAATATTCAATGCTGGACAATTTATTTGAAATATGAGAGAGAAAGTAACTGTGAGGCGTTTGGTCTAATATTCAAATCCTTTTCCACCATTTTCAAAACAATCTCAATCAACTCATCAGAATATTCCTGACTAGGTGATTCTTTCATTTGATTCGTTAAAATATTAGTTGCATTTTCTGATTGATTTCCCATCAACAAGTTGCTTATTGAAGTTACACGATCATTCGTCATAATTTGATATATGGAAACTCCTAATGAGAAAATATCAGTATTGAATGAGTATGAACTACCAAGAGCCACTTCAGGACTCATAACTTTTCATATTTCGTTGAAAATGAAAATTATTGAAACTTACACAGTGGTGTTCCAGCATATGATTGACCTTTGGACTCTTGATACTTTTTGGCTAATCCAAAATCTGCCAAGACAATCTCAATATTATCACTAGTCAACTTCTTTATGAAAATATTGGTTGGTTTGATATCTCTATTTCAAAATTTAAATTCAATAAGCAAGAGAGAAATATTACATACCTATGAATAATATTCATTTCCTCGTGTACATATTTCAAAGCACTTAGTGATTGCTTCAATATTTGTTGGATAAGCTTCTCAGTACAATATTCTGGTTTCAACTGAGCCAAATCACCCATTTCATAGTAATCCATATCAATAATTAACGACTTGTCATTGGTGATGAAATAATCATTCATTTTGATAATGTTTGGATGATTTACACAACTCAATTGAGAAGCTTCTTTCATGATTGTATTAAGATCAGTCAATGATTCAAATTTAACAAGCTTGATTGCTTTCAGTCTGTTTCTATCCTTTGTATCAGTTACTTTAAAAACACTTCCAAAAGCACCTTGCCCTATTCTTGTAATATTTGAGTATCTGGAAAATGGGCTATCATTCTCTGATTCTACCGAGGAACCGGCTGAGGATGAAACTATTCTTGAACTAGTAGAAAGAAATGTATTATCTGAAAGCTCAATATTATTTGTGTCCATTTGACCAATTTCAAAGTTTTCCTTCTTTTTGTTTCTGCAAAAACAAACTAAAATTACAATAATCACAAATATAACGGTGAACAATAATATTGATCCAATAATAGGAATTACAATTGAGACTATCAAAATTGTAGAATCACTTGATGGGTGACTTTTCTGAATTTCACAATATCTTCCTTCAAATCCATCATTACATTGGCAGATTTCAAAATCAGAACAGACCCCATTACCATTGCAAACATATCCACTTGTTGCTATCGATCCATTACAACTAATTAACAGATCACAAGTAGTATTAATAATGTTGAATGTGTAATTTCCACTACAAGTTGGAGTAATCTTACGTATATAGGATTTAAGATCAATAAGGAAAATTTCCCCACTACTTTCATCAAAATCAACTTGTTTTGAAAAAGATGAAAAGGTTGGATAGGGTACAAAACCATCTCCATTGTATCTGGAAGAGATAGATCTTGATCCTGCAATATCTATCAATAATCCAGTTCTTTGCTGGTACATTCTGACATAATAAGCTTCAGAACCATCCAAAATTATAATATCACCATTATTTTTCACATAGAATGATGAAGGAGTATCAAGAGAAGATTGAAGTGCTGGTAAATTGGTTCCTGAATATCCTTTTTCTGAATTTCCAACAAGAGTTCTCAAATAGTATGTATTATCAGATAACTTTTCTATTCTTCTAATAGCAACACTTGTACTGAAATATAGATATCCATTTTGATGTCGGATATTTGTAATTTTCCCAACAGAAGTTTGATTAGTTATTATGCCATCAGGAGAATAAGAAGTACTTGTAGCAAATGTAAATTCAAGTGATAACATTTGTGTTTGTAAATTATATCTGTAAATCTTATAGTTTTCTAAGGATATTAGTATATCACCATTGGTCTGATCAAATGTCATTCCACTCATTTCTTGAAACGTAGGGCATCCTGAATCCAATCCCTAACAATTTTAGAAATTGTAAATCTCAAAAACATACCTTAACTCCAGCAACTAGAGTTGAACAAGAATTTCCAATAATAGTTTCAAAATTCAATGTTTCTGGATCAATTCGAAGTATTCTACAATTGTCCTTAAAATAGATCTTCCTATCAAATGTTGAGAATAGTCCAAACGGTTTTAATGGATATGTATTCATTATTAAAAAGGGTGAATCATTGAAAGGAATGGCTGGTGATGAGAAAATTGATGTGGACAAGGATTTTGAAATACCTGTATTCTCATCATATTGCTTTAAAGTTCTAAGATCAATATAGTAGATTATCTTTTTCATTGGATCTCTCATTAAGATGAGTGGACTTATCGTTTTTGAGGTTGGAGTTAATCCAACAATTGTAAATATTCTTCCATTGGATATTTCACTAATGCCATAAAGGCTGGTGACATATATTTCAGATCCTATTCTGGTAGTACTTGGTGTAAAACTTTCCATGTTTGAAATTATTCATGAATGAAAAACTTACAGAGCTGAACTATTTAAAGGTATATTTTCACCATTGTAACCCAAGGCATAAACTAAAGTATTAGAAACATTAAAGGCATCTATTCCTGCAAACTTTCTTATGGAGTAAGTGTCCATTTGCATCTCATAAATTTGTCCCATATTCCAAAAATAGAAATATCTATCATAGTGTGAAAATCCACTAAATGATGTAACAGTTGGCAATTGTGTTATGCGAGTTGACATTGAACCATTCTTGTAATCAATATATTCATTAATACTATTATAAGTATCTGAATAGTAAAATATGGAATTTGTTCCGTTATAACTAAAATCAGGAATCACAATAATGTGATCTACAGCTCCTGTTACTGGAATGGACAAACAATATGAAGGATTTGCCTCTAAATTCTTAAAAACACAAACTTTTCCCAAATCGGTTCTATAATAAATTGTTGCATTATGAACTGAATCACCAATTAAGGCAAATGAAGTTGTATAATAATCAAGTTTTGAGATAAGCGTCAAGTTTTGAGAATCCAGATTGAAATTGTAAAGTGAATTTTCTAGACCTGCAAAAAACATAACATTTCCATTTCCAGCATAAGATAATGAAATTATTAGAACGAAGGTACGTTGGGGAATGTTTGCTGGATAAGTTAGTGATTTTTCACATCCCAATACAGTTGTCATCTTTCCATTCGAAACCTTTCGTAAAATATTGTTTTTTTCCACAAAATACAAATCATTCTTATACTTGAATGGAAATTGAGCATTTCCAATTGAATGCATACTAAGCGGAGAAATATTTTCACCATTTGCATGATTTACAAGTCCACCTGCAAGTGTTGAAACCATCATATCTTGTAAATTAATCTTTCGAATACAATTATTCGATTTATCTGCAACTAGAATAGAATTTTGAGTGACAACCAATGAAGATGGTTCATAAAATTTGATGTTGGGTGAATTAAATTGCTGATTATCCCCACTATATCCACTTTCAGATGAAGAACTTCCTATAAAAATACTTGTTTGTGATGATTTTGTTAATTTCATTTGAATGAAATGATTCTTTTGTGATGACGTATATATTTCACCTTGATCCGAAACATAAATTCCAAATCTAATTTTTATACGAAATAATTCGAATAAATGTAAACACATGCTGGAAGCAAACTTACAAATTTGATTGAGGCATTCCACCATCCACCATTCTATAAATTCCATTTTCGTCAATTGACTTGACTCTTTCTTCATCTGTGAAATAAACTATATCATTCTTTCCATTCGAAACCACAAATAAATTCATTGGTGATTGTAATTTCAATAATTTTGCATCCACTCCATTATATTCTCCACTCAGATATCCACCTCCACCAAGTATGGAAATTTGTCTTGTTGAAATTTCATATTTCTTAATTAAATTATTTTCAGTATCAGCAATGTAAACAAATCCATTTGGAGAAACATGAATTCCTCTCGGTTTGTTAAATGTGCTCTGCGAAATTGATGAAACTATTTTAGAGTTTTTCGAAACTATCCTAATCTTATTATTGAGTGTATCAGCAATATACAAATCACCATTTAGTGGATTGACTGATATAGCTGTAGGTGTATTAAACAATGTATCAATTGCTGACAAACCATCTCCATTAAATCCACTAGTTCCAAAACCTGCATAAACTTCAGCAGTTGATAAATTATCATAAATTCTAAAAACTAAATGTCTATCAATATCTGAAACAAATAAATCATCATCTAGTCCAAGACTTAATCCTGATGGAGATAACATGTATGCATACTTTGCTTCCACTGTATCTAAATTAAATGTATTGCCTTCAATTGTCTTGACAAAGTAATTGACAGGTCCTTGAATTGAAGAATTTACATGCCATGTTGAACACAATAACACAAGAATGATACAACATGCAATGTAGCCTTGTTGTTTCCATGTTTGTTGTTGTGTTGTTGGCCATGTCATGTTGTTGGATTTTTTATTTCAGTTGTTTTTCCTCTGAGATTTTTAGATCTGGTTACCACTATCAAAAGAATCTTATTATCCAAGGTTACAGTCACAAATTATGTTACTTGAGGATATTTCAATCTAACCATATTTGTAAAACTCTCCTCTAACACAATAACATGAAATAGAATTGGCAGTTGTCCATAGGTTCTTCCAATATTTTATACCCAAACTCAAAAACATTGGTTTTAATACTCTTAGTAGGTAAGAAAGTTGGCTGGCAAATAAGAATTTGTTGTTAAGATTCGAGTTGATGACAACCATCTATTTTTAAGGTTTTTGCTTTGGAGCAATTTTTTTTTTACTCGGCCAGATCAGTATTTGTATTCGAAAGCAAACTCAAGTGAACCAAAACAATTAAAAAAAAGAAATAACATGGCAGACATAGATTCTAACATTATAGAAACAATAGATTTAATGCAAACTTCACCAGGTTTGGCTGATCTACTACGTCGACTTTATCAGATTAGGGGAAGAAGGATAAATTACACTTTTTGGCCGTCTGGAACCCCCTCCTACCAACTGAGGGTGTTGTATGATTTTTTTTCATGATTTGTTATAGATAGAAGTTTATTAACAATACAAGTCTTTATTAGACCAAGAGAAAAACAGGGCGTTCAAAGTATCAATTACCACTTGTTCTTCGAGCAACAAGCACTTTCTGGGTTCTGAACAATGGCCAAGTGTGATTGGTGTTCGTTCTGAACCCTCACTTCAATGTACCAACAACTTCAAGTAAATGACAGATGTTGAATGTTGGCTATGATGTGGAAGGAAGCAAAAGAACTTCTCCTCCGGTGGTATCAAGGTAGCGTGATGAAGGTTGTTATTTAGCAGGGTGGTGATGAAATCATGATGAGTAATTGTTGTTTTTTTTTTGTTGAATATTTAACGGTCATCTTGTAGCGGTTTTTGCAAATGAAATCATTCTATTTTATTTATTATTTTTTAATTTTTTAATTTTTATTTTAATAATTTGGCCAAGACCCCCTCTCCCCCTGCGTGCTGTAATTTATCCTTCTTCCCTAGAATAGATTGTGGACAAGTTGTCGAAAGTGCTCAATTAGACACACAAAAAGAATTTCAACAGAAACTAAAAAAGTTGGACAAGTTTGAACAACAAAAAGGTAAATAATAACATTTATAGTTTCATTTACACCTTGAATAGTTAATGTTAAACTTGCCATTGATAAAGTCGAATCTTTATTAGAAACAAAGGAACGACAAATTAGCAATGCTCGTTTAAATAATGATATTAGAAAGTCAATCTCAAAGATGGAAGATGAAATGAATTAATTAATAACAATTCATAAACAAGCTTTTCAAAAAACTTTATTATGGAAAGAAATTCAAATGCTGCTTCAAATGAGAAAGCAAAGAGAGAATGATATTCAACATTTCATGGATTCCAGTAAATTAGTGCAAGCAAAACACACCTTAATGATGGGTGAAGAACTCCATGATGATATTGAACTAAAGAATGTCAAATTTGATTCTGTTGAAAGTTTTCAAAAAGCAAAGAATGAAATTCCCTCAGTTGACATTAGTGAAGGTTTGGAACAAATAGAACAAGCTAAAGCTATTCAAGATATCAAAATAGATATTTTACTTGGTCAAATTCAACAAGTTGGTGGAATTGCCAATTCATTTTCTGATGATTTGGATAAACAAGCTCAATTATTATATGATATGAGTTCACAAGTTGATAAATATAATAATCATTTGGATTGAAAAATGTGGAGGAGCAACTCGTCTCCTCAATGTTCTTATTATTCTTATAGTATATATGGTTTTTATTGGAATTGTTTGTTCCAGATATATCTACAATATAAATATTTCATTTAAACTTACCAACATTTCATTGTAGAAAGTTGTTGCATTTTACTGTCACATGTAATGAGGGCCAATTATGGAGCAAACCAAAATAGAAAAAAATGTAAGTAAATCAAACGCTGCCACCTTTTACTCACCATCTCTCTCTTTGTCAACACAGTGTGTGTTCAGTTGTACATTGCATTGAAAAATGTCCGACTTGTTCCCTCTCTATTTACTTGCTAATGATTCCCTCCCATCATATTCTAACACAACTCAAAATGGACATGTTACGGATTTTCTATTGGGTATTCATCCAGTGTTTCAAACTCTTATTTTCACACTCATCAATTCGGCCACCACTGCCCTCGGAGCTAGTTTGATCTTTTGTTCGTATTGTTCCAAATTCGAAAGTAGAAATTCTGTAAATTCTAAATTTTCTAACCTTCTTGGAAGATTGGTTTTTGGTAAATTTTGGAAAACTAGTAATGAATATCAAAATGTTTCATTCACAAATGATGTCTTGATTCCATTGTCAATTTCATTTGGAGCTGGTGTCATGTTAGGTGCTTCATTCTTTAGTTTATTATTACCTGCCATTAATCATTTTGGAGAAGATGATACAAAATTTGAAATGCTATTAGTTGTTGGATTGAGTTTTCTAGTTGGAGTTGTTGCTATTATGATTTTTGATGGATTAGTTCACAAAATTCAACAATTTATTGAGAAGAAATTGAAAAAAAGTAGAGGAATTCAAGTAAATGATTCGGTGGAAGAGAACGTGGAAATGAATCAAATTGAAAGTTCTGATAATGTTAATCAACAAGATGAAATTGATTTGGAACATCATAAAATAGAAAATAGACACAAGAGCTGGGTTATTTTCACAGCCATGACTCTACATAATATTCCAGAAGGAATTATCGTGGGAGTTGCCTTTGCTGCGGCAGCCAATTCTGCAAGTTCTGGAGCTACACTGTTTAGTGCAATTGCTCTTTCATTTTCAATTGCTATCCAGAATATTACAGAAGGTATCTCTGTAACCTTTCCAATATTTGGATCTGAAACTAATGGATCTCTCTCCAGAAGAATATGGAAAGCATTTGCTTTAGGAGCAGCCTCTGGATTGACTGAACCATTAGGAGGTCTATTTGGTTGTTTATTGGTATTTATCTCATCTACAATTTTACCGTATGCCCTTTCTTGTGCCTCTGGAGTCATGCTTGTAGTAGTGATTGAAGAGTTAGTTCCACTCACCATGTCAAAAACTTCAAAAAGTCAAATCTTGGCAAAGATTTCAATTTTATTCTTTTTTATTGGATTTGTGGCCATGATGGCATTAGATATTGGCCTGGCTTAAATAAAGAACATCTATTGACTAACCTGGAGTTGTTCCTTAAAGCTTGGCAGACTGCAAAATATTTTAGCACCTCCAATAACTTCCATATCATCAGATTTGAATTCTAAATTGATATTTGGATAAATTTCTCTAATCTCACGAGTTAACCTTTCTTTCATTCCTTTTACTGAAGAAAATCCACCACAAATCAAAACATCATGCTCAGCATTACTAGCGTCACCCTTATTCAAAGATTCAATTCTTGTCCTTAATGCCTCAAAGGCAGTAATATAAAATTGGTTTCCAGCATCAAATAATCTAGTTACATCAAAACTTCTCTCATATCCACCCACTTCCAATGAAATTTCAGATTCATAGATGAATCCTTCCCATATTTCTTTTAGAGTTTCGTAAAGTTCTGGTGGAGTTGGTGGAATGGTAAGAACCAATCTCAACACTCCATAGATATTATCCCCAACTTCCATATTAGATGAAACTTGTTCGGCAATATTGAATGGTTCGAATAATTTCAATTCATTCAAAGGTTCATAATTTCTTATTGGAACACAACCAACACCACTTGATGAAATGTTCAAAACAATGCAATTAGGTTTAGAATAATTAAGTGCAATTAATTTGGAAGAGTCAACCAAGCATGATAATGGAATTCCAAGTTCGTAAATTAATTTCTTTACCTGCAAAGTTTCATTTTCTGTCCAAGAAAATGGAATTGCTAACACGAAAGGGTGAATTTGAAATTTCACTTTCAAATCATTTGCATACAATTGGAATAACAAAGTCTTGAAATTCTTATAATCTTCAATTCTTCCACAACTGTCAACGAGTGGAAGAGGCTGAGTCAAGTATAAATTATCTGCAGCTCTAGCTCCAGAAAGAATATCTTCCAATCCAAACCCTGGTAAATTGAAACTATATTAAAATATTATAATTCTGAATCCATTGAATAATACATACTGTGGATGATTTGGTTTTCTGCACATCATTAAATCCTTCTCTGCAGTTTCACTATTTTGTAAAGAATAACGATAGGTGCTACGACCTGTATCGAGTAATACTGGAGACCAGAACTTGTCCATACTCTTACGTGAAACATATAATGCATACCAATCCTTATATTCTTTTAATGCCTCAATGAAAATAGTTTCATTTCTTTGACATTTGACTTGTTTTTCATCATAAAAACATAAAATATCTGTTTCTTCAACTTCTTCCTCTTCTTGTTCTTCTTGGTTTTCATCTTTCCATTCTTGTTCATATTTTTCCTTCCAAATTGTTGGATTTCTAGAGTAAGAGTTCAATAAAGAAGAAAGTGGCAACATTAGTGTTGCAATTTGACTACTTGTTAAGAAGGAACAAATAACACCAATAATTTCCTCAGGCAATCTCTCCAAATGACTCTTATTACTCAAATCAGACCATTGGAGAGATGGAGAAATGTTTGTCTGAACATCCAACGCATGAAGATATTTGAGGAGTGATTGTTTGGTATCTCCTTGTCTTTCTAATTCATTTGATTCCTCAATTAACTGTTTAACTTTGAGATAATCTTGTGTATTTCTATAATCAGAACGAGGAACACTCAAAGAGTCAACTCTCTTGAATATAATCTCAGTTCTCAAAATAATCTTTTCATAACGTTCAACAGGAGAACCCTGATGATAAAGATCATGATTGAATATAACAACAGCTCCTGATTCAGGTGATTGATCATGAATAATTCTAAAAGTCATTTCAGATCCATCTTCTGATTCATCTCTAACTTTTTGGAGGAAAGTTGTGGAACCACCAAATCTCACATAGTTCAAATAGAGTAAAACTGTGAAAATACTCTTTTCATTATCATTCTTAACAAATTGAGCATCTTTGTGAGGTTTGAAATAGGTTCCTGTTGTTTCATCTGTTGTGTAGACTGAGAAACGGAAACATGGATTAATTTCCATTGGTTTCCATACACCACTATTGTCAAATCCATACGGTTGTACATTCTTGAAATCTGTTGAATTAAAGTATGGGCTAATTCTATCCCACAATAGGTCAGCTAATTTTTGACTCTTCAATAGAGCTCTTTCACAATTTCTATATTCTGTTGGATATTCTGATTGGATATTGGTATAGAAAGGTAAGGAGCAAATTCTTAAATCTGCACACTCATCAGGAGAGAGTATACAGCTAATTTTGAAACACTTATCCTTGTTTGAAACTGTTTCAGGAAGTGATTGATCCTCCCAATCAGTTACAGGATCTTGCTTTACAAAATTTGCAGTAAGCATCTTTTTAGGAGCTTTAATTTCTTGACCTGGAGTCAAAAAATCGGTTCTTCTCCAAAATTTTGTTGGTTCTTCACTGATTTTTGGTTTATAATTCTTGAGAAATAATGGAAGATATGAATTATTATCCAAATCAGTGATTCTACTCTGGTGTATAGAGCTATATCTCCTGAATATCAAAGCACTAGGATAAAATGTCTCAAACATGTTATGTTGTCCATCATTATCATTGCTATCTTGAGATAGAATTGAAACATTAGAAGGTGAAACATATTCAGATTTTCCTCTTCTTTCATATCTACTAATCAGAGATTGAACTCCCTTTCTCTTTCTTATCTCAATTTCATTCTCTAAAAAGAATGCATAACCTGTTGAGGCCAATAACACTGTAGTTTCAGGATAGGTATGATAAATTGAATGACCAAACAATTTAAAGAAAGTAGAATAATACTCATACTTGTCTGGATATTGAAATTCCAATTGCTCACAAGATTCATCAAAAATTAAACGATTTACCAACTCAATCGCGACATCTTCAGGTTTTTCCACTCTTTTCAAATCATTCTTTGAACCATTCCAATAGAAAGAAAATGGTTGCTTCATATCTTGTGAATGAATGCCATTATCAGATCCAACAAAAAAGAATAACCATCCCTTTTCTGGTAAATAACTTTTTGGTGAATGATAAAATCTCAAATCTTGTAAATTAATTTGAGCTACAAATGTGGCGTGGTTTGAATCTGTATCCAATGGCCCTAAATTTTTATTGGTGGATTATCATCATGAAATGTATTTATTTTTCATCGTAATGTTGAGTGGAAGTGGAAATTAATTTTAGTAATGCGAAATGTCAGGCATCGCTGTTGGATCTACTGGACAAGTTGGAAAACTGTCAAGTTATATCTTGAATTCACTAACTTGATCCAACAAATTTGACAAACTCAATGTGATTTCTGTAAATTCTGGTCTTTCAGATGGAGTTCCACTCCAACATTGTTTCATCAAGTCAACATACTGAATAACTGCATTAGTAGTGGCATCCAATATTTTGTCATTATTTGATTGGTGTTCCAATAGGAAATCAGCAATCCATAATTTGACTGAAGATTTATCATGGAATGGAATGGTAGGTCTCTCCCCGCTCAATACCTTTCCTAATGCATTGAAACCCAAGTGTGAAATATCATCATCTCTCGCCTCTCCATATTTAAAGAGCTTGGGAGAATGTTGATTAATATAAGGGCTCTCCTCAAAAAACAATTCCCACATTATTATTCCAAAACTGTAAACATCTACCTTGTGGTTATATTGATCTCCAGATATCATTTCCTAAACGAAAATGTTAATAATCAGAATGTGATAAAATAGAAATAACATACATTGGCAAGGTAGAAAAAAGTTCCAACATTCATGGTTGGGGCTGATTGGTTGGAAAATGAATTGTTCCAAACTCTACTCAATCCAAAATCACAAATCTTTGGTGTCAAGTTGATGTCTATTAAAATATTTCCAGGTTTCAAGTCTCTGTGTATGATTGGTTTTGGTTTCATGGTGTGTAGATAGGCCATTCCTTTTGCAACCCCATAAAGAATCTCAATTTTTTTTGTAAAATTCAACTTGGCCTGTCCAGTTTTTGAATCATAAATCAACTTGTCCAAACTTCCCTTTTCCAAATATTCTACAGCTATGTATTTCCTAGAACAAAATATGATACCAAAAAATTGAACAATATTGGGATGTCTAAGTGTTGAGAGCAATGCTGCTTCCCGTTCAAAAAGGATATCATTATCGACTTCCATTTGATTTTTAAGTGTTTTAAGAGCTACCTTAGTGCCCTTCCAATCACAAAGATAAATGCAACCACTTGCTCCTTCAGCAATCTTTTTCAAAATCTCAATGTCATCAATAGATATGATCCATGAGGAAGAATGATCCATCAGGGAATGGTAGTTATTGCTGCTTTCACCATTTGAGTTGATTAAAAGTGATGATTTTTCATTCATCTCATCATTGTCATCATCCATGAGGGCAACTCGCTTTTGTAATAGTTTGGATTCCATTTTCTTTTCAGCTTCCAGTTTTCTATTGAGTAATTTAAGTTTTCTTACGATGACAAGAGTCATTCTAATAATGAAAAAAGTACAAAATGCAATAATTCCAACAATAATCAGTGTAACAACTGAAACGACTGGTATAATGATTTGATAAGGTATTGTTGGATTCAAAATACAGGTAAGAGTACCAATTTGTGCAACACTTTGGACTAGAGATAAGCCGTGAGGGCAATCCAGCACAGTGACCATTGCTGTGAGATTGAAATTCTCAATCTTCATCTGTAAAGTGAAGAAATTTTGGAGAGAAGGAAGCACAGCCATTTGAGTGAAATAGATATTCTCAATTGTTATTGTCGAATTGAAGGGGTTTTTCTTTTGTTCATAATTGAGCAATACAAGAGACGTGTTCACTTCAATCTCCATTGGCAACTCCAAATAGGATACTCGATCTGTTCGATTGTTCCACAATGTAATTTCAATGGTTGAAATAATTTGACCTGCATATAATGAAAGTTCTGGAAAAGAGTTAGAAACACCTGTATATATTGTTCCGTTTCCATATGTTACGGTAATGAGATAGTTCAAATCAAAAAATGGGTATCCAAATGTTTCACCATAGGAGTTTGCACGGTTTCTTTCCAAAATTGGATCAATTAATTCAAATGTTAAGGTCCTGTTAGTAGAATAGTAACAACCTCCAGAGTATTGAGCTACGTTATTGATACATTCAAAGTTAAATGCCCCATTCATGGAACCACTATCCACAAATTCAACATAAAAAGCTCCTCCTTTCAATGTTGCTCTATTGTCCATGAATTGGGCTTGGCTCAATCCTATTGAGCTGGCCGAAATGTAACATGCTCCTCCATTGGTAGCAGTATTTCCCACAAAAGAGGAATCTAAACCCAAAAATCCAACACCTCTCAAGAATAGAGCTCCTCCAGAACAATCACTACATGAATTGTTGATGAATTTTGATTGTGAAATAGAAACACTGCTCACACCCAATCCTTTATCAAGATCAGAATATATGCAAGGACCCTTGTTTCCAATAAATTGTAAATTGTATCCCCTCAATTCACCGCAAACAGCCACGCCAAATAATGGATTACTGTTGGAAAATACAGAGTTTTCGATATTTAAAATAGGTGTAGCAGTAATGTCAAATATGTTTTTCGAATTTCCAAAATTTGTGAGTGAATTAAAGTATGATTTTTCAATTTGGATACCACCACTAATCCCCACAAAGATTGCATAAAATCGTACATTGTTCCCTCTCGTGTATAGTTGACTAATAGAAATAGAGCTAGTGTAAAATATTGAGATTTGAAAATCATTGAAAATATCAATTTGATCCAACTGCACATTTCCAAAGTTACTAATATACCATTCAGTATTATTAAGTTTCGAAAAGGAAATTAAAATATCAAAATTAGAAAATTCCCCACCAGATGATGAGGTAAACTTGAATTGTGTGATCCTTGAGTGGGTAATGTTCATACTGGTCTTACTGGTCGAGTACATTGTAACTCGCTCAACAATAGATCCATTAATATTAATATCACTTGCCTCCAATTGAATATCCCCATCTCCAAAATAACTGTAAAGGAGTGAATATTTCATAATGACATCATCTCCCTTTCTAGTAAATCCAATTCTAGAATTTGTGGCATGTACTCCATACATGTACAAGACAACAATGCGTTCATCAATACGCAATAAGGTATTCCTCAACTTGAGTCTCATCAAGTACAATCCAAAAAACATTTGAGGGTTGACAAGACTTTCTCCCTCACATTGAAATTCAATTATTTCTTCATTCGAATGTGATTCAAGTAATAAGTAGTAAAACCATCTATTGAAAGAGTTATCACACTGATCCTTTCCATAGATGAGTCTTTTCGATGGATGATGGCCTGCAGAGAGATTGGGCATTAGAATGAAACGAGCACTTGGCTGTTCAATTATTTTCTTATCATAGTACATTTCCAGTACCTGATCGATGGCTTGTTGAATGGAAGTGCATGGTGACTCTTTAAAAGTACAGAAAGTACTATTGGTCAATTTACTATTTACTGTATTTCCAGGTTGAACATAAAGAATCAAATTAAATCCTGATGATGATGGCGATGTGGGAGGCAGAGATGATTGTGTTGTGATTGAAGGAGGATAACTATGTGAAAAGTCAACAATAATTAATAGAAGCAACGAGATGAAGAGTTGTTTCATTTTTTGTTGTCATTAATCAAATAAATTATACAATTACAAAATGGTGAACTAGTAACAACTAAGAATGATCCTATAGCAACAATGCATTATTTTTTTAAGCAAAAAAGTATAGAGTGGAGATGCGGGGTATCGATCCCCGTACCTCTTCCATGCTAAAGAAGCGCTCTACCATGTGAGCTACATCCCCATTACATTCTGAGGTGGCTATCATGCTATGTACCTTCTTATCCTACCAGTTACCATTTCTTACATTACAGTTTTCCGACTGTAGATTCAAATGTAATCACCAATTACTAAAAATTAATTATCCACAAATTTACTATCACTACATTGATGGACAACATGATAGTAAATCAACTTTAATTTTTCTAAATTTTTCCATCACGAAAGATAACTTCCAATTTCATGATGGTAATCCACCAATAAAAATTACTATTTTTAATACTATATAGATGATGTTGAGATGATGATGTGAAAGTTTGGTGCTTTCATGACGTGAAACCACTCCAAAAATCACATTTGGTCACAAAGGATTTTTGTTGAATATTTTTTCATCAAATAAACTTCAAGATTTTAAATTCAGATAGATATTGGTGGGGTGTATCGGATGCTTGATTTTATCTTATCTCAGCTGACGTGTATAGAATGATGCTGTGAAAAAGTGTAACCTCGTTATCATTCCCACAGTGAACTCATACATAAAAGTTCACCTTCAAAGAATTCATAGTTCCTTGTTCTGCTAACGGGAAATGAGCAACATCTTATAAATAGCCCTAACTTCGTTTGGAACAAATAAAACATAAAAAAAATCAAACTTATTGATCAATAGAATCACTCGTGTAAATTATTAACAACAAAATGTCTTCTTCCAATACTAAAATTGTCTTTACTGGTAATTGTGAATACATCAATTTACCATATCAAAAGGAAACAGATTTATATTGTATGGCAACGTTACAGGCTCCAGAATTTGAAGCCGATGAAAGAAAAGAAAGAAAGGGAATTGATCTTATTTGTGTAGTTGACAAATCAGGATCAATGGCAGGCAGTAAAATTGAAATGGTCAAATCAACATTAGCATTCATGTTTGATCAATTAAAGCCAACCGATAGAATTGCTCTCGTTGAATTTGATAGTAATATTTCAACTAGCCTTCAATTTACTAATATGAACGAAAGTGGTAGATCAAAGGCCAAACAAGTTGTTTCCAATATCAGAGCAGGAAGTTGTACAAATTTATCTGGTGCTTTATTTGAAGGTTTGAGACTTATTGGTCAAAGAACAAATGCCAATGAAGTTACTTCTCTTCTATTATTTACTGATGGTTTAGCTAATGAAGGTATTACAAATACTAATGAAATTGTTAAAAAGATGACAACAATGATTCATGAAGAAATTAGAACTAACCTGACAGTTTTCACATTTGGATTTGGTACTGATACAGATGCTAATATGTTAACTTCAATTTCTCAAGCTGGTAATGGTTTATATTACTTCCTTCAAACAACTGATGACATTCCAAAGGCATTTGGTAACGTTATTGGTGGTTTGATTTCAGTTGTTGGTCAAAATATCAAAGTTAAAATTGAACCAAATGCTAATGTTAAATTGAAGAAGGTTTTCACAACTTATAGAAAAGAAGATTTACCAAATGGTTTAGGATGCGAGGTTAATGTTGGTGATATTTATTCCGAGGAAAAGAAGGATGTTGTCTTTGTGTTATCAGTTCCTGCTCTCAATGGTCCACTCCTTGATCAAGAACTTGCAAAGGTTTCACTCTTCTATTTCAATATTGTAGATACTGAAAATGAAGCAGTTGGATTTGAAATTATCATTCATAGAAATACAACTGTTGAACCAAATAAGAAGGATGCCAATTATCAATTGGATGTACAAAGAAACAGAGTTGAATCTGGTGAAGCTTTGGAACAAGCTAAGAATTTGGCTGATCAAAACAAGTTAGAACAAGCAAGAAATTTGTTAACTCAAGCTATTGAAAAGGTTAAGGCTTCTGTTAGTGCCAATGATGAATTCTGTTTAGGTTTAATTAAGGATTTGAATGATTGTAACAATAATATGGTTGACAGAACTGTCTATTCAAATGTTGGTAGTAAGATGATGAATAACTATTGGTCTGCTAACATGCAACAAAGATCTTCTGCTGCTGAAAGCAGTTCAACTCAACAAACTTATCATAACAAGAAGAAGGTTGCCATGGTCAATGCTTTCTCTGAAGGTTTGAAGAAGAAATAAATAATCAATTATTTTTACATACTGTTCTTTCTCAACACGTGCATTTTATTAAGGATGGTGCATTACTGAAAAATCAAACCTTGTTCTTGAGGATTCCCAATTTGATTTGGTTTGGACTTCGTTTCTTTGTTTAAAATTCAAATAAAAATGGTAAAGTAAGAAGAGTTTCCTTTCAATGTTTTTAACTCCCTTGCCTGTTTTCGAACTTGTTGCAATGTGTGAAATTGCTCCTATTGATTTTGCAAATTCAATTCCATCTTCTTCTGAAATCGGTTCCTCAATGGAAGAATCGAATAAACTAGCCCAGTAATAAGCGTCCCTTAGATCATTTTTTGTTGAAACTAGTATAAATGCACTTTTAGGAGAGGATTGAGTGCATTCCCACATGAATTTTTCAGCAATTTCTTCAAGTGTTGAGAAATCCGTTATTGAATAGGTCATGGTAAACACCACATCTGTTCCATGATAAGATTGAGGTCGAGATTCATCAAATTCATCAGAACCAACTAGTGAAAGTTAGAAACTTGATATTAATATTGAACTAACCTGTATCCCAATAACTAATCTCACAATAACTTCTACTATCCAACATCAGTTCTTGCCTGGTTGGTACATACACATACTTATGAGAACCATGCATTACTCTCACTGGATATTCAAAGAATTTATCAATGACCGCCTTAATAAATATACTCGTTTTTCCAACTTCAGAAGATCCAACCGAAACCCATTTCAAATAGATATATTTTGTTAGTATTCTCTCCTTATTAGAAATCATTCGCTCTAAATGTGACTCTTCTATAAAAAGCTCATGTTCCAATCTCTTCCTAATCATGACTTCACATTCCTCATTTGTAAATTTGACATTTCGTTGCGCAATTTCACTAATTTTCAAAGGAATTGAAAGAAGATAAATTTTCCGAAGAAATCTCTTGTGTTGAATAAATTTCCAATGTTTCATATCAATTCTGTTCCAAATTTGCTGCACAAAGAATGCTCTATAATTACAATTTTCTTCAAAATTAATTTCTTCCATTTTGTTAGAAAGTGAAACCAGTTCCATAACTGTATTCATAGCAATATTGAATCGGCTACTAATTTTCACCATTTCTTCTTTCCAAAATTTATTATCCCACGAATAAATTACCAAACATTTACCAAATTTCAAATGATCAATTAGAGTTTCATTGTAAAATTCGTTGACAATTTCTTCAGATCCTGAGAAAATTAATGATGATAATGATGTCACTTCATTGTGCGATAAAAACTCGAAAATATACATAATTGTATTCCTATCTAATTTATTTTCTCGGAGAAAAAGTGACCCCTCAAGTAGTAGACACATTTTTTTTTAATGAAACTCTATTTGATCGAGTTCAAGATTACAATAATTGTTTTACAAACACATTCCTCTTGAGTTCATAACCTCCTCCATTTGCTATATTGAAAAAAAGGGCCACTTGTAACTCAATATATTTTGATACAAATCCACAAGTACATTGTTAATTTCAATGTGTTTTGTTATAAATTTTAATTGCAACAAGATCAGAAAATATGCATTATGAATATTTGAATTTACTGATTAAGAAATTATGCATTATTTACACTATTACACTATTATAATTTCTTACAATAAATAAAAAATGATTGAATTATCCAACCCACTGGTGTATGCTTGTTTTGGCTTGAGTTTACTTTCCGAGTGGTTTATTAACCATCACAACTACTTCTTTATAGAACAACAACAATACCACCATCAACAACAAATAGTAAAATTCACATGCCGAACATTTTCCGTAACCTATTTCATCACTTCAATATTACAAATGAGTGGTGATTTATTATTACTATCGGATCATCATTATACATTTGAAATTGTAAAATTAATTGCCTTTGCTATTTGTATGATGGTGCCAGGAGTGACTGCCTATTGGATTGAAAGAAAGGATGAAGAACTTCTTACTACTACTAATTATAATACTACAATGAATGATGATGATAATTGCGGAAGAGTATTGGAATCAAAGATAACACTGCTGAATAGGATGTGGAATTGGTTGATTTCCATCAAGAATTTTATGATGAATTTGTTAATGAATTCAACCTTTTGGATTGGAATATTGACATTTACTGTACTACCTATGTGTTCATCACTCATTGGATTTACAGTAAGTTAAAAGAGATTTATGATAATTAATTTATTACTATTATAAGATTACACCAGGTTTTCAATTCAGTTCAACATCTAATTACTTTAGAGAATATGTGAAAGAAATGGCTGAAGGATTTGGACCAGACGAAAGTCAAAGAAATCAACTGAACGATCTATTTGATAATCTTGATGGGGTTAACACTATTCCACTTATTTCAATTACTATTTTACAGACCTTTTCAGTAATTGGGATTAACGGTTTGTTTGGATATGGAGAAGAGAAGGGATGGAGAGAATTTCTTTGGAAGAGACTCTACTATCCGCAAGAGAATCAATCCAAGATGGAAAGGACAATTGATTTCATTAGAAAATCTCTTCTAATTGGATTTATACATGGAATTTGGCATAGTCCAATGATTCTAATGGGACACAACTATGGAAAGGAAAATGGGAAAATTGGAATCATTGCAATGACACTGGGATGTATGCTTCTTTCCCCACTCCTTTGTTATTTTGCAGAGAGGTCCAAAATGAAATATTGTGGAATAATTCCAGGTATACTGCATGGATTATTCAATGGGTTGGGAAGATTTCTACCATTTCTTTTCTTGGAAACTGAAAGAAAGTGGTATTCACCACTGATGGTAGGTCCACTTGGTTTTTCTGGTTGTGTGTCATTGCTATTGTTTGATATTCTAGTTATTTTAAAGTTTTACAATGATGACTCTCTAAAAGTGAACAAAATAGATTAGGAAATATTGGTGGATTGAGTTTATCTAAATTTATAGAAATTTTCTTTTTACAATGGATTCACCATATTCATTGTAATCTTCAAGTTTTACAGAAAATTTGTCAAATAATGTCCTAGAATTTACAATAATAGACCCTCCAATAAATGGGAGTTTGGTTCTGTTTTTCATTTCTGAAAGAGTAGGAACGAAGGAGCTATCTTTTGAAACAATTTTAAGCTCCTTGTCCAATCTTGCTAATAAACCTTTCAAATTGGACATACCACCACATGGAACAACATTTGATAGAGCTGCTTGTTTTTGCTCATCACACTTGGAAATTGACTGCATAATCAAATTGTGCATACTTGGGTCTTCCAAGCCAACCAGTGAAGGATCAAAAAGAGCTTGCGTACATATGAATACAGAATTATTGAGAGGGGCTGATCTGAGATCAGGTAAATCCTCGATCTTGTTGATTTTTACTTTCTTCAGCTCCTTTTCAAAATCTAGTGGCACGTAACCGTTTCGTTCCAAACAATATGGTCCAAAATATTCTCTATCCCCAATGTAATCTGCATTAATAGTGTATAATGCACTCTGTTTTAATAAATCAAGGAAATGCATTATCAAATTGTTACCTCCAAAATTCAGTTCAGTAATTGACTCCATCAAAGGAACTCCATCAAATATTGGAACTGCTCTTGTTGAGGAATATCCACAATCCAACATGGTTCCATAAATTGTATCAGATCCAACTGCTGCCATACAATCATCCAACACTAATCCAAATTCTGGAGTGTTAAAATTCTCAAACATTACACTGGCCACCTTAACCATTTCATTCTCTGTCATGTGAGGTCCAAAGCCCATCAATGTATTTGTCTCTGCCATATAAACCCTTGAATCTCTCGACAAACAATCAATCATCTTTTCAAACACATTCCAATCCTTAATATGCCCCTCCTTCATTGGATAAAAAACCTTTGCATAACGATGACCTTTTCTCAAATCAATATCAATCATATATTTTACTTCCTCATCGGGATTTCCTTTTTGTATTGCAATAACATTCCTAGTTTCATTACAAACAACAGAGGAAGAATTAGAGGATGGAATATTATCTGAAAATGTGGAATTATATTTAATATAGCCCCTTCCGAAATCAATCACAAGGGAAGGGAGTGGTTCAGCATCATCCAGTTGAGACATTTTTTTTATTGTAAAACTTGATAAGATTAGAGCTCTAATTTTATGGAGAGATGAACTTATGAACTTTATGGTTGTAAAAGAAAAAAAACACATATTATACAATTGTTCATATTTTCATTTTAATAAGGATTTACCAGCAGAGAAAAAATGCCTTCAGATACTACCTTAACCGCACCCCACAAAAACGACGCAAAATTCTCAAGCACAAAAATTCCCTACGCTGAAGTTTGGCCTAAAATAATAGACAAGGTTAAAGGCCAGTGTGTTATCGAGATGAAGGAAGAACAAATTTTGAGGGAAAATCCAGGAGCTTGTATATGTCTAGAACTAGGAAACTCTGAAGAAGTATTGAATATAATTTCACAACTTTATTTACAATTCTCAACAATTGATAGGGCATTGATGACGAGAGTAGTAGAGGAAGGTATGATAATAATAAGAGAATACGTGGGGCCGTTTCCGTCTTTTGAGAATGAAGAGAAAGAAAATATGAAAAGAGCACAAGAAATTCTTCCAATATTTGATGCTCGTTCTCTATTGTCGTTTGGTCTTCATTTTGGTGTTAAAGAATTTTACTTACGACTAGCAGATCTGCTGATAAAAGGTTCTCAACAGATCGATTTAGTATATAAGCAATGCTATTGGAAAGACTTGAACTTTTTAATGGACTCTTTATCTTTATTTGAGGTGAGGACACCAAGTGATAATATCTTTAATTTCACAAACACACTTTCTAAGGAGGTACTCTTTTTAGAACACAAAGTCAAAGTTTCAGAAGATCCCATGTTTAGAGATACTTTGTTACCATTTTATGAGGTTCAAAGTTCAGAAAAGGAGAAACAAGTGTTGATACAACAAGATCTTTTACCTTTCTTTCAAAATCTTCAGGTAGAGGTGGAAAATGAATCATTGAATACATCAATCGATAATGGAAACACAGTTACCATCATTGCTCCATCAGGAGTTGGAAAAACAGCTTTTGTAAGTTATTGTAAAAAGATTATGATTTTTAACCAAATAAGATTTCCAGAAAATTGTCCAAAAATATTGGCATTCTTCTAACTTGCTCAAACGACGCAGAGGTCACTAATTGTGGAGCTAACGATATGGCTTGTTCCTATTTTCTTAGAAAATTTAGAGAACGATCTGGGGATGATTTGATTGCAGCATATGCAACATCAAGACAGCTGGTTCAGTGTCTAATTATTTCCAAGCTTATTGCTCTTAGACACTCAATGGATCTTTGGGAACAAGAAAAAGACAATGTTGATTTGAATCCCTTTAGCTCTATTTTACAATTTTCATCCTTCGCTCAGGGAGTAAGCAACTCAGGAGCTTCAAAAAACATTTTAGTGGATCTTCTAAAACAAAATTACGATTTTCTTCCTATTACAACACTCAGAGAAGAAGCAAAGTCTATTATTGTAAAACTGGTACACGAAACTGCACCTAAAAGCAAAGTTTTTATCATAGCAATTGATGAATGCGACCTCTTCTCAACAGAAGAAACTGTGATTCTATCTTCAAGTGGTACTCCAAGAGATTTATTATCAATAATTGTTAGAGAAATTGATGAATTAAGAACTCTCCTCTATTCTGAAAATATTCTGATTTCTGATATTTATTGTGGAACCAAGTTCGTAACAGAATCTAGGGATATTATTCAATCTGCAGTTCTTAAAAGTATAACAACACAAGTTCACTCATACTATGGCCTTGATTTGCTTTCATTTGATCAATCATGGGATATGTTAAGCCTCGTATATAATTTGCCAAACAATGAAAAAGCAGAGTTGAAAAAAGAGATTGAATCAATAGAAGAAGAATAGTTGGAATTGTATCTGAACAACTACCTAGACACAATTTTAATTTGCAAGTTGCATTCCTTTGTGCGTGGAAAGACTTTGCTAGTAAGATTATTAATCAAGTACAGGTTAGACATTTCTTGAGAAATCCATCGAATATATCTAAGACCTAAACACCCAAAGTTGAGTCCCTATGTACTGAAAGAATGTGGCAATTATTCTGGATTTGCAGTGCCTTATTTTGTGGAAAGGGATTGTTTTTATTTTAGAAAATCCTTTTGTTGAAGAAATTGTTCTGAAAATGCTAGACATTGTGAAACAATTCTTGAAAACAAGCAATAATTTGGATTTTACTCCATTACCACACGTCGTCAAGGAAATGCATTAACAGATGATTGGCTCCTCCAAAATTCAATTCAGTAATGAGTCCTTCAACAACGTTTAAAAACGAGATTGAAATATGAAAGGACAAGTTTGGAAATTTTTGATTGAACCCATAACAGAGCTGAAATTACATATCAAACATGGGAGTTGTCTTATTTGCCATTTTCATTTCATACTGTTTTTAAAACTATTGCTCAATATCAATAATACTCATTTGACCAATCTTTCAAAAATGGAAATGACATTGAAGTTTCTGAAATGAAACAAACCACAACAATGTATCTTCTCCAAAGTTTCAGAATGGTATTTAAACTCTGCATCGATTTCATTCATTGGAAACATATCAAAAAAACAAAATGAAAACAAAATTCATAATAAGCTTGTGCATTGCTCTTGCATTCGCTGCTTTGGTCTTGGCAAATCCAAGTAAACCAGAACCAGCAAAGAATGTTGATACTTACGGAGAACATCAACAATTCTGTTACAAGAAGTGTACTCATTACAAGACTGTCCAGGGAAAGTGTTCAGATTATGAATGGATTGGAACTAAGAAAGAGTGCTGTGATTGGAAGTTGGTTGGCAAAGGAAAGTGTTTGAAATATAAGAGATTTAGCAAGTGTGATAAGTATTCCAAGTCTAGAAACTTGTGTTTGGGTCATGGTAAGTTATTTGAAATATTACAATTTTTGTAAACTTTTTCAAAGGTTACAAGCAAGTTTGTGACAAGCACAAGACTGAAAAGTATTGTATCAAGTCAACATGGAAGAATTTGTGTGAACATAAGGGCAAGAACAATGCTTGTGATGAATATGCTTATCATTTCGTTTGTACCAAGTATGACAAGTCAAATGTCTGTGCCAAATTCATTAATGTTCCAAAGGTCGGATATCACTACAAGAAGAGATGTGCTGAATACAAGCTCGATGCTTACTGTTCTGCCTACAAGAAAGTCTGTAAATGCCAAAAGGGATGGAAGAAGGTTAACGGTAAACATTACAAGGGATGGACTGATACTTATTATCATGCTTTCTGTCAACAAAAGTGTCATAAGATTTGTGCCAAATATACCAAGACTAAGAAGTGTGTCAGATACAATAAGGTTAAATTCAGTCTCAAGAAGGGTTACACTAAGAGATGTGTTAAATTCATTGATAGAAAGTTCTGTGTTGCTCAAAAGAAGGCTCGTTTCTGTACCAAGTGGAGTCAAAATCAATTCTGTGATTTCAAGAAGAGAGTAAGAGTTTGTGAAAAGTTCAAGGAACGTAAATTCTGTGCTAACTATAAGGCTGTCAACTTCTGTACTCAATATCATCAAACCAAATCAAGATGTATCAAGAAGAAGCACTGGAAGAAGTGTGTCAAGAAGTCACCTGGTTATAAGGTCTGTGCCAAGTATCAATTCGTTGGTGGTCACAAGAAATGTGTCAAGTATGGTGAAGAATCTGTCTGTGCCAAGAAGAAGAAGGTTTGTTCCCCAATTAAGGTTGACAAGTATGTTCCTGAAAAGAAAAAGGAACACAAGAAGAAGAATTAAGAGAATAATTCATTCTTTAAACAATTTTGAAAAATAAACGTGTGAGAACCCAGTATTAAATTATAAAAAAAAGATGTTTGCACAATTCTTATCTTTGATTGCTCAACACCATTTCTTGGACTAAATTTCTATTAGAAACTTCCCTGAACTTGTTAAACATTAAAAAAATGCAACCAGAGATTTGTCTTATCATGATGGAAATGATAGGAGGAAAAGAGGCTCTCAAATTTCGAATAATCTCCAAATCATGGTTAGCAGCAAGTCAACACTTTCGGTCAATCAACCTACAATACTTTAGTGATGTTCACGATAATTTATTTAAAATTACCGATCACATTTTGATGGAGCATGTTTCTGACTTGGAAATATTCGATAACAAGTTGACTGTTGTGGAAAGTTTTAGAAGATTCGTTGAAAATCCTCATTTGAGAAATTTAAAGACTCTATATTTGGAATATCAGGAATCAATGGAGGAATTATTTGATGGTGACTTTACTGATCCAGCAAACAGACTCGTAAATGAGATTGGATTAATAGCTAATTGTGAAATATTTGCCAAGTTGGAAAATTTGACAATTATCAATCACAAGTTTACAAATAGAGGACTTTCGGATATTTTCAATAGTAAAGTTTTGAGAAATCTCAAAACTCTGAATTTGCAAAGTAATAGTTTTACCAATTTTGGTAGCGTTAGCTCTGGAACTAATTGTTTAATCAATTTAACCGCATTAATTTTGAAATGGGAATTAGTAACATTGGAAGATATTCAATTAATGTGCAATAATCAACTATTCTCCAAATTGAAAAAGCTTGTCATTGCTCCATTTCTTAATTCAATTTTGAAAAATTGGGATGAAGGATTTTCAATCATTCTCAATAATCCAGTTTGGTCAAATCTGAAATATTTGAAAATTGAACTACCAAAAATTTTGAATTCTGTTTCCAATATCAAATGTACACTCCAACTCGAAAAATTAATCATAAGAGCATCATCAGATTTGGAAAGTTGTAAATCTCTCATACTAAATAAGAGTATTTCACTTTCATTGAAATATCTTGATATTGGTAAAATTAATTCAGCATCATATGATAACACTGCAGATATTAAGGAATTGGATGCATTTAGACCACTGTTTGAAACATTCATTTTCAAGATTTAAGAGCAAGGGATCTGTCAATTTGGTTATGATGTTTTTTTAATGCCAAGTGTCAATCGATTGAACAAGAAATCAAATAAATTTATTTCAAACTAGAGATTGAATATGATCCATTCTCTACTCGCAGTTAACAATTCCAAAATGAATCATTTTCAATTCTTGTTTAGTCAACCAGCACAATCACCATGGTGTTATCGCAAGTTTAAAGAGAGATCCATTATCGGTACTCAAATCTCTCCAATTCCTTTCCATTGCACTTTGATAGACTCAAAATTAGCTTTGTTGACAAATTAGCTATTTGGGCGCCATCATCCTGCCAAACGTCAAAAATAAATTAAAAAAAAATGTTTTCGCTTCGTTACTGGTGCTTTACATTGTATCCAAGTAACTTCCTGTATGCACCATGTATATGGTTGTTCATACCAGTTTTACTTTTTGGTAGTGCTATTTTAATTGGTTTACTCGGTGGACGTCAAATGCCATTTTATTTAGAACAATCAACAGTTGCTACAAGTTTCTCTGAAGATAGAGCAAGAATTTATTTAAAAGCTTTAACTACTAATAATGATAAACCAATTGTTAGAGTTCCAGGTTCACTTGCTGCCTTGACAGCTCGTGATTATATTTATAATTTAACTAATACTTGGGCAAGTGTAAGTTGTTATTGTTTATATATTTCAAGTTTTATTAATTATTATTGTTGTTATTGATTTGTTATTGTTATCCTGTTGTTATTGTTGTTGTAATAATTGTAAAATGTTAATACAACATTGTTTACAAAATATTATTAACTGTTAATACTAATAATACAAAAATATTGTTGCAAATCATATAATGATGATGATTTTGAATTTGAATTTGAAAAAATAGAAAACAACTGGAAGTTATGGTTTAGAAGTTCAAAAACAAGATTATCACCAATTTAGTAATGTCCTTGTTCGTGTCACTCCTAAAACAACAACACAAAATGTTGATGATATGCATTCATTCCTTGTTGCCTCACATTATGATTCAGTGGAATTTAGTGCTGGTGCATCAAGTGCTGCCTCTGGAGTTGCAACCATGTTAGAATTGATTTACAATTTGATTAGTCAGGACACAACTACTGGACCTACTTATCCAGTTGTTTTCTTCTTTGGTGGTGGAAGTACTCAATCAACTCCAGAAGCAACTGTTGCCTTTATGAAAAATCATCAATGGTCAAAGAAGTGTCTTCGTTTTGTTAATTTAGATTCTGTAGGAAGTGGTGGAAAGGCAATGGTTTCTAGAATGACAGATCAATCAATTATTGGTGAATATGGTAATGTTCATCCATATATTTCAGTAATTGGTTATGAATTAAGTAGATTAACTACCTATACTAATGATTATGATGTCTTTTCTAGTAGAGATTATCGTAATACTACTTTACCAAAGTTTTATTTGAAGGGTATGGATTATGCATACTATTGGGATGGTTATTATTATGGAACCAAGTTTGATACATATGACGTTGTTGGTGAAAAGACTTTACAACATTTGGGTGACAATGTTTTGGCTCAAATTCTTTCAGTTACCAGAAATGAAAAGATTATGGAAGAATCCAATACTGAATATGAAGCTAATTATGATGCTGATATTGTTTATTTTGATATTTTGGGTGGTTTTACAATTAATTTGAGTTTTGGATGGAGTCAAGCTATTCAAGGTATCATTGTAGTTGTTGATTTGGTTTTACCTATTGTTTTGGTTATCATTGATCACATGATTTCACTTCGTTATCATGATACTTCATCTGTTTATCAATTATTTAAGAAGAGTACTACTGGTTTGCAAGCTCGTTTATTATATTTGGTTCTCTATTTGGGTGGTTATGTATTGTCTCTTGGTTTTGGTATTTTATTTGCGGCAGTTCTGGGTGCCATAGTGGATGGTATTCAACACATGCCATGGTATAGAGATCCAGTGTTGGCTATCTTTTTATTTGCTTTACCAACCTTGTTGGGTATGTTTTTAGCTCAATACGGTGTTCACGTCATTGGTAATGCTGTCATTTCAGGTTGTGGTTGTTTCAAAATGTACAGAGTTTCAATGAAGGATAAGAGTGAATTGAAGGCTGGTGAAAATACTGCTGCTCAAACTTTGGTTTATGCTATTGATAAGGAAAGATATCTTGCTCTTACATTCTTCTGGGGTTTATTGACAGCTGCTTCATTGTGTACTCAATTGAAGTCATTCTACATTGTCTATTTCTGGTCTTTCTGTTTGAGTGGTATGCTCATCATTTTATTGGTTTTGGATCGTGTTATTATGTGGACCTATTTGATTGTAAGAAATAAGACTCGTGCTAAGGCATTAGAAGCTATGGGTGCTACCATGACTGAAGAATTGACTGAAGCTGGTGATGATGTTAATAAGAGAAAGAAGTTCTTGGAACTTAGAAGAAAGAAGAAGGAAGACGAATTGTCAAAGGATGACAGCTCTTATCTTAACAAGTTGGCTAAGAAGAGAAATTTGAGACATGAAATTGCTTCACAACTTTCATCATTCACATGGAAAGATTTCTTCCATGCCCTTCACTACCATCAATTGTATTGGTTCATTTTCATGGCTATTGCCAGTTGGCCACCATTGACTGTCACAATTGATATTCTTGATAGATTCTCACACATGCTTATTCCATTAATGTCACGTGCTAATTATCCAGTTAGTGGTGCCATGATTGGTTCTGCAATTGGTTTGATTATTTTCTTAATGACTATCTCATACATGCCATCAATGCATCGTGCTGCTAACTTTGGTAAGGTTTTGATTGTTAATGGTCTTGCTTTGGCTCTTGTTATCATTATTGCCATTGCTTCAAGTGGTTTCACTTCAACTACTCCAAGAAAGATCAAATACGCTCAAAACACAAAGATTGGAGGTGCTGCCATTACAGCTCAAAGCACCGATGTTACTACTGCTTTGTCAATTGATGGTGTTGCTGGTAAATCTGTCACCTTTGATCTTGCCAACTCACTTTCATCAATCACAATGCAATCATTCGATGGTATCAGTGTTCGTTCAGTCTTGTCCACTTACAAGAGTTATTATGGTATGGATTCATCAATTGCTTTCCACAGAGAATCATGCTCAACTTACAAATGTGAATTTGTTATGTGGAGCGGTACTACTTCAAGCAAGTACACTTCATACCATCTCCACTTGAAGCAATTGGATATTTTCAATGTTGTAAATACCTTTGATGATAATTACAATTACACTACTTTAACTTTGAAGGTTTCTTTGAATGAAAAATTGGAACAAGGTCTCTTCAAGCTTTCTCTCTCTGGTGATAATTCTACCATTACTGCTTGTGACCTCAATTCTGCTGATACTAACAAGATTAAGAGTCTCTATTATCACACCACTGATTCTGGAGTTCACTCTCTCTACAAGTATGGTATGACTTATCAAGAAACTTTAATTGATGTTCAAATTAGAACCTCCAAGTATGCTACCTCCCTTCCAACTCTTGCACTTAGCAATGAAGTTTATGAATGTGAGATTTCTGGTTCTGAAGTTGTTTCTGCCATGAGTGCCTTATATGATGCAGGCAAGTACTATCTCACTCCACTTGGTTCTGGAAGTTGTGATATGCTAACTGAATCTTCAACAGTCAATATTAAGATTACCAACAACTAATTTATATAAATCCTAAATAAAATAAATTTCTAAAATAAATTAATTAATTTTTTATATATTTTGAAATGAAATGAACTTATTGCTCTGAAGTTTCTTCCTCTTCCAATTTTTCAAAACCTTCTTCTGCTCCTCCTTCAATCTTTCTCTTAAGAATTACGTTGAAGAAAAGGAATTGCAAAAGAATTAACAAATCCATAACCAAAACACCAGCACTACCAATGATCCAAGGGAGCTATTAAATTTTAAATTAACAAATGTGTTTCAATAAAGAATACTTACTCTGGACAAGATGAATTGCCAACTAACAGAATAGAGGAAAAGAGAACCAGCATAAGTGGAGTTACCCAAAAAGGCACAAATGAACAAAATTGGTGATAAACCTTCGGTAGATCTTCTCTGGAACTATTTCCCACAAGTTAGTGAACTAGTGTTAAATAAAACTTACATTCTTAATAATTTGTGGAATTCTAGAACCTAAATACAAACAAGTACTCAATGAACCAATGACGTAACCAGCAATATCAACACCATAGATAGGCCAATATTTACCATCTTCAATATCTTGTTGGCTTTCAGATAATAATTTTCTACCAGTACTGAATGAAGAATTCATAACACCCTCTGATGACATTTGAGATTGCATTAAATAAAAACCAGCTGTTAAGAAGAAGGCAGAGAAAGCCATAATCTTTCCGTATGATTTTTGTTTTGAGTCATCTTGAATCAAATGGTCTGATTCATTAATTCCTGTCAATTCTTCTCTTTGCTTCTTCCTCCTATTCTTAATTGTGTAATAAATAAATTGAGCAATTAAAATTACATCCATGCAAACGTAATAAACAGCAGTAGCAATTTGAGTTGGTAATTGATTAGCAAGAATTGAACCAATTAAATTGAGAGAATCTCCCAAAATCCATTGGAACAAGAATGCTGGAGCCAAACTGTCGGCATTAGATTTTCTATAATTTTCAATAATTTGTGGTAAATTTGCAAATAACCAAAAACCAATACTACTCAAACCAATCCAGAAACTTGCTTGTTCTGTTGGTGTTCTAATACATTCTCCCAAAGCGTTCAACATCCACGGAATATAATGATATCCATCTTTAACAGGAAAACAATCTGTATTATTAGTAATATTATTGCTATTAAAAGCTCCTCCGTTATCACTCAGAGAGTAATAATTAAAGGCTGGTGCAAATGGATAATTAGCACCAATGATGTAAGTGCTACTCGGAGGAAGATGCATTTTTTTAAAAAACAATTTTTTAAATATTTTTTTGATTTTTTCAAAATATTTGATGAAAATGCTCAAACTGCCATTCACATATGATCGGTTATTCATCAAATTTCCGAGGATTTAGGGATACTCCTTTTGTTGACAATTATTAATAAGAACAACATATATTCAACATCATGATGATGAGGTTTTTAGATATTTTTAACAAGTTGGAAGGAAACTGCAACAACTGTCTTGTACATTCTAATAGAGTTATTATTTAAGGTGGTGATTGGTGAATCATCATGGTTTTCTATGCGATTGAGAAAGTCTTTGCGTTCAAAAAGACGCTACAGTAATACGGATATAGTTCCTTAAAAGATAAAAGAATACTTATTAAGACAATACTCAATACATGCGAATCATTAAGGGAGATGCAATCATGTAATAGACGCGACTTTCAAGGTTGGCAAGTTTGTTGTGGCCCAACAAGACTGAAGGGTTTTATCACTCTAGCACAGTAATAACAGGACCAAGGAATTTGTACGGCTCAAATCAAAACAGAAAAAATGTTTAACAAACATCACCGTGCTCAATCGAACAGTATTTACTACTCTATTGCGCTGCTTTCATTTTGTGCTTGGCTGTTAGGAACCTTCATGATACAATGCACTGCAGTATGTACTAATAACAGTGATTGTGGAGTGAGAAAATTCCTTGCAGATTTGAAAACTGAAAGGGGAAACCTCATGTCGAGTTATGAAAAGTTATCGAAGGGTATTGCCTTGCTTAATAGTACTCTCACTAATAGTACAACTATCATTCTCAATACTCGTGTTAAACAACTTGACAAGTTAAAGACAGCCATTTCCTCCTTGGATTTGGAAATTTCTGCTATCGATGCAAGATGTGCTACCACTGTTGGAATGGATTGTGATTCGTGTGCAGATGGTTACACAAACTTTCCAACTTGTAACGTTCCAACATGTTTTGGAATTTCCTCTACAAACAAGTCGAGCGTTTGTTCTGGAAGAGGTTCTTGTATTTCACCTAATACTTGTAATTGTACATCTCCTTATTATGGTTCCTATTGTCAGAATACCACTTGTACCAGTCTCCCAACTCTTATTCACAAGTATCAATTGGTCAATTCTAATGGTCAAGATGACTTTGGTTTAGATTTGACAGCTTACGGAACTATCTCATATTCATCCACTGATGTTCCAAATGGTGCTCCAAAGAGTGTTGTCTTTAATGGAGTGAATACAGGATTATCTTCTACTACCAACATTGCCTTTGGCCCTAGTCAAACTTTGGCTTTATGGATGAAGAAGAATAATGCTAATACTGGTATTGCTTGGTCTGTGGGAACGGGAGGTCCATATATTGAGTTTAGTGCTCAAGCCTTCAGTTTGTATGCATATGGTAACACTAAATTGGGAACTAGTGATGCAATTTTCACATCAGATGTTTGGCATCATATTGCTTTGGTTTTCAAGACATCAACAGTTGACTTGTATGTCGATGGAGCATTGCAAAAGACCTTTGCTGGGGCAGCGGGTTCACCAACTAACAGATTAGTGTTTGGATGTTATGGTGGAGCATGTGCAAGCAATTATTACTGGGCAGGTTCCATGGCTAACATTTTGTACTTTAATTCTGCATTGAATGCTGCAGAAGTTCAGAATGTGTATAAGGCAACGTTGATTTGTTAAAAAGATGGAATAAGTTTTTGAATTTTCAATTAAGAGTTTAACTTACAATAAAATAATTTAGTTAGTTTAATATTATGTACATTCTTAGATTTCCTAGGTCTTAATCATTTTCAATAATCCCACAAACTAAAATGGAAAGTAATCTTTTGAATTTGATAAAATTGGTTATTGATTTCATTAGATGTATTCTCCAATTTTCTTCTCTTACAATCTGCTGCAATTTCGTTACTTGATTTGAGTTTCTCTCTCCTCGTTAATGTAGCACTTGCCTTACCTTCACTCACAAACTTGAATTGAATCTTTAATTGATTGTAATGTCCAATAGTTTGATCAACATGTTTACCTTGTTTTTGAGAGTTTGGAATCCATTCATATGGTGAAATAAACCTCTGCAATAACAGTTGATCATCACAATATAGAAATAGCTCATATCTAATCTCACTGGAAAAGACGTAATCCAAAGGATGGAAAGAAAGTGAGCTATTATCTTTGAAAAAGGGTTAGTAAAGTCCTCTAATATTAGTAAATACCTTTCGATTGTTGTTGTAATTGATTTGTTTCTCTCTTTGATGATGGAGCCTGAATAGAGAGTAAGGCTCTTGGATTATCATGAATATCAAAGTATTGACTGTAATCTGCCACATGAACAAGTGACACATCTACAATCATAGGGTTAGTAATTAGTTTGAGTATGTTATTAACTAACCTAGTGGTATCTTATCATATGGACAAACTTTTTTCAGTACATCATCGTGAGGAACAATAAAAGCAGAGAACTTGAAGGTTCCTCTAATGCTATTTACCATTCCATCAGCAATGTTATTATCGATACATATAGTTGTAAAGAAGTTGATAATCATTCATGCTTACCTCTTCTCCCATTCGGAACAATCAATATATCTAATAGAGTACAAATCAACAGGCATGATGATGATGAAGGATGAAGGGCTTCTAATGGAACAGGTGTTTATTGTACAAAAGGGTAAAAATTGTTGTTCTTTTTTTTTAAATTTTAAATGTAACGGCTAGTCATGATGGCTTCATCTTGTAGATTTTGGTTCGAGTTGTTTGGATTTGACTAGGAATTGTCTCTTTCTCTCTTGGATGTACTTTTCAATGGTAATCTTTTTATCTTCCATTTGTCTTCTGATGTCTTCATTGATGCGAAGTAAATTACGCCATATGAAATGTTTGAGAGTATCGTTGGCTTTGAATGGATAGGAAGTCTTTTGATATCTTAATAATTGACAGATTAAAGTTGATTGGAGTCTTCTCTTGCTAAAGTTGTATTCAATATCTTCATCAAGAGTTCTTCCGATGAATACTTGTTGGCAAAATTCATCATTTTCTGCCAAAAGTCTCATTTCTTCTTCTGTTAATTTTCTTTCATCTTCCTGAGAATCATCAACTGCTGCTAAATCTTTCAAGTGAACAGCAATATTTGGAATGCATGGTTTCTTTGCTGTCTTTAATTCTTCTCTGTAGTTTCTGTAATTGTTGGCAACACTTGTCAGATCAATAAGGGTTTGAGCTCGTTTCAAATATTCTTCACTCAACATGGACCATGTCTTGCTAAGTCTATAAACTTCATTGGAATATAAACCACTGATAATTTCAAAACATCCATTATAGTTTCTTACAGAGTAACATCCCCAAGCCAATGAAATAAATCTACAAAGGGCTTTGTGTCTATCTTTGATATCAGAATAGGACAAGATAGTTTCAGTAACCCACAATGATACAGTATTGTAAAAGTTGATAAAGAGAGAAAGGTTTGCTGAAGGATCTCGTGTTTTTACCTTGAAACGATTCTTTGATAGCCAATAACTGGAGTAAAATTCATAAGGTTCCATCATACTGAATAAATCAAACTCGATCAATGTTAATTGAATAGAAAGTTGGAAGCTTGAAATAACTAAAAAGTTTGGTTCGTTAGCACTGGAAGAAAAGTTATCAAAAGTTAAATTGATAGTTCTTTGTGCTTGGTCTCTAATGTACAAAAGTTGTGATCTTTCTGTAATTCTCTTCAAAAATAGATCTACAAAAGGTATACTTTCTGGTTTTTTCAAGATAGTGCCTAAATAAGGTATCAAACACTCATGAATAAATTCTGAGCTCATTAGGCTTTGATTGTAGAGGATTAAATCTCCTAAGAATACTAGAATACAATTAATTTGGTGAGGTGTTTGCAAAGTCAGAGTTTCCAAAAAAGCAAACAAGGCGTGAATTCTTACCTCCCATTCGTCTAATGTGTCAAATAAAGTTGAAGCACTGCATGATAGAGCCATCATGTAGTCCAACAATTCTGTAGGTTGCATCTCAAGTTTTGGTGTATTATTCTCCAACGGACCCTTTCTAAGAACTGACTTTCTCTTCCATCTTTGCAAGTGATTAGGATCAGAATAGTCAGAGTCAGTATTAGTGTTAGTATTGGTATTGGTGTTGGTGTAGGTGTATGTTTCTTCATTGGCCCATTCATTTCTTTCAGATGCAATATTCAGCAAGGTAGCAGTAACTGGAGAGGCAGAGAAACTTTCTATTCTTTCCTCTCGTTCTTCTCTTGGTTGAATAGGTAAAATTGTGGACATTTCTCTCTTTTTTCTTGTTATAGAACAGGCTAAAATCTTAGTCAACCAATTTCTAATTGTATAAAATTCAATTTTGGTATCACCAGTAATTTTAGCAGAAATGTTAAATCTTTCTTCGTTTTCTAAATCTTTTAGAGTGAGATGGGATGATTTAGAAATTTCGGAAGTTAATGTTTCAGAATTGATAGTAATATTTCTTTGGTTTCTAGATGTTTTAGAAGTTTTGTTGATTTCTGCCAAAATATTTTGGTCAAAGTTATTCATCAAATTCTTCATACTGAATACATTATCAATTTCTCCTTTTTCGTTAATAACCAAGTCTACGTCATCATCTGAGGAAGATGAATCATAGTCTTGCATAATTTTTTCCTCATGAAGTTTTTGGTTATTCTCAAGTCTTTCATCCCTCTTCTTCACAAGTGTACACATTCTGATTTTAGAAACTTGTTTGAAAATATCTCTTAATTGTTCCATTTGTTCTGTGATGAGATGACCATTGTATAATTCTTTGAATTTTCTCTTTCTGTTTGTATCATCTGGATTATTATAAAATAATTTATATAATAAATCCATAGCACTAAAATTAGAAACAAAGAATTTTTCAATAAGATATTCATCCTCTGCCAAGTCCTTGTATGTGGACCAGTAAACAAGTTCAAATTGTTTCTTATCAATATTATCAGTATTAAGAGGAACAGTAGATGGAATTGATGTACATGTTCCAGTATTAACTTTGTAAAAATGTTTCTTGACTGTTGGTGCGTTTGTTGGCTTTGGAGTTGTTGGTGTTTGTACTTCTTGTTTTTGTTTCTTATCATCCTTTTTTTCTGGTTTTTCAATCTTTCTTGGAGTAGTATCAAGGAAAGATCTACCAGGAGAAAGAGGCATATCTTCAGGAGCATATTGAATCTTGTGGAAAAGTGCAAGTTTATCCTGGACATCTTCTAACTTATCTTGTGAATCATCAATTTTTTTAAGTTGAGAATTAACAACAGGTTTCTTGTTCTTATCCTTTGTAGTTGTCATTTCCTTCACATATTCCTCATCTTGATAATCTGTTGTTGTGACAGGTGCTGGCTTTGAAAAAGTGACAGGCAACCCAAAAATGTTCTTTTTGGTTACTAATTTTCTGTATTGTTTCTTCCTTTGAGTGTGATTTCCACCAGTCATCATTCTATAATACATTCCTTTAGTATGTTGGTTTGAACGTGCAGTATTAATATCCGATGAGCTTTTGCTGTGTGTCATTGCAATTTTTTGCATTGGACTAGAAGAAAGAGGAGAATTTAAAGGAATATCAAGAGTACGAGGTGAAGAAGCTAATATTGGTGAAGAAGGAGAATGTTTCATACTCAACTGTTGCAATTGAGAATTACTCAACTCTTCTGTAAAATTATTATGTGAATATGATGACTCCTCACCAGAAGAGAATGATTCGGGATCACTCTCAACAGCTTCTTCCACCATTTTACCTTCCATTGATCCAACAGATGCATTCATCAGAGAAGAATTATCCATTATAGAAGCAGCAAGACTTGCACCATACAGTTCGGATGGAGGAATAATTTTCCTATTTAAAAGAGCAGGAGGTTGATAATTTGTCTTTTTTCTTGTCGAAGAAGAATCTTGGTGCACTCTAAAAGGAGCTGATCGGTCCCAACTTCCCTCACTTTGGTCCTGTGCTCTTCTTCCTCCATTTTCTTCATCGTCATCTGTTGTACCCTCATCATTGGTATCAGAACTTTGAGCATTGGAAGAACGTTCAGATCCTTCAGTCTTTCTAGCAAACAATACATCTCCCTCATCCAAATCACCTTCTCTATAAAAACCAGGTGAAGTAATCCTTCCATTCCCACCACCTATCGAGGTTGATGATGATTGTTGTTGATCTACACCATTTGTTGGAGAAGCCTTATTTTTAATTGTATTCGATTTTTTAAAGGAGAGTTTGGATTGGAAGGAATTAGAGTGAGGAAGTGATGACGATGGTGAATTATTGTTATTATAATTGGGAGAGAAGGAATTATTATTGAAGGAGGATGAAATGGTGGGAGAGGAAGGAGAAAATTCACCATTATTACCAACACTACCAACAATATTGGATGATGATGAAAGTTTAGTCTTCCTCGAGTGATGCCATGATCTTGAGATGGCAGAAGGAGGTGAAGAGGAAGTACTATTATCATGATGATGATTGGAGTTTACACTACCACCTATTGGGATGGTACTGGATGATCCTTGTTGGAGTGATGATGATAATAATGAAGTGGAATTGGATGGATTATTATTTGTGGTTGTTGAATTATTTGTAATTTGTCTCTTTACAACTCTCTTCACAATTTTAGAACCACTGGATTCCCTTCCTGATTGACTATCATTGGAAGGAGTTGTTGGAGTGGTTGATGAATCGAGAGTATTTGGTGTAGTTGTGGTTGGTGATGAATTATTATTGTGAAATGTTGCTGTTCTCTTCATGAGACCTCTCTTGTTGGAGGTTACAGTTTTCACTTGGGGAGTTGAATCAGAATAACTGTGTTGTGGGAGGCATTGATGGTTAACATGTCATTAGTTCACTTACCCTGAATCAATGGCTGTTTGGCTGTCACCTTCCGATGCCATTTTTTTTGAGTAATGATACTTGACAGAACTGTTGATCGCTTATTTTCAATGTGTTGGATTAGAGGGTGAACGGCCACTTGTTATTGAGTGACTCAATAAGAGATCGTGTCAACTTGATTAGTGCCGTAGTCAAGGAGAATAAGCAAACATATTTAATAATTCATTTAGGTTGATTGAAACTACGTTATGCTGTTAAATACAAACTCAATTTCATCCATATTTTTCTTCAGATATTCCTCTTCATACACAACTGTTTGTTTCAGTCGTCCAAATGCCTCTAATAAATTTCGTGTAATAATTTCATATTGAGTGCTAGGAGAAGTATCTGAAATACCACTGACGGTCGAGTAATGTGGATATTTTTCACTCAATTCAAAATCGCCTGCCTTTGGATTTTTGGACAAGAAAATATATAATTCTAATAGCTCAACTCTGAATTCTCTTGCAAGAAATTGTTTCATAATATCCATGCAAACAGTTCCATCACTAAATGTTTTAGAGAGAAATAAATCCATTTCCTCTTGTTGTGAACCGTAATCATCTATAACAGGTTGTTCAATTTTTACGAATGTGTAAATAATTAGAAACAAATTTTGAAAGGTGAACCCAGTTATCATTAATATTTTGCTTACACCATATAAGATATAACCAATGGTATGGTTTGTGTACATGGTAGAGATTGGACGCGTATGGTCAAATACTAGTATCGTGAGATATGAGACATCTAATTGAGAAACAGTAAAATGAAGAAATACAAAACATAATGGTGGGATTTGAACAAAGAATTCAATATTGTAGCCAAAGGTATCATCATACAGAAAGAACCACCTTGCAATTCTCCTCTTATTCTTAAGTGTTTGAATAAAGTTTTTGTTCGAAACAAAATGGGCTGCTAATCCTACACCTAATACTGAAATATAACCAACAGCTACTATGAGACAAATTGAGTCGTACACATAATTGGCAAGGTTAAGGTATGAAATCGAGGTCATTAAAAAAGTAACAATTGTAGCCTCACACATTAGGACAAAAATGATAGAAACCAAGAATAAGAACTTGGACAATAGTACTTTCAAAATGATACTATCTCTTTTCGAATAATGTTTTGAATAAAAGTATCGGCAAGCATAATATCTCAACACCTGCAAGAAATGCAAAGAAAGCACTGCAATCACCACAAGTTCTTCCATCAAAGTGTCCCACTCTGGATCATAATATATAATATTTAAGATTATACTTGCCACTCCTTGGGCGAGATACAATCCACAAGAGAAATATGGAACGACAAATCTACTTTTGATCATATGATGATTTCTCTTAATAAATAACATTACAAGAATAATAGAAAACTCAGCCACTCCAATAGATAAAGATACCATTTTCCAATAATAATATTGTGGTCTTGAGTTATAAGTCAAAATATCACACTCATCGTGCCAATAAGGTTTCAGTGAGTTTGCTAAGGTCAAATTTTGTGAAATAATTGGTATATAATAGGAAGATCCGACTAATCCATAAGTTGAGAAGGGGTCTATCCAAAATCGCCAGTACATATCCACAAACACCAAATGTAGTTGAACATCAATTTTTGCAGGTAATAACATTGGAATCTTAATTTCCAAATCTGTCATGCTAGCATCATATTGCTTGAATGGTTGTCTGAGAGTGAATTTCCAATCTGCTCTGGCAAGGAAAGAATCTAATTTTTGGTTTGCATATCCATAAGAACATCCTTCTTGAAATGAAGTTCCATTTCTTGTCTGACAAAATGTTGATGGAAGGATGTCATAATCCAAGGTTCCTAGTCTTTGAAAATAGCAATACAGCCGATACCTGACATCCTCAATCATTGTAAAATCATTGCTTAATGGTTCTTTCATATAATAATTTTCAGTTATGGGCGACATGAAAAACTTATCTCCCTCAGAGAATAGCTGGAGACCAATGCAAAAAGTCGCGCTCATTTTTGAGGCTTTTATATTGAGTGTAATATTTCGGAAGGAAGAATTTTCTGCCTCATCACTATAATCGTTATTGTTAATACTCCACAAAAACCGTATTGGATCCGAATGGTGCCTCACAAAGCATTGCTCCTCTCCAGGAAGCACAACATCATTAAGCACTGTTTTATTACTATTCATCGAGGTGTTAATAACGCCTAAAATGGCACTAATGTGCAGCAAAAAGAGTAAGGTGAGTACAGCATAGTTGATTCTGTGCATTTTTTTTACTAGCATCGGCTTTTTACTACATGTTCATCAGTAATATGATAAATTAAAAAGAAGTTAGTACAGTCCTCTTTCATATGGGTTTTCTCCGATTAGTGTCAAAGTTAGTCCAATTGAGGGTTAATAAGACAATTCTTCCCTGATTGGAATTAATAATGTATCCGTTCCATAATCTTTAAAAATATTAGAAATGATAATTGGGATAGACAGGTTAACTCAATTCTTCATTCATATTGAAATTCTAACGCTACCATGAACAATTGACAAGGTAACTGAAACTTAACAATTTCTTTCCATACCATTCATTGTAATGTTCTTCTCAAAGTTCATCAGAGAATGCTGTTACAATATGCATCAAGACAGTCTACGAAGATGACACTGGAGTATTATTAATAATAGATGTTCAATAACTAGTTATTGAGCTTGAGCATGTATCCCCTGGTAGGTCTTGGTAATATCAGATTTCTTAGTATCAGCTAAACCTCGATATTGGAAGTTATTGAAAGTTGGCATTATCAAATCCATTCTTTAGAGAACTGCTGAGGTCAACAATGCAATTTTTTTTATATTATTTTTATTGAATCTTGTTTGGATCTTGAGCTTTAAGTTGCACACAGGAAAACATTCAAATCTTCTTGTTTTACAAAAGAATATTACAACCCAAAGGATCCCAAAATACTACATAAATAGCACTGAAGAAATTAATGTAGCTGTTTCTCAATAAGGTTTAGGTCAAATAAAACCAATTTGTATTAATATATTTTTATGAATATGGAACTGAAGGATAGGAATGGCAATAAGAAAAACTAAATCCACAACTCAATTACTGTTAGTTATTTCCCATCTCTTTTGTTTCCACATGTTGTGCAAAAAAGTTGGCAAGGCCCTGTGTCTATTAATATGCATGTTTCAAATACATGCTCTCTCAGAAAAAACAACTTGCTCTATGAAACCAACTAGACATTCATGGACAGTATTAAGCCATCTATTCATGATAGTGAAGCAATTCCTCACATGTTAGTTGTTTGCATGTGATGCAACATTCGAACATTAACAATTTTTTTATCAATACCTTGAATTATCTTACTTGTGCTTTGGAAAATTATCTTCCGATATGATTTTAAATTATATTTATTTGATATTGGTAATCATTGGACAATTCTTATTGGATCAGAGATGTTATTAAGATTGTTTGATTACGTTACAACATGTAAAGGAGGTAAATTTCATCTTTGCACTTTTCAAAATTAAAAACTGAAAAAAATAGAAAGAATTTAGCAATGACAGAACCTAAAGATTTATCCAACCCAAGTGAACGATACGGGTTTGAATATGACATTGATGCTTGGTATGAAAAATGTTCCAAGTTTACAACTTATACTAAATTTATTCCTATCACTCAATCCGAAGCTAAAGTCATGATTAAACAATACGAATTTCATATTAAGAAAACGAAGGATCAATCACCAAGTGGTGATGATTATGAAATTTTAAAGAAATTGGAAGGAAAAATTGATGATGAACTTACAAATAATTCTGAATTTTATGATGAAGAAATGGATGTGAGCAGTGCTTTTATTAGATTGAGTTCTAGATCTCCTAAAGATGCTGCTTTTAATTCCCAAAAGATTCGTCAAATTCTTCAGAGAAAGCTTTATGAAAAGAATGCAATGTTTTCTTTTGGAGGTGAAAATGCTAAAATTCAATCAGATCAAGATAAGCAAAATAATGAATTCATTGCATTCTTTGAATCTCAAGTGGAAGTTATGAAATTTGAAAGTGGACAAGAGGCTATTGAAATGATGACAAGTTCTACTCGTGTCTATGATGATTTAAATATTGCACTCAAGTATAGAAATGACGATTCATTGTGGAATGTCTTTTTCGTATTGAGAAAATGGATTCCAAATCATAATATTCAATACGAATTCAGAACTTTTGTTTATAATAGAAAATTGTGTGCCATTTCACAATATAATGATGCTCTTTTCTTTGAAGATTTGTGTAACCATAAGGATTTATATTTGAAGGCAATGTTAAACTTTTTTGAAAAGATTAAGGACGAAATTCCATTTGATAACAGTGTAATGGATTTAGTAATTTATCCATTATCCTCAGACGAAGAAAAACTACACGATATGGATAATCTCAATGTTCAAGTTCTGGAATTCAATCCATTTAATCAATATACAGGAAGCGCATTCTTTTCATGGATTAAAGACACAGAAATTCTTAAAGGTGAAAAGCCATTCGAATTTAGAATCAGAGAAGACTCGCTTCCAGTTTTGAGAAATATTGATTTTTCAGAGAGTGGCTCCACAAATAAGAATAATCAATTAATGTTCAATTTAATGGATATTCCAGATCAGAGCATTATTGAAGAAAATTCTGAATTGCTTGAAATGGTTGATGATTTTCTAAATAATGATCTGGAGAGAATTCACTCTAATTTCAAGTACGTCGTTCAGAAAACCACCACCGAATCAGCTTCTGAAAGATTGAATGCCATGGGAATATAGTAATTTAAATAAACATTTATTGTACTGTTTAGATGATGTTCAACTTCAATGTTTTGTCAAGTTTTCATTTAAAATATTAAAAACAGCATATTTTACATAGGTTAATGAAATACCTTCCAAAATTCCAAAGTAAGATCCTCTTGTATAAAGTGATAAAAAGTTATTTCTATTGATGGCAGGAACTCCATTGAAAACCATTTGATTCTTTGAATTGTTAGGTTGGTAACTAAATTGGAAAATAATTACTGACATACCTTATAGATAATTTCAAGTGGTGAAAGGGCAACCTTTGAAAGGCCAAGACACAATCCTTGGACCAAACGTTCATTATAAACACTTGAAGTTGTGTCAATAGGTAAAAGATCAGAATCAGAAACCTTTTCAAAAATTACATTGTACAATGCTTCCTCTACTATTCCATAAAGTACATAGGTAGCAACTGAAGTAAGCCATTTAGTCCATGATGGCTTTTCAACTTGAGTAATAAGGCCAGAACCAGCAATAATGGCTCTAACTCTCTTAGCAACAAGTGGATAGACAGCAATGTCACTCAAAACACTTGGCACAATTGGAGGAAGATCCAATTTCATTGCGTTTAATGCAGAGTTAATTCCTACTCTCAAGAAGAAATTTGAGAATTGAATGAGCACTTCTTGGCCTAATCCAAAAGTCAATGGTTCACTACTAATATTTGGAGTATTAAATTGCCTTCTAGTCTTTTCATTTTGAATTGGAACAAGGAGAATACCTCTAGCAACGAGGAAACTAATGATACCAGAGGCAGCATGTACACCAACATAGGCTTTACTTTGATTGACACCTTTTGAAACCATCACAATTACCTCATACTATTGCTAATTACTGTACCTACCTTCAATGACGACCTTTGATTCACTTCCTATGGTTTTTGTTATTCCGATCAAGGTTTGTAATATGATGTGATAATGCATTGAAAAAATCTGGATGATTGGCCTACATACCGTGAGACATTTTTTTGTATTGTTTGGTTAAAATAATTCTTTCATTTGTCCTCTCTTGTAAAATTTACTAATAAAGACCTCAACATTATTAATATTCCGTCTTGCAATACATCTTGCAAAATTGTTTAATCTTTTTATAAAGCAAAAAAAGGAGTAGCAAATCTAGGTTTCGATCCTAGGACCTATGGGTTATGAGCCCATCGCGCTTCCGCTGCGCCAATTTGCTTTACATTATTATATGTAAAAAATAGATTTATAAATATCCACAACCTGTCACAGTACCAAGTTGTGTTTTTCGGCAAGTTCAGAACAACATAGTTAAAAAATTATGTTATTATTTAAAATCAAAATCAATGATCAAAAATGGATGCAAACTGGATTCTAGATATTTTCCCAGTTTTTGCAAAATCAACCTCGTGAAACATTTGATCAAATATTTCATTTGGAAGGAATTCACCAACATTCTCAATCGCTGATTTTAATGATGCTTTGGTAATATATCCCTTATCATTAACATCCTCAAATATAGAGAATAATTCATCCATATTTTCAAATAATTGTGATTGATTTCCACTATTCCCTATCAACTCATCTGTATCCAATTCTTGAAAACTTTCATTTGGATGAGCTCCAATATTTGGATATTCTCTATTCACAGCAAAAGAAATAAAAGCAATAAATTCTGGTAAATCGAAACCATGTCTATAAGCAATAAACTTTTCCGATTTTTTCAATCTCTTTGGATTAATCTTCACAAGTGGAATAATGGATGAATTATCATTACTATTGACCAATTCTACAATGTTCTTGTTGGTGTCTTTCTCTGTCATTGCCAATGAATTGTCATCATCCTCATCATCCAATGATTCCTCCTCATCCAATGATGACAATTGTTGCTCACTACTACTCTCTGTATTATAATTACCATTGGTTGTTGTATTATTATTATTAACTGTTGAAAAATTAACGTTATAAACAGAGGTTTCATATAATCTCTCCACAGTTTCTCTATCCATTGATTTTACCTGATGAATCAAATCATCAATATCCTCCTCATCAATTCTAATATGAAGTGCTCTCAACATAATCTTGATATCATCAATGGTCACAAAACCCTTCCGATCAGTATCTAGCAAGGAGAAGGAATGTTTGAATTGGAGAATGGATTCTTGTGAAAGAGTGGAAGGCATGATTTTGTTGTTGACACAATTTTTTAAAAGGTTACCCTTTTAAACTGTGACTTTTGATATTCGATTACAAAATCCTTACTGTAGTATTGGATAAACAAGACTCTATATGAATAGATCAACACTTCTTAAATATCTCAATCTCAACAATCAATAGTGAGTCCAAAAATACATTCTTACTCCTGTGTCTTGGTGAAACATAGGAATAGGAACAACAACTCCGTAGCAAACTGGATGCAATTTGGATTCTTGAGAAACAATAATAAATTTTCTCCTCAATTTAAGCGAACATTTTTTATTTTTAAAAAAAATAGCAAGACTTTGAGGTGGTAATTTTTTGCTCTTGCGCAATGACGAGTTTGGATAATCATCAACAACAACAAGAATTACATCCATCATCCTTCACAACCTCATATTATACATCCTATGAAAATACAGGTTCATCAATAGCGAGTACCAAGAAGAGAAAAAAAACAAATAATAATTTACTTTCCGAGCCTTTGATTGGAACTACAAATGAATCGATTGATACAAATAATATAGTAACAACGCAACGATCTAGTAATGGATTAATAACAAATTATTTTAAAAATGTTACAACAAATGTAAAAACAACATTCGACAAGATAACACAGGGGGATCAAATGAAAAGAGATGAAATTATCAATGAATCAATTAAAATATGTTTGATAATAGAGGCTATATTGATAATACTTTTGGTTGGAGGAATGTTATTGGCTGTTTTAATTTCCTTGTCAATTAGACAACCTGATTTTTTGAGTAATTTTGGAGAATCTTATTTGAGTATTGATAGTGCAAGTTTTGTGGAATCAATAACACAAAAGAGACAAAGTTGGGTGGCTCTCTATCCTATGGATAATAAGGATGGTCAATCATCTTCTGTTGTAGGTGCACTGTCTTGTCCAGACTATTTGACATCAAATTGCGTATTATTTATGACTGATGTTTCAAAGAGACTTACGCTTTCTTCCTTCGCCTTGACAGCTCCTGCTAAAAAAGCTTTTTCTGTTCACAGAATGTTTGATATTTTAGTTTACCAACCATCTTCTATTTCAGAATCACCAATTAATCTTTTGAGTGGAGTCAGCTATTCCCAATATTGTTCCAGATATTGCTTCTTTGTTCCTCACAAGAACCTATTTTTCAGTAGTAAGTTGTTCTATTTGTTTCATCAATGAATTAACATGTTGTTAGTGTATGAAACGATAGATACCACAGATTACAAAGTCTCTGCTCAATTGAGAATTTATCAGATTAGTCATGGAGGAAATCTGACGATTAATTTTACACCTCTCAAAAATTTAACCCTCCCTCAAACATTCGACTCTGTCTTTTCTTCTTCAGCATACCACATCATTAGAAGAGATTACATTGTTTTATTGACCTCTTCATCTACATTTCATCAAATTGACCTCACATCATTCAATATAATCAGGTCATATACCCATAATTTTGATAGCAAGAATGTAGCTGAAGTAAGATTTCTTGACTATACATCATTGAATGACCTTGATGATACAAAATTATCTATTTTTTTCGCTAAACGTGCGACCTATGATGCCCAAGTTGGTCCAATGGAATATTTGATTCTAGATCAGTATTTGAATGATACAAGGTTGGGTAGTGGAGTAAAATTTTCAAGGTCCTCAAGACTTCAGACCATTCACTCTACTTCAAGTTTAACTAAGGCAGGAGATCTTCATTATTTCTTGCGTTTTGAAACTACTTCTTCGCTCTACACTGATGCTACTGGTTTAGTGTTGAGCAATAATATGGTTATACTGGGTGCTAACTCTTTCCAAAATAGTATATTCACAGTATGCACCTTCATTTGGTATAACAGTTCAATACAATCTACGCCACAGGCAGACGTTGTCTATGGGTCATTCAAGAATAGCATTGTTCACACCAGAACCAAATCGAGAGATACCAACCTTTTTTTAGAAGACTCTCCATTTACTACATCATATCAAGTAGATGACCTTTTTATGGTCAGCGAATTACACCATGGACATGACAAGCATTCATTGTTTGCCATTGGACAAAAGACCATTTCACTTCTTCAGATTGTTGATGGCACTTTTAAGAGAGTTTATGATCTATATGTTCCTCAACGTTCTAGAACTATAATTGGTTATCATATTTCATTAGATTATTATTATATTTTGGATGATAACTTTACCTTTTACAAGTTTGACTCTACTTTTTTGAAACTGGTTGCCTCACAAAAATATGAAGAATCAGATTCTTGTTTTATTCCATATTCAATGAAATATGACTCAACCAAGGATGTGTTTATTGTCACAGCTGTTTGTAATGATAATTCAGATTTACAAAAAGTGAAAATGTTATTTATAACAGTACAAGATCAAGCAATAACTTGGAAAGAAGGAAACCAATTTGACTTTGGTGAACACTCGAGTAGAAGCAGTACAATGTTTGGAGTAGATATTTTGTATAACACTCTTCTTGCATTAGAAATAGATGACAATGGTACTAGGCTTGTTGGAAGAGATTTTCAAAATGATTTCAAAGTTGTAAGCACTTTCCATGATACGAAAAATGATTTCTTAGGTTGTGACTTTGATTTGACTAGACACATTTGGTTGCACAATTACTTGGTAATTGCTTGTGGTTGTAAATTGATAATATTAGATAGAAATACTTTAGTTCTTCTTAAGGCCCAGTAAGTATATGAGATTATTAATATTCTAACTTTTGAAGTGAAAATAATTGTTCTGCACAAACAGATTCTGATAATTACTATACTAATGACAACTATTATGTGAGTCTTTATGCAGAAAATACTAGTAATAATGTATTCTACACAATTTCAAGTAGTGGTGAGCTGAGTAAGCTTGTAGTTGGAGGCTGGGCAAAACATTTATATGTTGAAACCTCTGTTCAAGTAAAGAGAGGAGACACAAGTAATTCCAACTATAAAATCTCTAAAGTAGGAGACAATCTCGTGGTTGCAGATATTACCTCTTCATATACATTTATCTACCTTGTCTATCCAGAAATATTTCAAGACGTTTTCAGATGGACATTATTTGGAACTGGTTTGGGATTGTTGATTCTCTCATTTACTTTGACATTTGTATTTTTCAAAACTAGAAAGGCACTCTACAAGAAACAAAATGCTGAAAAGCAATTTGAAGATACCCTTCTCAAGAGTGAATTTAATATTTCAAATTCTGTAGACTATGATGACAGCTTTATGATTAAAATTGAAGATTTGGAATTCACAGAAAGATTATCTGAAGGTGGATTTGCTATTGTTTTCAAGGGAAGGTTTAAGGGAACAGAGGTTGCCATCAAGAAAATGAAATTATCAGATGGGTACACCGAAGACCAAGAGTTATTCCAAAAAGAAGTATTTTTACTTAAATCTTTAAGACATCCAAATGTATTGTCATTTATAGGAGTTTGTATTAGTACTAGTGGAGATCTTAAACATCAATTCATCATTACTGAATTTATGGAAAATGGATCACTAGATCATTACACTAAAAAGCTTAAAGGAAAGTTCCTTATAGAGCAAAAATTGGACATTTTGTTGGACATTTGTAGAGGAATGATGTATTTACATTATAAGGGAATGTAAGTAATTTCAATCTCTTTTTAACTCACAAATCGATTAGCCTTCACCGTGATCTCAAACCTCAAAACGTCTTGATTAACAGAGGGGGAACTGCCAAGATTGGAGATTTTGGTATTTCAAGAGTTGCTGACGTTCAAGCAACAATGACTGGGCACTGTGGTACAATGGAATTTATTGCCCCAGAATGTCTTCAAGAAGAAAGATATACTGAAAAATGTGATGTGTTTTCATTTGCAATAATGATGTATGAACTTCTTTTTGAGTGTAAACCATATGAGAATCAAGATTTTAACTTATTTACCATTGCCTTAAAGGTTATTAATGGTTTAAGACCAGTAGTACCTTTCAATACCGAAGATCCAAAAGCATTCGAGAAATTTACTGATACCATCCTGACCAAACATCCAAAAACATATATTGCCTCTGTAGTTGTTGATTATATCAGTTTAATGAAGGTATGCTGGTCTGCTCTTGACACTGAGAGACCATCTTTCGAAGAAATATTTGAAAGTATCAAAGAATTCAGACAAAGAATCGAATACCAATAAATTATTTATTTTTGATAAGCTTCATATAAAATCTCAATTGGGTGCTTGCTTTGAATGTTGTGATCATTTCCATTTGATGAAATAGTGGAAACAGTTCCTTGTTTTTCCTCCTTTGACATTTCAGTTACTTGAGCCAAATGTTCTTGAGCGAGTGGGCATTCAGAGCTCATTACGTGAGTTGTTTTGGATTTGCTTGCATCTTGTAAAATCTTCTTAGCAACTGGCATACCGAATTTTACAGCTGTATCAAAGTGTGCTTTCTTTGTACCAAAACTGCCTCCATGACCACTGCATCTTTGAATAACACTAACTTTGGCATTAGGAATAAACTTTAAAACATCTAAACCCTTATTACCCATATTTTGAGCTCTTGCGTGACAAGCATGATGCAAAGTAATACTGTATGGAATTTCCTTGATTTGGTCGTGCGTTGGTAATTTACCACCATTCTTCTTTGCCAAATAAACCAAATATTCTGTAATATCCATAGTATTTCTTTTAACGCTCTGGACATTTTCATTTTCTGGAAGAACATTGGCCCATTCAGATTTCAACATGAGAGAACAGCTTGGAACAACTGTGACAACCTTAAATCCCTTACTAATATACTTATTTACAAGGAAATCGGAAACTTTTTCAGCGGATTTGCTCACAGCAGCCAAGTCACCCTGTTCAAAGTAAGGCATTCCACAACACATATTGTAATCAATAGCAACTTCAACTCCATTTTTCTCCAAAATATATTTAGAATACTCAACCAACTCTGGTTTGTTGTAATTTCCAAGACATGTTGTATAAATGATTACTTTTTCTTGATTAGTATTGGATGATTGATTCTTTGGTGTTGTGGAATTCAACTTTCCCATAAGTGTTCCAAAGGTAAATGGTGGAAGATATGCCTTCTTGTGAACTAGATTAAGCTTGTCCAAAATTGTTCTAATAATTGAATTGTTCATCAAGAAGTAGCTAATAGATTGAGGAAGTCTAGTAAGAAGGAAGCCATTTCTGTCCATCTTTGTAAGAAGTTGTTGAGAGAGTTCACTTTCCTTTTCCAAAGTTAATTTTCTATCAACACCTTCATGAACTGGAGCTTCAAACTCCTTGTTTGGTGAATCCTTTGTCAAGAATCCTGTTGTTTCACGAAGTTGAATAGGAGGATTTTGAGTAGTGTGACTTTCATTTTTCTTCTTTTGTTCTACAGCTCTATATCTCAACATTAAATGAGGGAAATCGATATTAAATTCATGTGGAGGTACATAAGGACATTTGGTATTGTAACACAAATCACACATTGTACACTTGTCTGATATTTTTTTGAATTCACTAGAAGGTACCTGTTCCAAAACTTCAACCTTGTCAATCATATCAAAAAGTGAAGGGAATGATTCACACAAATTGAAACATCTTCTACATCCATGACAAATTTCAAAAATTCTTCTCATTTCATTTTCGAGTTTTTCTTCATTGTAATATTCAGCATCTTTCCAAGGAATTGAATATCTGAATGCTTCAAATCTTTGAGCTTCTCGTTGAACTGATGGTGTACTAGTGGATGTTGAAGTGCTAGAATTAATCTCCTCTTCAACAGCAAGAGTTGCAAATCTCTTCTTTCTTGGTACTCTCTTTGCTTCACCTGCATTCGATGAAGTATTAGAAGCAACATGTTCCTCCTCTCTTCGGAATTGACTTACATGAAATCCTCTCGCAACAGCATTGCCAACAATTTTGTTGATTTGGTGTGTTGTTTTATTTAACGATACAACCTTCTTGATCATCTAGAATATAATTTACAATAGCTTTGCTTTCAAAAACGACAAGAATTCTCTGCTTTCAAGGCAATAATATTTTTTTGTTTGAATCTTGTCGTATTATTGTTTTGGAACATGAAGATGGCAACGAAGAATAATTTTGAAGGATGGATTGTATTAGATTCTTCACAATTAATATTGGATGACAGAGTATGGAGGAGAGGGTTGAATGATTCTATATAAATTATTATTTAAATTTTTCCTAGTGGTGTTGTTGCTATGGTGGTGGTATATTTACATATTATTGCTTCTTTTCTTGTTGTTTTTGTTTTTGCTTTTGAATTTGATCGTGAGCCTTCTTGACAAAGGCCAATCTTTGTTTGTGTACTTCTGGTACGGCTGGTCGTTTTTGAATTCTAGGTGCTTCTTCTGTTGATGAGGAAACTACAGAGGAGCTTGGTGTAAAGCCTGGAATTTTAACATCCCACGTATTTTCCAAGTAGAGTTGAAGATCTTTAACTTCCAATGTATCCGAACCACGATGTTTGGCTAAATTACAAGCCATTGTAGTGACTGATTCAATAAAGTCATCAGCAATTTCCAACAAAATCTTTGTTCCGATATCCACAACAATAAAATTATCACACAAATTAATTAATTAAATTTAAATATTGATATAAACATTCTCATCATCATCATCATATGAAAAAACCCACCTCTTCCACTTCTTGATCAAGGGAATGACGAGGATCAATTTGTTGTACAATTTCCTGAAGTTTGCTCTTCTTTAAAATACCTCTATCGTTACTGTTGATGCTCATGCTCCTATTTTTTTTCAATGTTGGCTTGAATTCCAAAGTTGTGATAACAAATTTATTGGTGTTGTTCAAACCCCAATATTTCAATACATTTTGTTGCTATCCATATCAAATTAAATGTTTCTATTGTTTAAACCCACAAGATGAAAAAGACAATGAGCCAACCAGTTTTGAGGAACAGATGGATCTGAATTTGCAGCATTGTAACTATTTTCTGATAACATTGATAAAACACTGGAAGATGAACATTTGTAAATTGATCTATAGAATTATTTATTAAATGATGTAAATCGAATAGTAGAATATTATCTGTCTTAAAAAGTCAAAAACAAATGACGTCAGTGTTAATGTGGATGTTCCAAAAATATCATGTTCGGAATCCCACCTTCAAAAAAATGTTATTAGGACACTACGGGCCAGCCGGTATCATACACTTGTTGTTTAACGATATTTCCTTCGTGTGGTTGATGATTAGCACACAAGTAATTGATATTGCTTATTTTGTATTGTCTTATTCTTGTAAATTAGTTTGTAATTTGAATGTTGATTCTTGTCCATATCCTATTGTTTGTTCTGAGTATTGTACATTCAATGTTGAATTGATGAGAAGTCGCAAACCATTGCCATTCAATTCACATGCTACTTTTTCACATAGTTTGACTGGAGCATTTACTTTGACAATTCCTTTTACAATTTTATATACCCTTATTCATGGAAGAGGAAAGAGATCACTCCTTTCTCTTTATTTTATCTTATTGTTGGGCGTTGCTTCTCATTGGGCTTTGGATGTGCTTGTACATAGACCTGACATGTCCATTCTACCACCATTGACAACATTAAAGATTGGATATGGAACTTGGCAAAATTGGACTTTATGGGAAAATTACTGGTTGGAAATGAGCTCTGTAATTATTGGATTTATGGCTCTAACAGTTGCACATTTCAGATTTGGAGGACCTAGATTTAGATTTTGGATTGTTGCATTGGTTTATTTGGCATTGAGTGGTGCTATCACTTATATTGTTTATTTCGGAGATGATTTAGCAAAGAAGGCTGATTCTGTAATTGATGGGTCTGTTTCTCCTCCAGACCAAACTCCAGTAATTTTCACCATTTATACTATAATAACAATTATTTCTATATTCTTGCAAGTTGATACTCAGAAAAAGAAGGAGTCTATCAAATCTCAATAAAGTTATATTCTACCATCCGTACTTTCTCTTTGCTGTTGAGCTACTTTGCCTGGATTTTTCTAATCTTTCTGCCATTTCCAATTCACGTCCTCGAGATTGTTGGGCTAGGTAGGAAATTTGATTTTTGGTTCTAGCCACCTTGACACGATTTTTATCACCAGCTCCTTCTGTTGTGAAATTGAATTGTTTCAAAGCATCACTCTCATCCTTTGTAAGGAAGACGTCACGTTTATGCTTTTCAATGAGGGCCTTTCTTCTTTCAGCTTCGACATTGATTAATTTACTAGATCCATTTTGACTAACATCCAATATTTCAAAATTTCCAGAATCAACATCTATTCCTTGTCGTTTCATTTCTTCTAAAACATCTTGTGGAATTCCCCTGTTGGCAGTTATTGGTTCCTCATTGTCTTCTGGTGTAATATTCTCCAAATTTTTGTAAACTTCGTCGTCCTCTTCATTGTAGTATGGATTAAATTCAAAATCATCCTCATTATCATCATTTTGAATTTCAACGTCGTTATTTCTTGGTATGTACAACTTTGGTTTTTCCTCCTCATCCTCTTCCTCAGGTTCACTTGGTTTTGTTTCAATAAAGTTATAATTGTAATCATCATTATCATCCTCATCATCTAAAAATCTTTCTTGTTCAATTGTTTGATCCTTTCCTTTTTTCTTTGAATCATCATTGAACAGAGAGTGTTCAGAAATTTGTTTCAACAAGTTCTTTTTGTAACTATTAGTTTTTTGCTTCTTCTTCTTTTGTTCCAATGGTTTCTCCTTCTTTTCCGATCGTGTTATTACATTACTATTAATCACTGTTGATGAAGAGGCTACACTAGGTGCAGAGGAAACTTGTTTATAATTCATATTTGAAACTCCAACAGGTCCAACCGATTCAATCATCAATTCCTCATCAGCATTAACTTTTGTAACTTTTTGTACGTTTGCATTAGTAGCAGTAGTTGAAGGTGTAGTATTTCTCGTTGCTACATTTTGTTTCGACGATGGTACAATAACTTCATCATCGGAATCGGAACCGTAGCCAGCAAGTGATGAGAGCATTTTTTTCTATTTGGAATTATCACTATTAACCAATTAATACTTTACAATAAACATCATACAATAATATCCACCCAGATGATCTTTGAACCATTGGAAGTCGTCATGTTCCACTCTTCATATCTTTTAATTAAAAAAAATAACCACCAACATTCCAACTTTACCTATGAACCCTGATCGTTTTAAATTGGCTGTTGGTAAGTAGTTTTTAATGCAATGGTGTGTGGTTCTATTGTTGTTGTCAATGATTATAGTCGGAACTGGTGCTGTCGGTAAAAGTGCCATTACGTAGGTTTTTAATCATCATTAAAATATCAATAATTGACCATTTTAAAGTATTCAATTTACACAAAATATATTTGACAGGCAAGAAACTTATGATCCAACAATTGAAGGTAGGTTTTTTAAATTTGTGAATAATTGTTGTAAATTTACTTGAATAGATGCCTATTATTGTAAGAGAATGATTGATGGAGTTGGTGTTGAATTAGAAATTGTTGATACTGCAGGTATGTCATCAATTCGGAATTAATTGACCATTATTAAACAAAAATAATAATAGGTCAAGATGATTATATTGCTTTAAGAGATACTTGGATGAAGAGCTGTTATGGATTTATTCTTGTTTTTGATTTGACATCTTACAGAACTTTGGAAGAATTGAAAATATTTGTAGAGCAAATTAAGAGAACTAAACTAGACGAAAACAAACCACTTTCTAATGGAAACATTTTCCCAGGTATTATTTTAGGTAACAAGTGTGATTTAAACTTTGAATTAAGTGAAAAGGATGTTGCATCCTTTATGAAACAAGAACTTGATATTCAAGTTCCAATTCTCTTCACTTCTGCCAAGACCAGAGTCAACATCGATGAAGCATTCGAAACAGTAATAAGAGAAATGAGAAATTTCAAAGCATTCCAAAACAAGTCAACCACAACCACTGAAAAGAAGAAGGGTTTATTCTCATCCATTTCAAACTCAAATGAAACAGAAAAGGATTTGAAGGATTTTAAGGATATTGAATAAATATTTATTTGTTTTTTTGGAATGTTATTTTACAATTTTTTAGTGGTTTGGTTCTAGAACAACAATGTTGAAGGAATAATCGTCCAACTTGAAACAGTCAACTCTTCTTTCCATATTGGAAACACTATTTACACCAATGTTTTTCCTTCTAGCCAAAACATAAACATCTAACTTTCCGCCGTTATCTAGCAATTGAGCAGAAATGGTATGATGTGACCTGTTTGATTGGGCCATCATTTGGGCAAGTTTAAGTTGATTGAATTTCAATACTTTCATCAAAAGGGAACTCTGTTGTTGTTGGTTAATCTTTACAACTTTCTTATTTTCCTTGATCATTACTCTGGATATCATGGTCTGGAAGATCCTCTTTTGATTTTCTGGAGTATCAAGAGAGCTTGTGGCAGATGAAGATATAGAGTTCCTTCGTGAGAGTGATTCGGTAGTAGAACGACTTGCATTACTAACAGGAGAAGATATTGGTTGATAGATGTCGTGAGGTCTTGAAGAGTTAAATGGCGATGATACGTTTGGAGGAACAAAAGACATATTCATGTTATTGAGTGGGTGTGGGTAATTAGAACTATATTTAGTAGTGGAATTGATATCTACAGCAGGTGGTAACAGAGAGGATAAAGGTGGCAGAATGTTATTATCTTGTTGTTGTTGGTGGTGGACAGAGGGTGAAGGTGCTTCATTATAGATTCCATGATTATTGTACAGGTATGATGATGCAGTGTTGTTATTTTGTTGTTGTTGTTGGCGATCACAATCCAACAATGCAGAGGTGGTTTTTACAAAGGAAGGAAGAGTATTGTTGTCTTGATTGTTGGTGTTATTGTTGGGAGAACTTGTTGTTGGAGTGTTGTTCCCCTTCTTGTTTTTTTGTCCGTTAATTGTACTTGTTGGTAAATAAGTGTAGTGGTGTTGGTGATAGGGTTCGTTTATCGGCGTGTAGAAGGTTTGGTTCATGCTGAAAACGAAAGCGGGCTAGCAGGATGTGTTGTTTTTTTTGACTTGATTTTATTAATAACAAGAAAGGGCTCCGTACCCTCAAAGAAAAAAACCAAAAAAACACACACAACTTTAAAAGAGATAGTAGCTTTTTTTATGGTGGTGGGTTCATTAACATACACACTGTCTGTTGTTTATCAATGTATGCCTTGAATTCATTAAATATACAACAAGAATGAAGAATATGAAAAATTCGAGAGAATGTTGCTGTTGAGCCAACCTACAGATATGGGATGGCTATTCTTCATTCTTAATCTAGGTTTACCTTCGGAATATCTTCATTTGTGAAACAAAGAACGTTTTCATGTTGAAGTCTCGGTGACTTTTTGGAAAATTTGGATGTCACTAGGGTAATGATATGAATTGCTGGTTACAATATCAATGTTTTTGGTTTGTCCATTTGATGTTGGTTGTATTAATTGACAAACTCAGAGTATTGTAATAATATTTACAACATTGAGTTCTACAAATCACAATATTGATCAATCATGAAATATACAATGAGTTAAGATAGATTCTATGAGGATCTAGATAACTTGCTATTTGTACCAAAAGAACAAATGTTGACAGATTTGCATCTAATTACTCAATTACCAAGCCGGGATAATGGGACAACTATTGAAAGTGCGCGCATAAAACTAAATTAGAGTTATTGTTGTATATTTTGATTGAATTTTAATGTATAATGCTTGTATTATATTACAATTACATTAACTATTTTACAAAGTAACATTAACACTCTTGAGGTAAATATTGTCTTTAATTGAGATTGAAAATTAAGCTGCTGATACGGCCAAACAAATTACCTGCAAGGGTAGGACAACTTATTTTTGGGATTATTGAATTTTTATTGTAATCAATTCGAAAATTGTTTGGAAAAACCGAATTGCCGAATCAGCTTCCAAGTTGAAGAATTAATTTGATTGTTGCTGTAGTTACTGTAGTGGATGGATATTATTACAATGAAAGTAATTCTTATGTTTCAAGTTGTTTTCTTAAGAGTTTTCCAATCGAAATATTGACCTTGTGTACTGCGATAGCAAACCTTTTTTCCATATCTTTTAGTAGCACACTTTCATTTTAGCATAATTGTCTTGTTGATTTGATTGAGACATTCCTTCTTGCTCATTGACAATGAGTAGAATCATTTAAATTCTGTTTTTGTTGAATCTCCTAAGGAATATTCATCACAACACTTAAACTTGAGATAATTATCAGTTTTAATACACCTTTTTGATTTAGTGGTTGAATTGGAACCTTATTACAATCCCACAACAAAGAAAACACGTTTCAAATGCAATTTTTTAAAAACTGTAAAAAAATGGCGCACATTGTATGGCGAGAAATTGAACCTCACATTTTGTTCAACAAGTTGAATAACATGGAACCAATCTTGATATTGGATTCGAGAGAAAATACAAAATTTGAAGAGATTCACTTGAAAAAATCATCCCATATTGTAAAAGGATGTGTAATGGAAGGTTTGCAGAGTATTCTTAATGGAAGACTCAGTCAACCATTCGTAAAGAATATCAAAGCTGTTGTACTTATATCTACTTGTGAAGATCTTGGTATCATGAATGAAATTGAAGAATGTCTGAATATTATACTCCCAAGAGAAGAGCCTCTTCAATTAAGTTATGTTGATTCTGCAAAGTTTTGGTCACAATATAATGGTTGTGAATACCTCATCAATTCAGCTTTATTTTCTGAGGAAACAAACAAGAGATTGAGATTCAGAACCCAATACTATGCCTCAGAAATAATTCCAAACTTTCTCTACTTGGGAGACTTTCAGAATGGTTCTGAAATGTCCCAACTTCAAGCTCTAGGTATTACCCACATAATTGATGCTACAAATGAGCATTATTCAGAAGAAACAGCAAAGGAACTTTCCATTAATTACTTACCAATAGATATTTGGGATATTGAAAAGGCAGATATATCCCAGTACTTTGAGTCTACTAATGAATTCATTCAATCGGCAAAGGACCAAAACGGTAAACTATTATGCCACTGCAGAGCTGGTTGGTCAAGAAGCCCATCCATAGTGTTGGCCTACTTGATCTCCTCAAGATTTTCTGCTTCATTGAAGGAGGCCTTGATTTGGACAGTTAGTCAGAGACCATTTGTTTGCCCCAATAATGGTTTCAGAGATCAATTGAGATGTTATGAGACAAAGATATTAGGGGCTCAATCTTTTAACAGTGACAATGAACTTGTCAAAGTGATACACTCCAACAGTAAATATTGGTCTGGAGCCACAACATCAGAGTCAGATTTTGATAGAATTTCTATCAATGCTGTGAAAAAAACCAAATTTAATGTTGAAGAATATTCTGAACCTCCTTCTCAAACCACAAAACCAAAGAAACCATTTCTTAAAAGAGGAAGCAGAGTTAAAGCCCCAACCACACACAATAAATAAATTAAAGTTAGATTGTGAATTCTCAACCTTTCTATTCTTATTGTGCAAAGATAATATTCTGTTCAATTCCCAACTTGAAAAAAAATGCAGAAACAAGAAACTAACAAACAATCCCATAAAAACAAAAAACCAAGCCAAGCCAAAATTTGGTATAAGAAGGTTGAAAATACAACAACAAATAACAGTGATCTTGTCACTCCGAGTGTGAATAATTTACCTCTTGGAAAGAATAACAATATTGAAGGTATAAAGCAACAAGTGGAAACACCTTCCGAAGTGGTTCAATCAACAATTATTGAAAATATACAAATCACACCAATTGTACAAAAAACAAAACATATCAAGAAACAGGAAAAGAAGGATAATTTCTCTAATTCGGAAAAGAAACAGAAAAAGGAACAAAATTTTAAGAATATTAAAACATTGTCTCCCGAACAGAGAAAAGGATTAGATAATTTACTAATTTCATTCAATGAAGATCATGAAACTAATTTAATTGTATTTTTAAATAATTATATGAGAATACATGGGAAAGAGTTCAATAAGGAATTTGAAAGCGCAGACATTAAATTGTTAAAGAGTAATTTGAGACAACATTTGCCAAAATCTCTGGAATTATTCAATACTAAATTTATTGAGAAAAACATAGGTGCACTTTGTGAAGCATCTATTGTTGGAAATTTATATATAACCAAAAAACAATCCCTGTTATATGAACCAAATAAGTCTCAATATGCACCATACTTTTTCAAATTGTATATGTTTGATATTTTGAGGAAGAATATCAGAATTGTAAATTTATATCAAAACAAACCGTGCACTTCTATTGGCATGTTTGCACACTATAATTATATTGGAATGCCTAGAGCTAAATTTTATGAGTTAGTGAAACAAATAGTGACTAATGATTTCAGAGATCACTTCTACTATTCAGTGATTGGGAAGGAAAAGACTGATAATTTATCAATGTGGGATATCCATGCCTATAATTTTTTGAAAAATCAAACAGAATTGAAAGAAGGTGAACTTATTGATAATTTACCTCTTATGGAATTGAAAAATAGACTTGTTATCATTCAACACATGAATGAAATGTCTCCAGAATTATGGAATATATTCCTTAATGATGGTAAATTCCCTTTTATTTTTGATACAGAGTGGAATTTCTTTGATCCACAAGAAACAGGAGTACGAGTTATACAAGTAGCAAACTCTTTTGTTTGTTTCATGATATTGGTAGATTTCGATGAAATACCTGCAGACTATTTAGTGGACTTTTTATTTAATCCTAAATTTACCAAACTTGGATTTGCACTGAATGGAGATTTGAAACGAATTAATAATTGGCTGACTGAACATAACATGGAAAATTTGGACAGAACATTCATCAACACTCCTGATTATATGAATGATCAAGGATGGATTGAAGGAGATCCTTACTCAGTAGGTCTCTCCAAATTGGTTACATTCCACACATTCAGCAATCAAAAAATGTTTTACAAATTTAAGGGAATTCTTGAATTTTACGAGTACAAATGGCAACCACATGATTTGAATCCAACACTTTCACATTGTCTCAAAAGAATAGACTATGCCTCCATGGATGTACTGATTGGATACTATTATCTAAAATGTGAAAAGTATCCATCCAATCACTTATTCAATACTAACTTAAGAAAGGGTTGGAATGAAAACACATGGAAAGAAGAAGCTAAAAAGAGTAAGGAAATCAAATACAGTTTACTTGATATCATTTACTCTGACAGATCATCATTGTTTACCACCAAGACTAGGCATTTCAAGATGAAGGTGGCTTACACCAAAAACTTTTGGAAAGCTAATGAAAATTCATCAGAACTGACCCACTCAGAAAACAATGTAATATTGGAACCAAATCAGCAGCAAGAAGAAACTGTAGATGATCAACCAATCGAACAATAAAATTGATTGTATAAAACATCTATCCAAAATCTTCTCCAAATAAGTTCACTAAAAGGGCGTACAATAAGATTCTCCTCGATTTTCTGACTCGCCTTTTCAACCAACACCAATTCTTCTTTGTAAAGTTAATTCCAATCTCTCAACAATATTCCATTGAATTTTTATTCATCACAAGAAAAAAATAGCAAAATATGACGACTTGTGTTGTTGCGTGTGCTAGAAAAACGCAACAAATTTCGTGAAGGATTCCGGAGACAAACAACAATAACAAAAAATGTCTCAACAAATCACTAACATTGCCCCATTCGCTCATTTTGGAACTGATGCTATTCATGCTGGACAAGAACCAGATAAACACTCTGGTGCTGTCATTACACCAATTTCCTTGAGTTCTACTTTTGCTCAAGTTTCTCCAGGTGTTCACTATCCTGGTCATTATGAATATGCCAGAACCGCCAATCCAACTCGTGATGCTTTCGAAGGTTGTGTTGCTGCTTTGGAAAATGGCAAATATGCTTGTGCTTTTGGTTCAGGTCTCGGATGTACTACCACTTTGTTGCACATGTTGAGTGAAGGTGATCACGTTATTTCTGTTGATGATGTTTATGGTGGTACTGGACGTTATTTCAGACAAGTTGCTGGCAAGTTTGGACTCGAATTCTCTTTCATTGATTTGAACAAGGAAGATGAATTCAAGCAAGCTGTTAGAGAAAAGACCAAACTCATCTGGTTGGAAACTCCAACTAATCCAACTTTGCGTATTACTGATATTGCTAGAGTTCATAATTGGAGAAAGGAATATTGTCCACAAGCTATTCTCATTGTCGATAACACTTTCATGTCACCATATTTCCAAAGACCATTAGATCATGGTGCTGATATTGTCATGCACTCTGTCACTAAATATTTGAACGGTCACAGTGATGTTGTTATGGGTGTTTGTGCTACTGCCAACGAAGAAATCTACAAGAAGATTAAATATTTGCAAAATGCTATGGGTGCTATTCCATCACCATTCGACAGCTTTTTGGCTTTGAGAGGTTTGAAGACTTTGCACGTTCGTATGCGTCAACATCAAGCTGCTGGTATTGCTGTTGCTAAATACTTGAAAGGTCACTCAAAGGTTGCCAAGCTCACTTATCCAGGTTTGGAAGAACACCCACAATATGATATTGCCATGAAACAAATGACTGGTTTCGGTGGTATGATCACTTTCTGGATTAAGGGTGATATTACTCAAGCTAGACAATTCCTTGAAAACTTGAAGGTATTCCAATTGGCTGAAAGTTTGGGTGGTGTTGAAAGTTTGGTTAACCATCCTGCCATTATGACTCACGCTTCAGTTCCACTCGAATTGAGACAAAAGCTCGGTATTGATGATACTTTGATCAGATTGAGCTGTGGTATTGAAGATGTTGAAGATTTAATTCAAGATTTGGAAACTGCCTTCTCTCATGTTACTCTCTAAATTATTAAAATCCCTTTCCCTTCTAATTGTATGTTTTCTTGTATTTCGTTAATATTTAACGGTCTCTCTTGAGTGGACCACTGTAATTAATAATTTGCCTCAATGCTGGCATTATTACCTTTCAAAATTCAAACTGACATTACTGTTGTGTCTTTGTTCAGAGAGAGCAGGTACTACTAAGAAAAAATGCCATTCAATGTATGTTGCCCACTCGCTTAGTAGTTTTTATTAAATAATTTCTATTGTTATTGTTACTTTATCATATGATAATAGCCCAAAGATCATGAGATTCCCGAGGCTCCTCCACTAGATACATTTAAAACAGAGATTGATACAGCAACAGAACCTTTTGAGGATTTGGAATTTCCAGCTGAGACAATAAGCGTTTATAAACCAAATCAAAAACCACCTCCAGGTGCTGCTAGGATAAAGAAATGGCTCCGACCTCACCAGGTGAATGGTGCTGTAAATCCAGAATTATTCGTTGATGATGTAAATGTTCTTGATGTACAACAAGGAGGTCTAGGTGATTGGTAAGTACTCTTTTTTGCCTATTATTGAAGTACTAATTTAATAATTTAATAGTTGGTTTATTGGGTCATTATGTATTCTTGCAGATTCAAGACACAGAATTGAACAGTTGATTGTTTCAAAACCAGAAACTAAGGAAAGAGGAAAATATTCATTTAGATTCTTTAGGGATGGTCAATGGAAAAATGTATCAATTGATGACAGATTACCTTGTGATCTGAAAGGGAACTTGGTATTTGCTAAAAGCACCAACCCAAATGAATTTTGGGTTCCGTTGTTAGAAAAAGCCTATGCAAAATTTATGGGATCTTATGCAAGTCTTGAAGGAGGATTTACTAGAAATGCGCTTGTTGACATGACAGGAGGTTTCTCTGAAGTAATGGATATGAAAAAGAAAACTGTTTTGGATGTGTGGAACTATGTCAGCAAGAGAACTCAGCAAGCTACTCTTATTGGAGCTAGTTCATCATCAACAACAGGAGAAACTGGGATTGGAAGTACAGGCCTTATGGCAGGACATGCATATGCCGTTATTGACTGTTTTGAAGTTGCAGATGTAAAATTAATTAGATTGAAAAATCCTTGTAAGTTGTTTGAATTATTTTAGATCTTAATGAAAATAGGGGCCAATGGAGAATGGAAAGGTGCTTGGGCTGATAATGCAGCGGAATGGAAAAACTCTCCTAAAGTTGCAGAGGTTGTAAAGCCTTCTTTTGCAGATGACGGAACTTTCCATATGACCATTGAGGATTTTTGTAAATATTTCACTACATTGGATGTTTGTAGACTAATTAATTACCCTGTGAATCCAGATACACCAGCTGTTGTTGAATGGAAATGCCAAACTAGGTTAGGAAATTGGAATGGTGAAGGATTGTTCACTGCTAATACTAAAGTTTCTAGGAGAGGACCTCAATTCACTTTCACTCTTCAAGAAACTTCAGATGTAATAATAAGTTTGACACTACATTCATCAAAGTACTTGTCAGATGTTAAGGACAAGGACTTTCCTATCGGTTTCCATGTAATGAAATCTGATGAAAATAAGGATAGATGCTTCTTTGTCAAACCAGCTAGTATTATGTTTAAGAGTACATTTGAATATAGTAGAGAAAATTCAATGAAATATAATCAATTAGCAGCTGGAAACTATTTGATTTGTCCATCAGTGTACTTTAAGGATAAGGTCGGATCTTTTGTTATTAGAACATTTATTCGATCAAGCTGTAAGGGATTCAATGTTGAATTATTGCCTGGTGAAGAGGAATATTATCATTACGTTGCTAAGGAAAGTCAATGGGACTTTTTATCTGCTGGTGGGTGCATGAATTCTTGGAGGTGGATAAAGAACCCACAATTCTTACTGACTTTGAAGAGTAACGAGAGTAAAAAATTGCGAGTCAGAGTAGGAGTGGAGCAAGTTTCTGATCAACCAGAGTTTACTGGAATGTACATATTACAGGCTAACGACAAGAACCCAACAAAACCAATTTATGAAAATAAGGAGGCAGCCAAACCTCTTCAATTCATTAACAGAGCGGACAATATTAGTGATGATGCATTCGATCTGGAAACAAATAAGAATTATGTCCTGATTCCAACAACATTCAAAACTGGTATAGAGATGAAGTTTACCACCAAGGCCTTCATCCAAAAACCTCCAGGTCCACCAGTAACTGTCGACTTGATTCCTCTCACAGATTCTATTTTCAAGAGAAAGTATTTAGAATGTGAATGGACAAAAGAAACAGCAGGTGGATGTCCAAATAATAAGGAAACATTTTGGAAAAATCCAAAAGTCATGATTTCAGCAGCTAAGGATTGTGAAGTGGATATCTTATTATGTCAGGAAGAAAAGGATGGAAAACTGGCCGGTGTTGGGTTCCATGTTTTTAAGGGTGAGATGAGATCAGCATGTCAATGTGCAAAAACCAATTCTTGGGGATTCAATCGAGTTGCAGCTCTCACAATTTCACTTCAGGCCAATATTGCTTACTACATTCTACCATCCACTTACAATGCAGGTGATGAAAGAAAATTCACAATTGTGGCAGTTCATTCAAGTGATGTTAAATTAGGTCTCTTATAAAAACACTCAATAAGTTCTCCCTCAATACACAATCAGAATGTGTCGGCGATATTGCTCTCTCCATAATTACACCTTAACCCATCACCAAATCATGTGACCGTTGTATATTTGTATTCAAAAATTTAAAAATCACAAAAAAATTCATAACAATGTCATCTTCATCATCAACAACTACCAGTGCTAGTGGCAACATCTTTTTAAAGAATTTGGGAATTGGTGCAACATCGGGTGCTATTGCTGCCTGTACAATCTTTCCTTTGGATTTATTAAAAACTAAAATTCAATCAGGAGCTGCCGGAAAGGGCATGATTGATATTGTCAAGGAAACTATTCATCCAAGCAATGGTGGATTTAGAGCACTTTATCGTGGGTTAGCTCCAAATCTTGTTGGTATCATGCCAGAAAAAGCTATTAAATTATCAGGTATGTTCAAAGATGACAAGATGAAATTCGAAATAATCAATTAGCTAACGACTTTTTCCGTTCATTCTATACTGCTAAATTTGTTGGAACAACTACATCAAATGGTCAAATTCAACAATTGCCACTTTGGATTGAAGTTTTGAGGTAAATATATTTAAAAATTGAATTTTTGTAAATTGAACGAATTGAATAGTGGTGCAAGGTAATTATTTAATAATATATCAGAATTAATTGACTTTTAAAGTGCTGGAATGTGCCAAGTAGTAGCAACTACTCCTATGGAATTATTGAAAATTAATGCTCAAATGGCTGGAAAGGATCACTCAACTGTTGATTTTATTAAGAGAGTTGGTCTTAAGGGAATGTATAAGGGACTCTTTGCTACATTGGCAAGAGATGTTCCTTTCTCAATGATGTACTTCTCATTATATGCTCGTGTTAAGAATTATTTCAGAGCTCAAACTCAAGAACAATATCTTCCATTGCCAAAGGTTTTGCTTTCTTCAATTATTGCAGGTACCTTTGCTGCTGCTCTTGCAACTCCTATGGATGTCATTAAGACACGTTTGGTAAGTTTAAACGGTTTTCTCAATCATTTCGAATAATTTTCAATACTATTTCAAATAGCAATATTCTGGTACTACTGGAATGGAAGGATTAACATATGCTCAAGCTGCTAAATATTGCTATACTAACAAGTTACTTTGGAAGGGAACTTTACCTAGAGTTTTAATTATTTCACCACTCTTTGGTATTACATTATTGTGCTATGAAGGCTTCCAAAAGTTTATGGGTATTACAACAGTGTAAATTCATTAGAATTACAATAAGAGAAATCAAATTTTGTAAATTTATATTTTCGAGATTGACAAGAACAAATTGTAATTTTAAATAATAAAAAATGAACAAAAGCCAACCTTGTTCGGATGAAGAAATAATTGCGAATAGAGAGAACAGTGAAAAACAAAGACTTAGGAATGACAGGAATTTTTCATATGGTTCTGAAAGAGAATTACAACCGTCAGTAAGCCTAGAGCAACAAACGAAATTCTCTCGCCAATCTTTATTGAAACAGACAGAATATTTAATCGGAAGAGCTGGATCGTACCTTGTATCCAAACCAAAAAGCGACAAAACATTGAACATTAAATCAAGTGACAGATCATCAACTCAACCAACAATAGATGCACCTTCTGATTCTGAAAGGAATTGAATGATGAAATAAATTATTGTTGCTTATATTTATCCAGCAGATTAAATCCAAAGACTTCCTTACCAATCTCATTTGGTACAAAGTCTTGAGACATTAAATCATGGACCATAGTAGCTCTAAGCCTTTGGAATTCCTCACTTCCCTTCTTTGGCACCATCTTAATGTATTGACAAACTCTGAATCTATCAGAGGAATTTGGGAAATTAGCATGAGGAAGTAAGCTGTTGAAAATGATTAAAGATCCCTTTCTGACTGGAACTTTTTGGGTTTGTGAGATGAGTGGATCTTCCTTTCTCACTGAGAGGAATGTACATCTTGGCCCAGGTTTGTAATCCCTCAATTTTTCTGCATATTCCTTTACATGTTGAACGAACCCAGGTACACAAACAAATCCTCCATCTTGCTCTCTGGTTTCAGAAATAGCTAAAATACCTTGCAATCTAATTACTTCATAGTTTGAATTATTCTCTACAATAAAGTAATAGTCTGGATTACTTCCAATAATTTGCTTGTTATCGTTTTCATCTTCAGCTTGGGCTGGATATTCACCCAAGCAGTAGTAAGGATTCAAATCCCAATGCAACCACTGAGATTCTGTTTTCAACTCCTTCTTTTGAACAAGACTTGTTTCTGAAGGCATTTCACTCAATTGTCTAGATTTGGGAAGCGAGTTTGAATCATTGTAAGGAACTGGTACATCAACTGTTGGCTTTAAAACACCAATTCTATCAAAACTAGTCCACAACTTTGATCTATCCATTCCATACACCAACTCAAAACATTTTACCAACTTTTCATTCTGTCTATTTTCCATTCCGACCCTTGTCCAATAAACATCATTCCCAACAATTCCCATTCTTGATCCCTTCTTCCAAGTTTCAGGATCGTTTGGTTTCATATGTTCTTCTTTTTCCAAAATATTCCAAACATCATCCAATGATCTATCAACCTCTTCCTCATTCAATACATTCCTAAATACAACCACACCAAACTCATTGAAAAACTTGAGTATTTCCTCCGAGCTATCCAATTCAATATCAAAATCCTTTACAAAACTGGAACCAGCCTTCTCATCATATATTTTCGGTAATTCATGAACAGGCAATGTAGGATATTCAATAACTGTCTTTCCAGGATTCTGACTAGCCACTCCAGCATATCTATCATCAAGGCTTGTTTTTCCCAAAGACGAAGATGAAGAATTTGATGATGGAACAACCTTTGACCAAATCCATCTAAAAGGAGAGGTCAACATGCTATATAATTTCTCAAAAAGACGCACAAAGATTGAAGAATTGCTATTATTACTTGTTGACATTTTTTTCTTTTGATTTTTTGCCAATTTCGCTTCAGATCTTTAAAAGTACAATTTTAGTGATGAACTTTGAACTCGTGTTCATCTTTGTTTGAACTTGTCTAAGGCAAATTCAAAGTTTCATCTACATTACAGGTAAGTTGCATTTTGAAAGGGAACTTCTTGATAGTTTGAAGAGTTTAGTTTTTGTTTGATACGAAAGTTTATTGTTTGTCATTGACATAGATACACAATGAATCATTATTATTGAGCTTGACATCCTTAAAGAAGAATTCATCAACTTCAACTCTAATAGAATTGTTGAAACGATCAATTGAATTGCAACAGGCACGATCAAAAGTAAACAAGTCGCCTTTCTTTTGAGTTAATCTTTCCATTACTAAATCTCTGAGTTGTTCGATTGTGTCTGGACAGGTTTGTGTCACAATTTTGGTGGTATAAATTTCTTCCAAGACTCCATTAATACGTTTCATGTAACTAATGAGGAGAGCAGTGTTGGAAATGACTGGAGGAGGAGGTGGTGAAAGAGATTCTTCCTTCTTGTAGCTAGTTGCTGGAGCTCCAGACACAACGCCAATATTAGCTGGTGGGTTCTTAGATTTTCTTCCTCTCTTACTTGGAGATGGAGATGGAATGGCAGTGGTGGATGCTCCATTGGCAAGCGTGACAGTTCCTGGAAGGAGGGTTGAGATTGGAACTGATGAAGCTCCCATATTGGCAGCAACTGCAGAAGCAGCAATTCCACTTGTAGATGGTCCTGCAGCAGTTGTTGCTTCACTTGTTGGGAGAGTAGAAGGAGGTGGTGGAATTGGGACTTTCTTGGCTTTGATGGCTCTCTTAGCTTTCTTCTTTGGGGTTTCAACTGTGGTTGCTTCATCACCATTAGTTGTGGTGGTGGTGGTGGTGGAACCAGATTCATCCTTGATAGTTGTTGTTGAATTATTGAGGGCATCTTCAGTAGTGGATGTGGAAGCTCTTCTCTTTGTGACCTTTCTCTTCTTTCCTTCAACTGCTGGTGATTCACCAAGATTTGGAGTGGAGGAACCAAGAGTTGGAGTTTCACCACCCTCGGATCCAAGACGTGGGGAATCCTTTAGTTTTGGTGGATGCTTGAGACCTTCTCTCTTATTCACAACACGACTATTAATATTCATCAATATTCATAATTGTTTCAAAATGTTATTAGAATTTGAAAAGGTGATGAATTAAACTTACTTCTTATTAGGATCGTATTGACCACGAGCAAATCTCCATTGCTTATTATAACAAGTTGAACATACAGAAAGAGATTCACCATCTCTTGGTTTTGGAATTTGTTCGGATTGTTGAGGGAAAGTATCACAATAAGTCTTGTAATTATTTGTGTTAATTGTGTAATTCTTCTTGAAATTGACTTGTAAATTGCTTCTCCTACAAACAACGCAATGAATCAAATCTTCTTCAGAAATGACTTCATCTTCATTAGTATCCATTCTATTAGAAGAAGAAGAGGCAGCACTAGCTCCGAGACCTGGACTTCTTTCTCTTCTGGTACTGCTACGTTTCTTGACACCTGCCAATGCCATTTCTTCATCATCTTCTTCACCTGCATCGGCAATATATTCATCATCATCACCTTCCATTGCTCCTGCATCGGCAATTTCATCATCTTCCATAGCACTTCTACGTGATGTCTTTCTCTTTCTTGGAGTTGGTGTTGATGAACCTTTACTATTCGAAACAGCAGATGATTCTTGTTGAGCAGCCAACATTCGGGAAGCTCTCTTTGCCAAATGAGTATTGGCCAATGATGGTGTATTGGTTCCTACAGTAGCTGATGGTGGCAATGAGCTAACATGTTCTCCATCATCAGAATCATCTTGTAAAAGTGAGTACAAGGCACTCACTTTGGAAACACTTTCATTTTCGTCTTCATCACTATCACTAATATGATCTTGATGATTTACTAGAGAGAAAGAGAAGGGAGAAAGGGAGTAAATTATTATTTTGGAAATGATGAAAGATAATGTGTGGTGGATAGTATAGAATGATGTTATTAGAATGTAGAATTGAGGGCATGAATATTTCATCAACACATGCATTGTTGGCATGATGGATTGCAAAGAATCATCAAGATGAACCAGCATGGTACGTGAGGGCAAGAAGTAACCAAAGTGAAAAATGAGAGTTTCGAATAGTTTGGACCGCGGTAAAAATATGATCATCACATCAATTTAAATTAAGGAAGTTCAGAGGAGAGCAAAGAGTGGATCACAGGATTGCGAAAGTATCATCATCGAATTTCGAATAATATTATTAGAATAATATTAGAATAAATATTCTCAAGTAACTTACATTGTGCCAAGCCAAGCAAGCCATCGTGTGCTTCTTGATCAAGCAAAGTCTTATTGAAGGACGATAAGGCTTCAGTAGCATCACTCTGATCGGATTCTTGCTTATTAATTGATGGTAAATTATTGTTTGTAGGTGAAGATGAAGTACTTGATGTGGTGACATTTGGCATTTCCTCTTCCTTGACCAATGTCCTTACAGGCTGAGCGTTGAGAATTGCTGCTTCACTCATTTTATAAAGGTTTTTTGTTTGTTGAACAGAGAGCAACGTTGAGGTTTTTTTTTAGGGCTGTGTGATTGCTGACAGCGTCTGGCGTTGAGGGTTTAGTTTCGCTGCGTGAGAAGGCAGGACGAAACTGAGGAATGAGGTAATTTCTGGTTGGTTCGTCGTCATGGTTGAGGATCGTAAAAATAATTATTGAGGTTCTAGGGTGTTGAGATTACAATTCTCTCAATTTGACAAGAGACATTAAGAAACCGATTAACGAATCATCAAGAGCATGATAAAAAGATAAGGGTTTTTGCTTCTTTTCTCAGTCATTTGTTGGTAAGAAAACGTTGGGGTGGATGAATTAAAAGTTCTTCTTAATGGAAATTCATCAATATTGGATTCCGATTAAACAATCTCGATTCCCTACTTCATCATCAATTTTTATTAATGTAAAAGATGAATGTTGGCAAAGTATCTTCTTACCCGATGATGTTACAAGCAGAGAACGAAGTTCTAAGTCAGTTGGTGGTTAGTCTGGTTGAATAAGCGGGTTAATGTGGATGTTTTTGGGAATCATCTAAGTGCGATGTGGAACCTTGCTTAAAAACTATATATGGTAACTGACTAATATTATTGTGTGGAATATTCGTTTAATGGATTTTGTAAAGTCATATTTACTATGGTGCTGTTCTTTGAAAATGGTTAAATCAAATTCTGGCTAATAAAAAGATATCTCCATTAACCAAATCCATTAAATAATCATGATTTAAAATGATAAACAATTTTATAAATCATGAACTACAACATCAGTTACTTGCGTCATTCGAAACTTAGTAAGAAATTATTTGAATAAAAATATTGGTGTGATAATTCCGAATTGAGAAAAATAATTGAGGTCAAGTTTGATGCTAGGATTGGATATCTTTTGTTGGGAGGAATATTGTGTAGATATGTTGTGTGGGTGAAATATTGGCAACACGAACAACTTAGAAAGCCAGTTTCCCATCTTCAAATCTACAAGACAAAATTGAACAATACAAATTACGTCTATCCATTATGGATGGAGGCTAACGAAAACAAGACTTCTGAAGAATCTCAGAATACCTATTGGATACTGCCAATCATGATATTTCAGAAAACAATGTTACAGAAGAGGAATTTAGAAAGCTCTTTCCCTTTACAATGCAACAAATAACGATCCAGTAGAATTGATGATTAATTATATCAAAACGTGCCATGGTGGGAAAATTCGAGTTTTTTGAAAATCAAGTCTATTAATATCTACTTCAATATCATGAAGGAAAATGCGCAAATTAGTTGAATAGTCAACTTTACAAAAACCCTCACCCTAATCCGAGGAGCACAATTTATTTTTCTTGACTATTTAAACGAGCATAGAAACTTCACTTTATTCACCAATTCAAAAAGAAAATGTCAATTAATTCAAATCAAAAAGAAGGAGCAAGTACCTCCACCATGGATACTTTGCCAAACTCTGCTCCAGAAAAACCACAAAATGAAGAAATCAAAGACGAAAGGGAGCCTAAACTTTATTTCTTTGATCACTTTAGAATTTTCAAGTTGTTTGGATGGACATGGTTTCTAATCTTGTTAGGAATGCTTGGATCGATGGGAAATGGTGTTATTATGTTAATCTTCCAATTTATATTTGGAGATTTAATCAACATTTTCCAACCTGTCAATGGAGTAATGCCTTCCACTGATGTCATGAGAGCTGCCATCTCTGATATTTCCTTAAAGTTTACCTATGTTGCAATTGGTAGTATGGTGGCAAGCTTTACAGCTCAATTTTTCTTGAGTTGGGCCAATGAAAGAATTGGAATCACTTTGAGAAAAAGTTATTTCAACCAATTGACTAATCAAGATGTTGCATTCTTTGATATTAAGAAAACAGGAGCTTTGACTCTTCCATTGAGTGATGACATCTCTAAAATTCAAGACGCATGGACAAACAAGCTATCTACACTCATGCAACATTTGACAACCATCATTATTGGCCTAGTTCTTGCTTTTGTAAGCAGTTGGCAAATGTCACTTGTTTCAATTTCAACAGTTCCACTTATGCTTGTTATTGGAGGTGTAATGGGAAAGTTTACTGAAGTATTGACTGTCCGATCAGGAAATGTCATTTCAAAAAGTGCTTCCAAAGCCAATGAGGTTGTTTCTTCCTTTAAAACTGTGAAAAGTATGGGAGTTGAAGGGAGGGAACAATTGCAATTTGCAAGTATATTGAAGAAACTTCACTTGTATGGTTTGTTGAAGGCTCTAACACAAGGAGTGAGTATGGGTGCTGAGAATTTGATCATGTGGGGAACTAGCTCACTTGCTTTTTGGTATGCGTAAGTATATGTTTGCTTGTTTTGGTTATATTTAACATATTTAAAGAGGAAATTTGGTTATTGATGGAGTAATCACAATAGGAGACCTTGTTAAGGTATTTGGATTATTGCTTTTTGCGTAAGTTGTTGTTCAAACAATCAAGGTTGACCAATTGTAAAGTATTTTTTCAATGGCACAAGGATTTATCATGTTACCAGACATTTCCAAAGCATTGGCCTCTCACAGAACACTTCTACTTGTAATTAAAAGAAAACCAGCCATTCCAACAACTGGAGGAAAGAGTTTGGGTGAGAATGTTGGTAAAATTGAATTCAGAAATGTTAAATTTTCTTACCCTTCTCGTCCTGATGTGAAAGTTTTGGAAGATTTTTCATTGAATATTGAAGTTGGACAATCGATTGCTCTAGTTGGACCATCCGGATCTGGTAAGAGTACAATTGTTGGATTGTTGGAAAGATTTTATGATCCACAAGAAGGATCAGTGCTTATTGATGGAGTGGATATTAAGGAAATTGATTCTGCATGGTTGCACAAGAACAGTAAGTTGACTCTATAATAGTTAATTCATAACAATTACTAGTTGGAATTGTGACTCAGGAACCAGTATTATTTGCCTGTTCTATTAGGGAAAACATTGCTTATGCAGTTGGTATTGAAAATGTAACAGATCAAGAGATTGAAAAAGCTGCAAGAGCTGCCAATTGTCACAATTTCATTGTAGATCTTCCAAATGGATATAACACCTTACTTGGTGAGAAAGGCGTTTCTCTCTCAGGTGGACAAAAGCAGCGTGTTGCTATTGCTAGAGCTCTTTTACAAAATCCCAAAGTTCTTCTATTGGACGAAGCAACCTCAGCTCTCGATACGGAATCAGAAGCTCTTGTTCAGGCAGCTCTTGAAACTCTCATGAAAGGAAGAACTTCCATTTCCATTGCTCACAGATTGTCAACTGTTCAGAATTGTGATGTTATTTATGTGCTTGTTAAGGGAGAGATTAAGGAATCTGGTCTTCATTCAGATTTACTGAATGTTCAAGATGGAATTTATAGAAAGTTGGCTGAGAAACAAATGGTTATTAGTGAGCAATAAAATCATTTCATATTTCTACTACTTCGATATTCAAAATATAACCTTCTTTTGATTCCAATTTTGAATGATGAAACAGTATTTGTTTTTAGAATGAGTTTGGTTTCGGATTCTTCCAATATTAGATCTTTGGGGATATCTTTGTAGTGAATGGAGAATTTGGGTAAAGCTTTAGATTTGTTACTCAGACCCTGTCTGCAAACTTCCTTTAATTGTTTCACATGTTTCAAAATTATTCGTGTTCCTTTGAATTCCAACAAATCAAAAGCTGTTTGTCCCTCCGAGTTTCGTACAACATCAAGTTTCAATCCTCTAGCAATTAAAGCTTGTAACATTGAATAGTCTATATATCTTCCTAGATTTTTCTTAATGAAATCCAAAAAAAATCTCACTACATAATGCGAAAAATCATCTCCATCAACACATCCAAAATATTTGATATTTCTTAATTGTTTTAAAGAGCTTTTTTCAATTGTAAAATGATAGAGTCCATCTAAATAATGAGAGCACAATGATACAAGTTCGGGATGTCCTGAAGAGTAATCAAACCCTAAACTTTTGGCTTCCTCTACCATTAAATGAGTATTAATATTAAGGGATTGGTGAAGAAATAAATATAAATATCTACACATTTCAAAGTCATCAGTATAGGAAATAAAGTTCAATTTAGGCATGTTCTCAATCTTTCCCAAATAATCCAAAGCTACATAATAGCTATAATTATATATTTGAATTGGTATAGATTGATTATTATCTTTGCAAAAGACAAGATCTTTCAATGGTATATCCAAAAGTTTCGTTATTTTTTCACTAAAACAATACGGTGAATAGTGGACTAGATGCTTTCCATTCACATCTCTATAATTAATATCTCTATATTCATCATAGTTATACTCATTGGGTTTGAAATTATGTACTAATGCAGTTAAAATTCTTTCATTAATTTCAAAGCCATCATACTGTACAAGTCTAGGGTAAATTGATATGCCAGTTTTAACCAAACCTTCAAAATTGAACTTATTGTTAAGCCTTTTGATCTTGATGTTACTGTCCTTTAGAATAGCTATTTCATTAGGAGTGACACCAAACATGTTTGGTTCTTGTCCAAGTATTTTAATTTCATCTTCTGAAAGGAATTCCATCAAGTTATCAATTTTAATTGGTGTAACACTTAAATAATGGAGGATATTATTTCCAAACTTGTCCTTTTCGTTAATATTAGTGTCTTTGTCCAAAGTACGTTTAAACATAGATGTAGATACGCCAAAAATGTCACACGTTTTCTGCACTGACAATTTACTTGCTTCTTCAAAGCAAGCAGCAGAGAATTTGTGATTACCAAGTTTTGAGAAATCTATATTATAATCTCTAGATAAGGATTGAACATCTTCTTGATTAATACGTATTAAAAATAGTTTTGTAATGTTTTTACCGACGCTAATATCGACAAATGGATATGATAGAATTAGCTTTAAATTTTCTATACTGTCTATTGGAATTTTAAACATCCTAAAAGATGGATATTTTTGGTAAATATTATTCAGTGTGTCCATAATTTGTTTGAGACTGTCCACAAAGATTTCTCTCCTAATATCGGATCTAATATTCCAGAGATAAGAAAATAAATTGACATCAATGGTAAAATTGGTAATAATGTAATCCGATTCTGGGAAATTATTTGACATAATGGAATTGTAGAGGAATATTTCAATATTAGTTGGGTAATTAAGGGGAAACACATTTTTTAACTTCTCGAATGGAACCACCTGGTTTCTTTCGTACTCCATTGATGTCCAGTAGACATTATTCAGTTGTGCTAAACTTGAGTGGTGATAATCTGATAGGGATGTATAAATAGTGGTGATTGACTTGAATTTTTCACTTGCAATGGGAAAGTATAAGGAAGGATTGAAACCAAATAGTGCATATTTAACAGTAGGCAGGTGATCTACTAATAGTTTTTCAAAATAATTAAAAAAATTGAAATATCCATAATTTGAAGAATAATTTCTTCCAACATTAGTAGAAAAGGAAACAAATTCCACTTTTGACAAGGGGTTAGTCTTACAAAACCTTTTCATCTTTGCAAAAAGTTCAATAAAAATATCCATCCAATCACTAGTACTAAATGAGAAAGGTTGTGAACTTCTAAACCACGGAAAGCTACGTAACGACTCTCTGTATACATTATCTAAATAATAGTTGCACAGTTTCTTCTCTGAAAAGACACTCAAATTTAGAATAGTTGGTCTGAATGATTTTACCGATTTTAACAATGATCGACAAGCTAAAAAGAAAGGTACTCTACTGGGCTGTTCAAAATCAATAAATTCCTCCACGTTAATATTCTGTTCAAATTCGTCCAATGTTGATGGTATTTCTATTATCGGAACAAACAATAACTGATCACAACAAATATCTCGAATATAGTCTAGATAGTAAAAGATGGTATGATGAATTTCTGTCGGAAGGTCGGCGAGAGAGCAAGAGGGATTATGTTGGGACATTTTTTAACTTTATCCTTTGTAAAACATATCAATAAAGAAATGATAAAAAGTAAATTATTTACAAATTATTTTACAAAAGGTACTGATAGAGAAAGGCATTTTGTTTTTGAATTCCATTTTGCCTTTGCTTCATTATCCAGTACTGGTTGAGGAAATGAAACTCCAAGAATACTGAATCGAGTTAATCATAAAAGCTGTAATTGTTAAAACTTACTAATGCTCTGATTTGATTGAAAATGATCTTGAAGAAATGTTTAATTCTATCTCAGACATCTTCTCAGTCTTTGGCAACTTGATTGAGTAAGCAATAGCATCACTACTCATTGTTGATGGATCTTTTTCTGGGTCCATTCCCAAGTAAACATCACTCGAAGAAACCTGTTGCTGATAAACAACATCATAACTAGACAATTGGTTAAATACATTATGATAATTAGAAACCTACTCTGGTGTTTCTCTGTTATCTCCCTGATTATCATCCAAAAATTCCAAATCTTCTGCAGTCCAAATATTAGGATCTAACTTTGCTGCCTTTGTTCCTTTCAGTTTATCAACTTCCTCAATTATACAATGGCCTGAAACACTTGCATAGTCGACATCATTATCCTCATCCTCTCCCTTATCAATTCTACTCAAAACACGTTCCTCCTCCAATCGTCTCTTTCTCCAATAATCTTCTTCCTCTCTCTTACTTCTTTCAATTTCTGGATTTGACTTTTTCTCCACCGTTTCACTTTCCTCTATCAACCCACTCAACAATTCAATCTGAGAAGGTTCCGATTCAATCTTATCATTGCCATAAAAGCTTCCGTTGTAGTAGTCCATTTTTTTTTGTGTTTTATTTTAGTAAGGATTTCAGTTTTGGCGCCAAATTTCCTTCATACAACAAAAATTGGCCAATTTTATATATGGTTGTTTTTCGAGGAATTTCATTGACGTTTCCAATAGAAGCTTTAAACATTGGTTAAATGGTGGGTGTTGATGTTTGTGGGTCTTTGGATTCGGTTTGAGTTTCTTCGAGAGGTTTTTCTTGAGCTTTGGCATTCTTTGCTTTCGAATAGGATCTTCCACAAGTTCCAATGAATGAAACAATAGAAAGTGCCTTTTTTCCATAAACTAAAACAAAAGCCGTATCATTGAAGGTAATATAGGACGAAAGTATGAGCACTGCATTCAAAGAACAGTCCATAAATATATTTCTATTCAATCCCCAAAATAATGTCATTGAATCATAACCAAAAATGTAAGTAGTTAACATGAACAATGAAACCAGCCATCCAATTATGAAAAGTGCAGTTTCGTATAGAATAAACTTGGTAAACTTGTATTCCAGTAAGGAACCTTTCGACCCTCTCAATTGAATCAAAATTTTCACACCATAAAAGGCAAATCCAATCACAAAGGTCAACAAGTAGATCATCACTGCTGCAGAAAGTAATATCCAAGCAGGTGCATAATTCTTCACTACCACAAAAACAATTACCGTAATGATTCCAACAAGTAACATGGCAATGTAGAATAAGCTGAGAATGATGGCATTGACTTTTGAGAGTTTGTTGGAGGATTGAGAGGTACCCTTTCGTTTGGACATGTCAATTACATGTGACCATGAGATAATCAATGAGGAATAACCACAGATCATGAAAATTGCAGCCAATCCACGAAATATTCCAGGAAAATAAACTTGATATAATGGAAGGACACCTCGAAAGTTGAATAGAAATCGAAGAAAGTTTTCTATAAAGCCTGTGAATGAAGAAATTGCAAAGAAAATGGGTGGCTGTACAACAATATCAAAGAAATGCCTTAAAAAGAAAAGAGTCTTTTTCCAAATTGGGAGAAGCTTGATATCAGGTCGCTTCTTGAAAGAAACTATTCTCTCCACTACTCTTGGTATCAAAATGAAACTCGTTAGATACAGAAATACACCTCCATACACAAAAGCAAGAATAAATACTGAAACTCGATATGAAATAGTCAGCTGCCAACTATGATAAAAATCATAACATTGAAAACTAAACTCCCTCTTTGTTCTGTAATCACACCAACAAGTAATAGGTACATTTAGTGGCCTGCTCTCTTGCTCCAACCTTTCCATATTGAAATACTTTTCAAAATAAAATGTCATCAGTGTTGGCAGGTTGACAGATTTCACAGCATCTTTAACATTTGTGAAAGTTTGTTGAAATCTGTCCTTCTTGAAGGCATTGAAAGTATTTACAAAATATTCACTCTGCAGAAAGTTGTAATCAAAAAATCCAAAGTGATTCCTATTTTCATTTCCATTACAATGAAAAGAAGAAATTCTTCCAAAATTAGAAATAAATTCACTTGATGATAAAGAAGAATTAATAAAAGTGAGAGCTGTACAATTATTGGTATCGATGGCTTTTCTAAATAGTGCTGATTGTGAATTTTCACACATTAAACAAAAATTCCATAAAATTCCTAAATTCGAAACTTGAGTCTTGTTTGTAAAATCCCATTCAGTATTGGATGAACACAAAATGTCGACACAAACATTTTCATTTTGTGTTATTTGTTGAATCAGCCATGAATTTGCGTAAAATTCCTTTGGAGCATTGTTAAGAGAAGGCAGTTTACAATAATCAAAGTAATTCGAATCTAAACTAAACATGAAAGGATAGTAGAATTGTGTGATCGGTGGAAGTGTCAAACATTCATTCTCTGGATAGATGAACTGACTTAGAATTGGAAGAGTTTCATTTGATAACAGTTGTGCAGACAACTGACTCGAAACACCTGTAATCAACAGAACAATAATTGTGATCAAAATTACTAGGGACATGCAGGTGACTTTTGTTTGTTTTTTAAATAATGTTCAAACGATGGGTAAATTAGAAATGCTTGTGACCTTGCCTCGGTCATGCCATTTGGTTTCGAATACAGTTGAGAAGAGATAAACCTTTCTTTTAAATTACCATAACAAATTAAGAAAAAATGACAAAGAAAATCAAAATCGTGAGGCTTAAGGATTATTGTGGGCGAACTATTGTGAGCTTTATGTACTCTTGTCGTTACTTGAGAATCATGTTGAACATACTCAATTGTAAACTTTAGTTTTAATTTAACCGAATGTAATTTACAGTTTTACAAACGCACATTAGTGAAATAGTCCAATTAGATTCAGCACGTTACATGTACCTTCAACTTTGAGTTTTGAATATTCAGAAAATGTTGCATTATTCTGCTGCTGTTGAATCCAAAATAATCAATACAACACCTAACCACCATCTAGAAAATCTCTTGGTGAGCTTTTTAATCGATAACAAAACTCTCGAGTGATCAAAGTTGATCTAAGTATTGAAACTCTCTTCATATGTACTTTTAACAAACTACGGTTTTTTTAACCTAACAACTGTAGATGAACACTGTTCACACTGTGTTATTTAACTATCAATTTCCTTAATAGACCAGATGTGATCGTCATGACTCTAACAAGCAAGAATGTCCTTACCAAGGACCTTGGAAGTTCAATAAAACGAAAAGAAGATATTCCCTATTATTGCGCTTATGCATTCTTTTATACAATCGTGTCAACTGTAAATTTATTGTGATTGCATTTGAAATGCAAAAAATAAATTTGATTTAACCAAAGATGGAAGGTACCTTTCGTAGTTGTACAAACGATAACGATATCTTATTCGAAAGGCACGAGATCCCTTTCCAAACCATACAAAAAAAATGGACAAATCAACCAACTCTCAAATTATTCAGAACAAAACCAAGTCAACTGCCTTCACCCAAACATCTAGAACATCAAAGATCAGCAAAGGAACCATTTCTTCTCTAAGTTTTAAAATTAAACTATGTTGTGGAGTGCTAGAACTTGATTGTATGCGATTACTGTCACTAATCAGTTTATTTATTAATATTGCTGCCTTTATTATTGTTGCGGGAGTAACCATTGACATGTTTAATATAACTCAAAATTCATTCTCGAAAGTATTGATAGCAAGAGGTGATGCTCTCAATACCAATGAATTAATGCTCGATATTGTTAGAGTTGGAGCTCTATCTCGTAACAACTCTGAGGTTGACAAGTGGTATGTCTATAAAGAACAGATGATTGATGCACTCGATAGATTCTTTGAATATGTTGATCCAGTTGTTAAACTCTCAAATTTCAATAATGGAAGTAAGAATGGTGTTGACATGTATACATTACCATTGATGGAAGAAATTATTATATTACTGAAACAGAACAATTATGATAGAGCTTTTGAATTGTATCAGGGAGGAACTTATCAGAACGCAACTACTACATGGTACAAACAACAGTCAACTGTGTTTAATTCTGTCAAGACAGATTCCAGAGATCAAGATGATTTGGTCTATAATTCATCAACAGGTACTTTGATAGTTGTTTGTGTTTCGTTGGCTGTTGTAATTCCAATTGTTATCGTGATGACCATTTTGAATATTAGAAGAGAATCAACTCTAACTGAAACTTTACAAAATTCAAGAGTTATTCAGTTAATGGATACAATGAATGATTCAACCATGTCCAAATTTTTCAAACAAGCATGTACTACAGAGAAAAAAACAGATTCCTACTTCTTATTGGCTGAAATTATGAATTTCAATAAGATGAAAGATGAGGCTGACATGAAAACTCAAGCTAATCATATCTATCAAAAGTTTTTAGTGGAAAGAAAACAATCATTCAGGTATATCAACAAAGCTATGGTTTCTATTATTGGAAAGGAAATTCAAGATGCAGAGGGAGGAGGTGTTTTCAATGTTAGTCTTTTCAGAGAGATGGAATTATGTGTTTGTTCAGAATTAATTCCAACTCATAGAATATTTATGAAAACTATCAAGGGCATGTAGAGAATTACTATTCATTTTTGATAAATCCTTCAAAATCAGTTCCAATACTAATGCAGTCACCAACAATTGTTACCTTTTTGTCTTGAATAAAGTCAAAGTGTGCAATTGAATTTGATGAATGAGGATTGATCATTAATTGCTTCAACTCTGTGGCGTCCAGAGCCTTATTCAGGATACAAACATCTGAGATTTTACCTCCTGAAAGTGTGTAACAATTAGTTCTATAATTCATATCTGCTCCTGGCCACCTGTCACATAATCCACTTCCTAATTGACCATAATATAAGCGATGTTCGTGATGTGTAAATTGATTAGATGTGCTTGAATCTACCATGATTCCATTAACATAAAGCTTCTGTTCATTCTTGTGTTTTGTGAGAGCCACGTGTTGCCATTTACCATTAGATTTCAAATCAGAATAAACCAGAGCTCTAGCTCCCCAAAATGTTGCTCTTAAGGCCAAAGAGTAGGTCAAATAAATAACTGGAACAAAAGCTGAGCCACTACTAAAGTCTTGATTTTGTACTCCGAAAAGAACACCTCCATTGCAAATATCATCAATCTTGAACCACAAACTCAAAGTTATGGAACTACTAGTCACCAAGTCAGCCATTGTCTTTATAACTGATCTGTCAATTTTTGCAGCACCAAATCCATTATCTGATCCAATCAAATATGCTGATTTCGATAACAAGGCCCTAGGTGTAATCTTGATCATTTTTCCTCTAAAATTTTGAATATTCTTTCTAAATTTCAGCACTGAAGATGATTTCAGAGGAGAATTGATCAATATATCGTCATCATCAACATCATCAATTTTTTCAATTAATTTACATTGATCCGATGTTACTTGAATAGGACAATGATTAGAAGCAGCTCCGAACATCCAGAAATAATTTTCATTAATTGACTGAGCAATCGGAGCCCACAAACAATCCAACGAATCCTCATCTTCCATTATCAATTCATGAAGTTTTCTATTCACTTTAGAAAGCCTATTCAAGCCTCGGAATGAAAGAAACGAAGCAATCACACAAATAATCTCATCAGGTAATCCGTTGATCATTTTTTTTGTATTTTAAAAATAGAGATCGCTTTAATGTACATTACAATAATTTTGAAATGTTTAATATTCCGAGTATTGAATTTCAATTAATTCTTCAAGAAGAGAATTGTTCTATCCTGACTAGATCTTAAATGCATAGACATTTCATAACATTCTCCTCCAATGAGACCTGTTGCTTCGAGACGAGTAATTTCAAATGAATCATTCAATAGCCATGCTGTCTTTCCTCCTCTTTCATAGAAGAATACATGACCATTGTATGGAGATGCTTCCACTCTTTCAATTTCTGAATCCGTGTTGATGAAACTAATGAAAGGTACAAAGACAAGTTTACATTTGGATGTTGGAATGGTTCTTGATGGTGTACTTTCTAAGAACTTGGCAACATCTAATGGAACAATGATTCCTTCACATTTACTTTTTCTGTCATCTTTTTGGAATAATTGATATTGAAATAATTGAAATGAGAACAAGGGATAAAAGTTATTGAAACTTACAACAATGAATTAATGGATAGTACTTTGTACAATGAATTCCAACCATGTGATCTGGATCATCAAATGTGAAAATATATTTCATAACTCCATTCTCAATTTTACCAATTTCCAAACAATAATCCACAGCCATTTCTGTTCTATCAACAGCAAACCAAGTTTGAGTGGCAGTTGCTGCAACAAACACAACATCCTTCCTTCTCAGAGTCATGTTAATAGTTTTCTGTACGTGAATTTCATCCAACATGGCTGAATCAACTAATTCTTTCATTTCCTCAATGATCTTCCTAGATTTTGGTCCAATAGTTCCATTAAAATTAGCTCCACAAACTCGTGTCTGATAATTTTGATATTCAATTGTGGCATATTCTCCGAGTGATCTTACAAGTGAACTAAATCCTCCAATTAACAACTTGGTTGGCTCATAGAGACATGAATTAGGTATAATCCAATCCCCTGATGTTTTTAAATAAGAATTCAATTGACCAAATTGATTACTATTAAAGTTCACAACACAGCTGCCAATCCACAAACAACCTACCTTCCACAACCATAATAATACCCATCTTCACAAAAGAATATTGAATGAGAAGCTCCACAAGATGCATCCAAACATCCTCTCTTCTTATCAACATCAAAGAATGTATTCTTCTTTGCATTAAACCCATGAATGCTCTCAATTTCATATCCAAGTCCAATCTCTCCATGATAATTCTTTCCCAACACAAAAACTGATCCATTACTTTTTGACTTAATACTTTCTATAGCTTAACTACTTACCTAAATACAAATACATAGTGTCCCAATCCACAAGTGACTGTTTTTAACGAAACCTCTGGAGGATATGAATGGATCACCTTAGAACCTTCCATCTTTTCCTTTTTACTTAATTCTGGAAATTCAATTTCACTTATAATGACATCATCTAAATTTAAGGTTTGATTTAACAGTTTTTTAGAGTAGCTTGATCCGATCGATCCTTCCGTTTCATCACTATCGTTCGCCTGTTCTTGATCCTTAAATTGAATGATACGGCAGAAAATTGATGGTACAAACTCATTGATTTCCTTCATTTGTGAACGAGTAATTGTTGAGATATTCACTTTTGCCATATCAACCAAATTGTGCGCCTTAGACATGGCAAGGAAGGATTTGATTTTGGCTTTTCTCTCAAGAGACTTGTCCGATAACAAACTCACCCCAGAACTTGCTGAAATTGGACGAGAAAAATCCTTCTGTGAAGGTGGTGAAGAATTCAATAGGGAAGAAGATGTTCTATGATATTGGTGAGATGAGTTACTGGAGAGAGAAGATAATGAGGAACGTGAGGAACGAACAGAGGGCGGAGACAATGAAGGTGATTCAAACATTTTTTGTGGGTGATTGAGGGAAATAAGACTCCCACTATTAAGCTCATGGATTTACTGTAACTCGACCGTTGGATGACAGTCACAATAATATAATTGCAATATAATAGTAGTATTTGTTTGTACATTATGGTGGTTTAATTTAGAGTGTGGAAGTATTTGGGATGGTTTGGTAGTGGGTTGGCTTGATAATTTAGAGCATGAGTGATCGAGCAATAGAATCATCAATACTGGTTGATCTGCTGATACCTGTCATTGTGGCAGAGTTAGTTCTGTTGTGTAATGCAATGCCATAACTGCTACTACTTTTGGAAATGGAACTGATTGCGTAATTACTTTGACTTGCTTTGATTCTTCTAATCTCTCTTCTGGTGAGATTTTGTTTTTGCTCCTTCTTAGGTAATTTGTCTTTGTACTGTTTTCTAACTTTTGAACCACGATAATATCTTTGAATAGCTATTGCTGCTACTTGTTCTCTCAGGTTGGCACAATCCTTAGCTATCTGTGCAGCTGGTTTTCTGTTTTGAACATCCAAGGCAGAGGCATCTCTTAATATTTCTCCAATATTCTTAGTGTTGAGGTTTGGGTTATTGAGCAATACTGAAAATTTGTGAGTAAAATTATCATTGCCCAAAATTAATCGCAGAGCATCTGTTACTGTCATATTTTGATTTTTCAAAGTCTTGATATCTATTCTTTCTCCCATTAATAATTCAAGCATAGAGGTAGCCAAGCTGAAAATATCAGACATTGGATTTGCTAAAGCTCCAATCTTTTGTTCTGGAGCTGTGTAGTTACTTTTAACTACAAACGTAATCTTTTCATCCTTTCTCCAACTGAAAGCAAAATCGACAAACACAACATTCATCGAATCATCCAATACAATATTTGCTGGGGTTATATTACCATGAACACGCGAAATTTCATTCAAATAGGCTAGAGCCTCAAATGATTGAGTTATTATCTTCATAAATAAAACAGGTGACAGCACAAACTTTGGCTTCTTTCTAAGGAAACAATCTTCCAAGTCACTATTTGGATAGTACTTGAGAACTATGTGTTTTGAAATGTGATCGGTATAGTGGTCATCGTCTGTATAGTCAAAGCTATCAATATACTTGGTTATACGTGGGTGATCCATTTGTTTCAAAGCTTTGATTTCCCTTTCATAAAATTCCTCATTTCCCTTTGTACATTTTTTCATTGTCATGTTGGTTCTTGTCTTTTCATCCTTTACAAGAATGATTGATCCACTAGGTACTCTTCTGATTAATTTCTCGCAAAACAGTGTTTCTCTTTTCTTTTTACCTTCAATCAAATAATCAGGGAGAGCATCCTCCTGTGATTGTTCGTTAGCTGTTGCTGTATATAAATCAATTCTGTTAGCTCCATCATGGTCAATCTTTTCATGACCTCCAAAGAAACAGGCAAATAATTTCTTAATACCTGTTAGTTTTACTTCCTCTTCCGGATTCAGTTCATTGAGTCTATCCTTTAATGTGTCCTTCATACTACTCAAATTGGCAGACTAAAAATTACAGTTATTAATAAATCCAAATTTTCACTTACCATTCTACTTGATTTTCTTCTTTTATCGAATACTTCTCCACTTAAAGTATCAGATTCTTCATCATCTTCGTCCATATCAATAATGACTGGACCTGCATCAAAGTTATGTACTTGGAAATCTTCCTCACCATAATTATTCAAATGAGGAGCGTCCGAAGAATCAAAGTAATGTGAGCTACCAACACCAAGAGAAGCAAAGCTATCCTCATAGTCGTAATCATCCATAACTGGTTGTGTCACTTTTTCGTCCTTTTCCGATAAAGCATTAACTCTAGAAACTAAATGATCCGAAGTTGGTCTGAATTGAGAAAGAACACATTCCTTAGCTAAAGCAGTTAGAGATCTAATGAAGGGCGAAGAGGCTTTAGCTCCAAATCTAGCTGCTATTTTTTCTTGCACATCCTTCTTCCATTCAAAGTTTTCTGCATGAATATTCAAATCTCTGAATGTCAATATTTTGAGAACCAACAAACCAAACATGAATACATCATTTTCTTTAGAGAATTCTGTGTGGTGAGTGACTTCTGGAGCATAATTAATATCTGATCCAATATGTAATAAATAGGAAATACCAATACCAGGGAATTGAAGTATGGCTCTCTTAGCCTGTGACCTAGCAGTTCCATCGTAATTTTTGTTATTAACAAGTAAAACAGTATAGGCATATAAATTATTGTGAGTCAATTCAGATCTGTGCAATTGTCTGAGGCCGTTAGCAATATCCAATATCAGATTCTTCAATGCTACAAAATCATTTAACATGTGAATGGCAGTAGGATCATTGAAAACATCCTCAAGAGTTTTAACCTGTTGTGACTGATAGGCATTCAAAACACTAGAGTCTCTACAGACCATATAATATGATGCGTCATATTCCTCCTCGTCTTTATATGCTTCATCGTATGGCATTACGTTTGGCATTAACTTGTTGTTATCAATTAATTTCTTAAATAATCTACCTGTTTGAAGAAGTGTACCGTGATGTACAAACACCAAACAGCTATGTGTTGATGATGATGTTTCATTATATTGATAAACTTGAACAACATCTGATGAATGTTGATAGAGTAATTTTGGTTGATTAAACTTTTCATTAAATTGTTCAAAGGACATTAACTTTGAACCACTAGAAAAGGACTGTAAACTCAGTGATGATGAACTCCTTGATGTAGTCAACATTTTCTAGATGATCAATTTCTCTCGCTTTTTTAAATTATTAAATAAATATATTTATATATTATTAGAAAAAATCTATAGTGATGATGATAAAATCCACCAACAAATATCGTCCGTTGATGAGATGATATAACAATTATCAAAGACGACAATAATAAAAGAGGCGAATTAAAATCCACAAATATTGAGTGTGTTGTTGATATTTTTTTTCAAACTCTTCTCAAAAATCATTGCAAGCAAAAAACGAGCCTAATTTTAGATCCATCAATTTGTGAAGAAAAATTTAATTATCCAATTTTCTATAAAAGTGTTTTAGGATTGGTGATGAAATTATTGTTCAACAGCTCTCTTAACGTTGCCACAATATTTAATTAATATTATAAATTATTAGTATTGTTACATTATTAATATTTTTATTGGCCATTGTAATGGTGTGCGGAGATATTTAAATATCTAGCTTGAAAGAGAAAAAAATGTCTTCCGATAATACGCTTCTGGAACCTCCATCAAAGAAGAGAAAGAATAATTCTTCACCAATTTACCAGCAGACAATCTTTTACAAAGATGTCCTGATCAACATCTTGTCCTTTTCCAAGTTCAAGTTTATTTTACAAAGTGCAATGTTGGTTTCAAAAGAATGGAAAGAAGCTTCTGCTAATGTTAGATTATCACTCGATTTACCAGGTTGCGAGTGCATTATTGCTGAAGAAGAGGACAAGGATGAGGATGAAGATGAAGAAGAAGATACAGAGACTTACAATTTGAAGATTGTTTGTCAATGTCCAAACATTGCCAACACTACATGTTTGAATATGGAAAATTGTGAAATGGATGAAAGCAGTACCAAGTGGTTGGCTAAGAGTAAATACTTATACAATTTAGAAGAGCTCTACTTGAATCATTGCACTATTGGAAGTGAGGGTATTGCAAATATGGTTTCAGATGGATCTTGTTTGAAGAAATTGAAAACTTTAGCCTTGGAATACAGTGACATTGGTGAAACAGGAGTAAAAATGTTGGCAAACAGTCCAATAATGAGTAATTTGACATTTTTAGATCTGTATAACAATGCTATTGGTAATACAGGACTTGAACATATTGCCAAGAGTAAATATCTGAAGCAATTAACTCATTTGGACTTGGAAAATAATGAAATAGATGAGGAAGGTATTGCACTCATTGGCTCAAGTGAAAATTTCAGAGAGCTCAAGTTTCTTTCAGTAGCATATAATTCCTTTGGAGAAAATGGGTTAGAATTATTGAAGAATAGTCCCTTACCAAAATTAGAGACATTGAGACTTCACTCCTGTGGACTAACCTTTGAAGAATGTCAAACCATTATTGATTGGCCACTTTTATCCCAATTGAAGAAGTTGTTTATTAGCAATAACGATGTGAATGAGAAGCAAGAGCAAGAATTGAAATCTCTCCTTTCTAAAAAGTATCCTAAACTTGCTCTATCGGATTCATATTCTGATTAATAGGGCTTATTTTATTCCAATAATATTATTTGTCGATAAATCCATTTCTATTGATTTGTTTGGTGTAGTAGTAGTTGGCAACATTTCGACTTTCTTACTTGTGAGACGTTTCCACAACTTTTTACACCAAGAAAATATCACCTTTGGTTTTCTGACTCTAAAATCATGAACATAATACATTAGGCACCCATTGATTAATGCACCTCCTATAATGTTTCCAATAGTTACTGGAATCATGTTTGTAATTAAAAAGTCGTATACTGTGATATTAGCTCCATAAAGCATTGCCAGTGGAATGTAGAATGCATTTGCAATGCTTTGTTCATAACCCAAACAACTAAATGCTAAAACTGTGAAATTGTCAAGTTTCAATTAAATATGAACGTAGATTAAACTTACTTGGGAACCAAATGCCAAGAAATTTCCCTGAAAGAGTTGTTGCTGCTGCTGCACACCAAACAGCAATGGTAATTAACACATTGCACATAATTCCAAGCAGAACTAAACTTCCAAATGCTTTTTTCACCTTATTTTCAGAAATAGTTTGCACATAACTAATCCAATAGGCAGAGCAACAAGGTTGAGGTAAATACATGAAGAAATAAGCAAATAAAAACGATCCCACACAATTGAAAACATAACTGAACAGAATATTCTTTGAGAATAAAGCATATCTAATCATTTGATGGTCAATTAACTCGAATCTTGATTACTTACTGGAGAAGAAACTTTTTAGATCGCCACCGTCTTGAAAATAACCCAATAAGAACCACTAATACATTTCCTGTGAATAGTTCAGAACCAGTCATTACAATAAGTATCAATCCCAATGGAAAAACACTTTCAACAACATTAGAATTGAAATGAGACTAAACCTACATTCCAGTTAACAATTTCTGCAATCCAGGATTTTCTTTCTCAATGCTTGGTACATTCCCACCCACAACCAATCCCAAAGCACTAGCCAGTCCAATAAATATTCCTGCAAACAAGGATAGGATTGTCATTTGATCAAAGGTCAACTTGGATTTCCGTACCCCATCAGTTTTAAATTTTTCCAATACTTGTTTTGGAGTATTAAATAACACAATCTCTGGCTGTTTCACAACCGTCTCTTGCTTTTGAACATTTTCCTTTTTCTGATATTGTTTATGCTTTTGTTTTTCCTTAACATTTATCCTCTCTGAAATTGATATTGCTGATTGAGGCATTGAAATCGAACAATCTTGTTTTCCAGCAGCAGCACATGAATCACAAATATCAACAATAATATAATCTTCATCATTCGTTATGGAGGAAGTAAGGTTTGTCTCTGCAGTGTTTTCCATCATCTGATGATGCTCCTGATGATTCTGCTGCTCCTCATGGTTTTGAGTCATTTTGTTTTATTGTTGTCTGTTGCGTATAAATGATTGAGACTCATTTGCAAATAAGGTGGATTGTTTGTGTTTGTTATTTTTCTTCTTAACTGATGTCCCAATTGTCCACCCTTTTTTACTGATCCACTTTTTGGGATTTTTATGGCATTTGTTAATTTTTGGTAATTTTGGTAAGTGGAGAAAAGTGCCAATGCACAGTTCGTCTTCATGTCTGATCTTGAATCAGTGTATAATAAAATTCATTCTGTTTTCAAATTCCAAGTTGAAAGTTGCTTCTTTCAAATTCGAATTTGAAAATCAAATATTTACGCAAAGTTTAAAATTTTAATAAAAATTCAAATAGAAAAAAAATGAGTACAAATAGGTGGGTGGGCTTATTTCATGTTCGGATTTATTAATGCTCTAATGATTCATGCTGTTACTTTGGGATTAGTTCATTTATTAAAATTGGTATTATTGGAAAACCTTCGGCGGGTATGTGTGATGATTTTTTATAATGATTGGAGAAAATTAATGATCGGAATTTAGGTAAATCAACTCTTTTGAATGCAATTTCGGATGCAAATGCAAAAACTGGTGAGTGATGATGATTATGGAATTTATTGATGAAATATTTATTATAGGAAGTTATCCATTTACAACTATTGAACCAAATAATGTAGGTGTTTGTGTTTGGAATAATTTTCAATAATTACATATTACAATTAGGGTATTGCATTGTATCGTTCAAGTATTCCATGTCCTTGTGCTGAATATGGTTTACAAAAGTATTGCTCTCCAAAATATGGTAAATGTGTAAACTCTGTGAGATATATTCCTATTAGTGTGATGGACGTTGCTGGTTTGATTCCAGGAGCTTCATTGGTATGTTTTGATGGTTATTTTACTTAATGATTTCATATTTGATTAGGGTAAAGGATTGGGAAACAAATTCTTGGATGATTTGCGTCATGCTCAAGTTTTGATTCATGTTTTGGGTATGTTTTGAATGAGAATTTATTATAAATTTATTGGGATAGATGTCAGTGGAACAACAAATGAAAAGGGAGAAAATACTGAAAATTATGATCCTATTGGAGATGTAGAATGGTTGGAAAAGGAAATTCATGATTGGATCTTTAACAATTTGTGGAATAGATGGGATACTATCGTAAGAAGACATAGACAATGTAAAAATACCCTTGTAGACACCTTTTCACAACAATTGAGTGGTTATGGATGTAACAGAAAATTCATTGTTGCGTTCTGTGATCACATCTCTACAAAAATGTTCCAAACTGAAGATGAACTCTCCAATCAGACCTCTAATAAGGAAATTGATTTTTCAAAGCATATGAAACCTCTTGAAAAATGGGAGGAAGCAGATGTTCATACATGTGTCTCACTATTTATTGCCTTTAGATTCCCTTGCATTTATGCATTAAATAAGATTGACCACAAGGCCAGTTCAAAGTACATTAACAAATTCTTTGAAAGATATGATATGGATAAGATTGTTTTGACATCTGCCTTGTCAGAATGTTTCTTGAAGACCATGAGAAAGAAGGGTCATATTATCTACCATGAAGGAGATAGTGATTTCAAAACATTTGAGGAATGCGAAGATGAGGAAGAAAAGGTTTGTAAAATTCTGATTGCATTGGAACTGATTTAACATATTATTGAAATGTTTAGAAACTGTTGAAACCAATTAAGGATGAAAAGAATGTCGGAATTTTGAAGAATATCAGAGATTTTGTCTTGGCAAGATTTGACACTACAGGTGTATTGGAAGCTATTGTAAAGGCTGTTAATTTACAATCTCCAGTTGTCATTTATCCAGTGAATCAGAATATTCCACAATTGGCTGAGAATCTGAAACTTAGAGAGGATGTTGATGTAAAGGTATTTGAAGATGTTGCCCTAATGAGACATGGCAGTTCTGTAAAGAGTTTTGTAAGCAAATTTTACAGATCAATCATACCTGCCGACAAGTTAACATTGAACGAGTCAGGTAAGCCAATTCTTCCAAATTATTTCGTAGAAGGAATGGATGGAAGAAAGATTGCAGAACATTCCTTTTTCAAGAAAGATGCCAACAATATCATCCGAGTGGTATTTGGAAATTAATTTATTTTAGAGGGCTACTAATAAAGTAAATCCAACAATTGAAGATATAAGAGTAATAGAATTCCAAATTGAATTTCCTCCATTAATTTTTTTACCTCCCAATGAACAAATAGCTCCATCAGATCCAACTTCCTGTGAACAGAAATAGTCCAATTTCTTGTTTAATGTGGCAACATCCCAAATTGGTTGAATAGCCCAATTAATTGCTCCACCATCTCTAGCCCAACACTGAATATTGTTGAAACAAAATAGTTACAGTCAATAATTAGTAAAAATTGAAATTTCACAAATTACAATTTACATACATTGTAAGCGTACTGTTTACAGACAGAGTAACAAATTTCATAGGGAGTATAGATATCCGATGTTCCATTATTCGAAATTGTGCATCGTGGAAAAGCTCTTGCACATGCATAATTCTTCCAAGCATCTCTACATGAACTTTCGAATGGCAAAAATTGATTAGTACTATCATAAATATTGGAAATATTCTTTTCCACCTCTAAATATTTATCTGGTATACAACTATCAATCCAATTACAATTAAAATCAATAATGATGATTGCAAACATACATATTTCCACTCGTTGGTACATAATTTTTACAAAATGATAAATCACTTGGAATTGAACCACAGGAGGCACATTTCGGCAGAGGAGATGATGCAGAAGATACCCATTGAATTAGTGAAAGTCCAAGGATAATACAAAGAATGATGGATGGAGTTGTTGAATTTTCTCGTATTTTATGTGATGGCATTTGTTTTGTGTTGAATGACAAATGACAGAATGAATGTCTGTGATGAAATGCAGTGAAACTCTGATTCATATCTTCATCATCCGAAGCATTGGATAACAAATTTAATTCAAAACATCATTTACTAGTTCAATAACACAAGTAAATTTCAATAAATATAATTTATATGATTAGTTTACAATCTTCTAACAGGAACAACATTCAAACTAGAAGAAGAAGAAGAAACAACAACCTCCTCTTTCAATGACAAATTACTCAACGATGCTTCCACTACTGTTGCTGATTCATCTTTAGCCAATTCTTGTTGTTCATCAACATGATGTTCTTGTTGTATTGAAGGTTTAAACCAACTTCCTGGTTGCACAGTTGGTAGACCTCTCCCTCTCACATTCGATGCTCTGAAACTCACCTTACTCCTCGTAGCATTGGTTGGTGTATTGCCACAGAATCCAGTAGCCTTTGGAGTGTAACGTTCCAGACCCGATGAAGTCAATGATGTTTGTGGGTCGTATTTGGAGGCAATGAGGAAGGCTGTGAGGGAGGCCATATCTTGATTCTTCTTCTTTTCCTTGTAGACTCTGTGTTTTTCTCTGTAGGATGATAATTGATCATTGTAGGTAGGTGTTGCTAGTGATGCTAATTCTTGTTCTTCTTCTAAAGAATTATTATTATTACTATTTGATGATGATGATAACATTTTCGGTTATATGTTTTTATTATTTAAATTTTGTTTATAATATGTGATGCGAAATAATTCCTCTCTCGTTTTTATTCAATAATAATAATAAATAATAGGGTGGTGGAATATATAAAAGTTTGATGATGATAAAAAGTTTACTACTTGAAGATGATTGGTTTTTTTATTGTTAATGTGACGTGGATTTCAACTCCTCGTGCGCACTTGTAATATTCTATTTCAGATTTGAAACTGTTATGAAATGGTGGACATCTAAGGCACTTTTTGAAATATTGAATTGTACATACCAACAATAGAGTTGCTCAATTATCTTACAAAACATGTTGAACCAAGTTTGCGTCCAGAAACAAAAAATCAGTTCATTGACAGAATTTCAAATTGCCATCGCTTCAAGAACTACTTTCTAAAAATAATCAGTTTTCAAAAGTATAAAAAGAAAGGAACCGCAGTGTTTTGAATTCAAGAAAAATAATAAGAAAAAAAACAAGACAACAAACAGAATGCAATTATTTGTCAAGACACTCACTGGAAGAACTATCACTTTGGAGGTTGAATCTAATGATTCAATTGAAAATGTGAAAAGAAAGGCACATGATAAGGAAGGAATTCTTCCAGATCAACAAAGACTCATCTTTGCTGGAAAACAATTGGAAGATGGCAGAACTATTAATGATTATAACATTCAGAAAGATTCAACACTTCATTTGGTGTGGAGATTAATAGGAGGAATGCAACTTTTTGTAAAAACTTTAACTGGAAAGACAATCACTATTGAAATGGAATCGAATGCTACTGTTGAGAATATGAAACAAAAGATATTTGATAAGGAAGGTATTCCTTCAGATCAACAACGATTGATTTATGCCGGTAAGCAATTGGAAGATGGAAGAACTATTGGTGATTACAATCTTCAAAAGGATTCAACTGTGCATTTAGTATTGAGATTGAGAGGTGGTTAAGTTAGCAAAATATCATAGATTCTCTCAATTATTGTCAATAAATTATTTATTGAATAGTGAACATGAGTAAAATTTATTCAATATACTAATCAACATCCAAAAACAAGTCATTTGTAACTTTCTAATGGAGCTATATACACTCAATTTCATAGCAGTTCAGAAAGGTAAAGAAAAAGGAGTGAACTGATTCATATTTCACAAGTTGATATAATGAATGGCTACGGCCATATCACGATGAATGCACCTCATCCCGTCCGATTTGAGAAGTTAAGCATCGTCGAGCCACATCAGTACTGAGGTTGGAGACAACTTGGGAACCTGTGGTGCTGTAGTCTTTTTGCCTATTTTGCATTTTACACTAAGCTTATTGCCAAAGTCCTTTATCAAGTTTGAAATATGGCTAAACAACAATTTTGCCTATTTTGCTGCAATTGTACAGCTATTAATACAAGTGTTAAAATTCTGATCTGAGTCTTTTAAGGTTTTTCTTAATAGATGTTTTCATATAATAACAATGTCCAGAGATAGTTTCCGATTGATTTTAAAATTGCACGGCAAAATGAAAAGATATTTTGAACAGAAACAGATTTTTGGACAGCAGACGTTGTTGTTGGTTTGGGTTGCAGTTATGTTTCTTATGAACCATGTAAAAATTCATCGCTATTACAAAGTGATGTTATTTCTGCATTTCTTTGCATGTGGTTTGAATTTATTAATAATTAAAATATGATTCAATTTTAGAGTTCAGCTTTGTTGGAATAATTACATCTATTAGTATTTACATTTATTTACATTTTTATAATTGTTGGTTTTCATGTCTATTATTTCATAAAAGTTAAACATTTTTCAATCATTGACTTTTCATCAATTTCACTCTTGGTTGAGCAGTGAATAGTTGCACTCAGACCATTTAATTTTTGTTTAACTGTTTTGACAGTGGCAGCAACTTGAAACTTTTCCTTAACATTGGTTTCGTTTGGACACCAAGTGAGAAACATCATTTTGGTTCTGGTTCCTTCTCTGATTTGACAAGTTTCGTTTTGGGATGGCATTTCGAAACTTAAATGATAGCAAACGAAACGAGAATTCTTTGGTGGGAGATTGGCAGTTAATTCGTCCAATGAAGAGAGTTGGGACAATTCTTGATCTATTTGAATGGAACTTTCTTGCATTTTTAATACGAGAAACTTTTTATCCTTATTCGAACCCTTTCCCATTCTCATTTCTTCATAGGTTTTGATAATTTCATCACTGAATTGACAATTAAGCATCATTTTGATTAGTTTGAGTTGTTTAGTTGTTTAGATATTTGTTTTGTTGTTGTTTTTCAAAAGTTTCGAACACAATGCAAGTATTTATATTTATTTTGAAGTGGACTTGTTGCAATTTGGGAGTAGAAAGGAGACAATTTTGAAAGATTGGTTGTGCATTAACCAATAGAATTGTTTCAAGTTTGATGGATAAGCGGAAATAATTTGAAAGATAGGCAAGGAACTTGGAACTTGAAAAAGCAAAGAATAGGAAGAGGGTGTCGTTTGTTTATTTTCTCAGTGGTTTAAGAGATAAACTTAAAAT